TCCTAAGTTTAGAATGCTTTTTCAGTAGTTTTAGTAGATTAAATACTTTGAAGTACTTTTGGAGTAGCTTTTACAGGATTTAATTTAGGAGGCTAAGATTATGGTTTAGTTTATTGTTTTTATTATTATTGATTATTTAATTATTATAATTATTATCTTTCTTATTATAAATTTTGCATTTGTTATTTAACTTTTTAAGTTAAAGCAGTATTAATTTATTTAATAATTTTTTTAGGTGGATTATTAATTTAATTTTATTCTTCTAATTATTATTATTATTATTATTATTATTATTATTATTATTATTATTATTATTATTATTATTATTATTATTATTATTATTATTATTATTATTATTATTATTATTATTTAACTTTATTTAAATCAAAACCACCTCCTGTTAATAAATCTTTTTTTAATTATCTTTCTTCCTCTTTTAATCTCTTTTCCTCTTACATTTTTAATTGATATTATTATAATTTTTCATCAGCTCTTTTCTCTAAATTAATAAAATATAAGATTACTTGTTTCCTATTATCTTTACAATATTTCCTATTATTATTCATTTAATAATCTTTATCTCTCTTCCTCTTCCTATTATTTTTTCATTAATAATGCTTATCTCTTTTATAATTCTGCCTATTATTATTATTTCTTTAATTCTTCTGCTTACATCAATTCTTCTTATCTACTTCCAGCCACTAAATTAAGAGTCAAAGGGCAATCAATAAGTAATTACTCATTAAGATATAAATAGACTAAATAATTGCCTGGTTTATTGACTTATAAAACAAGTTTATGTTTAGAAGGTTCTTCAATCTCTTTAATTTCAGCTTTGTAACCATCATTCATGAAATTAAGGTATGTCTTATTTTCTTATTATGACTATATCTTGCTCATAGATACAACTTGACTTTTGTGTAATAATTATTCAGGAGTTATTTCAGAATCATCAGTAACAAAAATATTATATCTGATAGGATGGTTTTATTTAATACCATATGGTCCATATTTGTCTCCTAAATTTATAATAAGATTAATATCTGAAAAAGTTTCAAATTCTTCTTGATCCTCATCTTCTAATTCTAATCTACACCATTCTCCTTATAAAGCAGTTGATTCACAAAGTCTGATTCCCCTACAAAGATGAAGTTGTCTTACAGGAGCATAGAGAAATAATTTAGATTTTGGTTCTTTGTCTATATCCCATTTAAATATTTTTCCTTACAAATTCAAAGCATAAATAACTCCTTCATAAATACAAGCTTAAATGATTTAAACATCTTCATCAATTTACAATGTTTTTGGGTAATCAATAACTTTTTCTTTACTTACTTAACCACAATACAACACCTCACCATCTGAAGTAACAAAAATACTAGCATTTTCATTTGCATTAATATAAAAACATTCATCTTCTTATATTTATGAATATTGTTGATGATTATTCACTCCTAACTAATGAAATTTATTTTATCCTATTCCCCATACTTCACCTTATGAATTGAGTGATAATAAATGATTGTCTCCACCTGCAATTTAATCAATATTATCTGCTAATTTAGTTAGTTTAGGATATTTTATATTTTCATCTAATTCACCCATAATAAACAATGACTTTTTAGCAAGAATAGCTCCATATTTAAAACCCAAAATTATCTATTAAATATCAGCAATTGGATCTATTTTTAGTATGTGTTTAGCTCCCCATTAATATATTTGACCATTAGAATCCCAAGCTATTGAAGTGCTTTTGTATGCTTAAACTCCTATTATGTTTTTATTGCTTAATTAACTAATGTTATATGGAACACTAATAAAATTTCCATCTTATTCATTCATTGTAACTTAACCTAAGAAATTCTCTCCCCAACCAAATACTTCATTACCATTATTACATTTTTCACCTTTACATTAACTGACGTAATAGGGATTAATACATGAACATCCACTCATTAAAACTAATACATGATGTTCTCCACATCCAATTGAGAGTATTTTCCTATTTTTGAATATCTAATATGAAGTTAACTCACTACATTAAGTTAAGTCTCCTTAACCCAAACAACCAGTTGCACTATTACCTTATACACCTAAAAGAGATATCACCTTTTTGTTATCTCTCTAGATCTTAAATATAGTATTTTAATAGATATCATCTATTTGTTTATAAATTTACTCTGGAGTGAGATCATAAATACCAAGATTAAATGATGGCATTAATTTAACTGTTTCAGCATAGCTTTTTAATCTCAATGCTTACATACATCCATTATAAGTATCATTTGTTTCTAATTGTGCCTTACATAATGATAACAACACCTTCACTTTATCCAAAGTTGTTAATTCCTTTTCTAATAATTCAAAACATTCTGTTTTTGCTTCTTCGTACATTCTATTTTTTATCAAGAAATCGCTTCTCTATACTTTATACTATAATTATTGCTAAGGTGTGGCTTCTTTATGATTACTTAATGCTTTTAATATAGTGCAAATCTGACCGATATTCTCGCATTTATTGAATTCCTTTTGTAATTCCTTCAATGTCGCCTAATCAATACTATGCACATAAGTTGTGGCCTTCACTTGTTTAGTAGTTTGTTTCTTGAATCCCATTTCTTCTTCTGTAATGTCAACTTCCCTTAGCATACACACTATGTACATCCTCTTTCTCGTAACAATTTCTATGCGAATTCTTATGCAAACTTAGTGGATTCTGGATCTTAAACGTTCGTACGTACCGTAGACTTCTTTGCCTTCCTATTAAACTTTCGATAATCTTCATCAGAGGAGCTATCTGACATTTTAAAAATATATATATATATAAAATATAATAAATCATTCCCTTTTGATTTTTGGTAATTGTAGTCTCTGAGTAACTTGTTCCACTACTGCGCTCTATCTAAAATGTTTTAATATTTATACTTAAGCTATCGCTCTTGCTCTTTTGCTGGTTTCACTAATTAGCTTTTTCTTAAAAAATCATTTTATCTAATTGCCTCAGGAGATGGGTCATAATGCCTTAATCTCCCTAAGAAATTTATCTTAGGCTGATAGCTATAGAAGCCACCTTGAGATTCGCTTTTTTTGTATACATTTCCTTTACCTAATGTATGAGTCTCGACCTGTCCCATCTGTATGATAAAGATTAAATTTGCTATTAATTATTGGCAATGAGTTCTGTTTTGACAATTAATAAAAAGACTCATCTGTATGCAATGAGTCTATTTTATAAAATCCACCATTTCCATAATTGATATATGTATCTCTTCCAGTTCCATTTACTTTATAATTGACAACTTTCGTCATTATATTTATATTATATTAAAAGTTTCATATGATAATTTTTAATCGATAATTAATATTTGTAATTTAATATGTGATTTTCTTTTATAAAATATAATAAGGGGTAGGAAAATTAATTAAAAAAAAGATATTATGAGGTGACCCATTTTAAGCTGCGTGGAAATTCAAAATTCAAACATTAAAAAAACAAAATCTTTTTTCGTAACCGTCACAATGAGAGAAATAGTTCATATTCAAGGAGGACAATGTGGTAACTAAATTGGTGCCAAATTCTGGGAAGTCATTTCAGATGAACACGGTATTGACCCAACAGGAACATATCACGGAGATTCAGATCTTCAATTAGAAAGAATCAACGTCTATTACAATGAAGCTACAGGAGGTAGATATGTCCCAAGAGCTATCCTTATGGATTTAGAGCCAGGTATTCTAAATTTTTTTATCTCTTCATAGGAACAATGGACTCAGTTAGAGCTGGACCATTTGGACAACTCTTCAGACCAGACAACTTCGTCTTTGGTTAAACCGGAGCAGGTAACAACTGGGCTAAGGGTCACTATACTGAAGGTGCAGAATTGATTGACTCAGTTTTGGATGTAGTTAGAAAGGAAGCTGAAGGATGTGATTGCTTATAAGGATTCTAAATCACTCACTCATTGGGAGGAGGTACAGGATCAGGAATGGGAACATTGTTGATCTCAAAAGTTAGAGAAGAATATCCTGACAGAATTATGGAAACCTTCTCAGTTGTACCATCACCAAAAGTGTCTGACACAGTCGTTGAACCATACAATGCTACTTTATCAGTTCACCAATTGGTTGAAAATGCTGATGAATGCATGGTTATTGATAATGAAGCCTTATACGATATTTGTTTCAGAACATTGAAATTGACAACACCAACCTATGGTGATTTAAATCACTTGGTCTCAGCTGCTATGTCAGGAGTTACATGCTGTCTTAGATTCCCAGGTCAATTAAACTCTGACTTGAGAAAATTGGCAGTCAACTTGATTCCATTCCCAAGACTCCACTTCTTTATGATTGGATTTGCTCCCCTCACATCAAGAGGATCTCAATAATATAGAGCTCTTACAGTCCCAGAATTGACATAATAAATGTTCGATGCTAAGAACATGATGTGTGCTGCTGATCCAAGACACGGAAGATATTTGACAGCCTCAGCTCTCTTCAGAGGAAGAATGTCAACAAAAGAAGTCGATGAATAAATGCTTAATGTTTAAAATAAGAACTCATCTTACTTTGTTGAATGGATTCCCAACAACATCAAATCATCCATCTGTGATATTCCACCAAAGGGATTGAAGATGGCAGTTACATTTGTTGGAAACTCAACAGCTATCTAAGAAATGTTCAAGAGAGTTGCTGAATAATTCACTGCCATGTTTAGAAGAAAGGCCTTCTTACATTGGTACACTGGTGAAGGTATTTAATAATTTATATTCTAATCTAGGTATGGACGAAATGGAATTCACTGAAGCTGAATCCAACATGAATGACTTAGTCTCTGAATATCAATAATATCAAGATGCTACTGCTGAAGAAGAAGGAGAATTCGAAGAAGAAGGAGAATAATGATAATCTTAGTGATGTTTATCACAAAATATATAAATTACAAACAACCTAATTTTTATTTTATTCTTCAATACTTCAAAAAAAAAATATATATTAAAATGCAAAATTCAAGTCGATCTTTGTCATCCAAAAAAAATGAAAAGCTCATTTCCAAAAGAAATAGATCTCTTTAAGAAACAGAAAGCTATGGAAAATTTCTTGAATTTTTTAATTCTAATCAAAATTAGCCTTTCAAGCAATTTTTATATATGCAAGAATTCTTTAATACTAATTTGAATTCATTTCCTTCAGATGAGGAAATATAAGCCATTTAATAAAATTTATTCTCAGTTTACTAAGTAATTTCGAATAGAAAAAAAAATTGGACTACTGACGAAAAAAAAGTGTTAATATGGGTTGTAGGTAAATTAAGTCAATCTCGAGATCTTGATATTAGAGATCTACCTAATAGTTTTTGGGATGATGTTTCCGAATTGATTTGCAGAAGAGACCCTTAATCTTGTAAATAAAAATGGTTATAACTAAAAAAAACTGATTTATAATAAAAACCTTTCACTTAATAAGAAGATTAATTATTATTAGATTTAATTCATAAATATAAAGATTCTGAATAGGGTAAAAAATGGTGTTAAATTTCAGAAGAACTTAATTCTCAAATTTTAAATTATCGAACTAGTAAACAATGTAGAGAAAGGTGGTTAAATCATTTAAATCCAAAAATTTCTAAGTAAATAATTATTTCATTATAGAGACCCTTGGAATGATGACGAAGATATATTTTTATTAGATTTAATTTTACAATAAGGTAGAAAATGGGCAGAAATTTCAAAATTATTTGATGGTAGGAGAAATGAAAATACTGTTAAGAATAGATTTAATAGTTTAATAAAAAGAGAAAAAGATCTGATTGTTGAGTATGAATATCAATTTATAAATTTAAGTCTATAAAATGGATAAACAACAAATTTAGATACTATTTTGGGAAATCCTACTGGGCAGACATTAAATAAATAATAAATAATGGCCATAGAAGTTTTAAAAAATAAAATTTAATGGAGAAAAGGCCAAATCAAATCTGGTGAACAAATAAATGATTTTAGAAGAACTTCCATACATTAGACTTCTGAAAAATAAGAAGAATTTCAATTAAAAAGATCTTCTGTAGTGAAGTATTAAGTAGGACATTTGGGTTAAGAAGAAATTTAAAATGATGAATTAGTGCCTTGCTTAGTAAATTTAGAAAAAAATATAATTTATTTTTGCTCAAAGGAATAAATAGTAAAATTATTAAACAATTAAATAAATTAAATGAATTATAATCTTGAACTAGAAAAAAAAGATATTAAATCTTTTGATTCAGGATTAATTAACTTTAAAACTTAATTAAGTATCATAAGTGAAATAAATGATTCTAAATTTAGCTCATTTTTATGTGGATAAAATAATGAAGATAATTTTAGTTAAATAAGTAAAGTATTTTAAAACAATTTTATTTAAAAATAAATGATAGATTTAGAATAATATTTTAATTTAGATCCTCCTTAACATTAATAAATCAATTAATTGTTTAATCCGATTTAACAAATACATTATAAAGCATATTATTAAATAAGGAGAGCTTATAAATCAGAAGTTCTTTAATAAAATTTTAAAATAATAGATCAAAAAATTCCTAGGTCTTTGCCTAATGTAATTTCNTATGCAAGAATTCTTTAATACTAATTTGAATTCATTTCCTTCAGATGAGGAAATATAAGCCATTTAATAAAATTTATTCTCAGTTTACTAAGTAATTTCGAATAGAAAAAAAAATTGGACTACTGACGAAAAAAAAGTGTTAATATGGGTTGTAGGTAAATTAAGTCAATCTCGAGATCTTGATATTAGAGATCTACCTAATAGTTTTTGGGATGATGTTTCCGAATTGATTTGCAGAAGAGACCCTTAATCTTGTAAATAAAAATGGTTATAACTAAAAAAAACTGATTTATAATAAAAACCTTTCACTTAATAAGAAGATTAATTATTATTAGATTTAATTCATAAATATAAAGATTCTGAATAGGGTAAAAAATGGTGTTAAATTTCAGAAGAACTTAATTCTCAAATTTTAAATTATCGAACTAGTAAACAATGTAGAGAAAGGTGGTTAAATCATTTAAATCCAAAAATTTCTAAGTAAATAATTATTTCATTATAGAGACCCTTGGAATGATGACGAAGATATATTTTTATTAGATTTAATTTTACAATAAGGTAGAAAATGGGCAGAAATTTCAAAATTATTTGATGGTAGGAGAAATGAAAATACTGTTAAGAATAGATTTAATAGTTTAATAAAAAGAGAAAAAGATCTGATTGTTGAGTATGAATATCAATTTATAAATTTAAGTCTATAAAATGGATAAACAACAAATTTAGATACTATTTTGGGAAATCCTACTGGGCAGACATTAAATAAATAATAAATAATGGCCATAGAAGTTTTAAAAAATAAAATTTAATGGAGAAAAGGCCAAATCAAATCTGGTGAACAAATAAATGATTTTAGAAGAACTTCCATACATTAGACTTCTGAAAAATAAGAAGAATTTCAATTAAAAAGATCTTCTGTAGTGAAGTATTAAGTAGGACATTTGGGTTAAGAAGAAATTTAAAATGATGAATTAGTGCCTTGCTTAGTAAATTTAGAAAAAAATATAATTTATTTTTGCTCAAAGGAATAAATAGTAAAATTATTAAACAATTAAATAAATTAAATGAATTATAATCTTGAACTAGAAAAAAAAGATATTAAATCTTTTGATTCAGGATTAATTAACTTTAAAACTTAATTAAGTATCATAAGTGAAATAAATGATTCTAAATTTAGCTCATTTTTATGTGGATAAAATAATGAAGATAATTTTAGTTAAATAAGTAAAGTATTTTAAAACAATTTTATTTAAAAATAAATGATAGATTTAGAATAATATTTTAATTTAGATCCTCCTTAACATTAATAAATCAATTAATTGTTTAATCCGATTTAACAAATACATTATAAAGCATATTATTAAATAAGGAGAGCTTATAAATCAGAAGTTCTTTAATAAAATTTTAAAATAATAGATCAAAAAATTCCTAGGTCTTTGCCTAATGTAATTTCAATTATATCTTAATGAGTATTTATGATTATAAGTAAATATAGTAATTTAATAAGAAATATAGTAAAAATAAGATAATATTGATATTAAAAATTAATAAATTTAGTCAAATTCATCACTTATGTTTGAATTACTTAAGTTCTTTCATTAAAATATCTGTATTTTTGCCTTCTGCTTAATATCTCTTAACAATTTGGGCTGCCCATTCATCAAATTCTTTATCTTAATTATCTAGTCTTGCTAAACATTTATCTCTTTCATCGAAATTTTTCATAATTTCTTAAGTTCTTTTTTGATTTCTTTCATTTTCTTATTAATGATGAAAATCTTTTAATTCCTAATTTTTTTTTTTAATTTCCATTTTTTCTCTTAATTCTTATTCTTGTAATTCTTTATTTCTATTAATCCAATATTATTAGAATTCCTAATTTAATCTTTTTTCTTCTTCTTCTTATTATTATTTAACTTCCATTTTAACTTTATGACTATAACTTATTGCACTTTATAATTTACGTCTCTACTCTTTTTTCATTTTTTCAACTTCTTCTGCTTTAATTTCAGCTTCTATTATATTTTTATTTAATAATTTTTCTTATTCTTCTTTTTATTTTTTTAATTTTTCAGTTTAAGCATCAATTAATTTTTATCTTTATGCTTATTTTTCTGCTTTTCTTTATTCATCTCTAATTTTTCTAATTTCTAAANTCAATTTATAAATTTAAGTCTATAAAATGGATAAACAACAAATTTAGATACTATTTTGGGAAATCCTACTGGGCAGACATTAAATAAATAATAAATAATGGCCATAGAAGTTTTAAAAAATAAAATTTAATGGAGAAAAGGCCAAATCAAATCTGGTGAACAAATAAATGATTTTAGAAGAACTTCCATACATTAGACTTCTGAAAAATAAGAAGAATTTCAATTAAAAAGATCTTCTGTAGTGAAGTATTAAGTAGGACATTTGGGTTAAGAAGAAATTTAAAATGATGAATTAGTGCCTTGCTTAGTAAATTTAGAAAAAAATATAATTTATTTTTGCTCAAAGGAATAAATAGTAAAATTATTAAACAATTAAATAAATTAAATGAATTATAATCTTGAACTAGAAAAAAAAGATATTAAATCTTTTGATTCAGGATTAATTAACTTTAAAACTTAATTAAGTATCATAAGTGAAATAAATGATTCTAAATTTAGCTCATTTTTATGTGGATAAAATAATGAAGATAATTTTAGTTAAATAAGTAAAGTATTTTAAAACAATTTTATTTAAAAATAAATGATAGATTTAGAATAATATTTTAATTTAGATCCTCCTTAACATTAATAAATCAATTAATTGTTTAATCCGATTTAACAAATACATTATAAAGCATATTATTAAATAAGGAGAGCTTATAAATCAGAAGTTCTTTAATAAAATTTTAAAATAATAGATCAAAAAATTCCTAGGTCTTTGCCTAATGTAATTTCAATTATATCTTAATGAGTATTTATGATTATAAGTAAATATAGTAATTTAATAAGAAATATAGTAAAAATAAGATAATATTGATATTAAAAATTAATAAATTTAGTCAAATTCATCACTTATGTTTGAATTACTTAAGTTCTTTCATTAAAATATCTGTATTTTTGCCTTCTGCTTAATATCTCTTAACAATTTGGGCTGCCCATTCATCAAATTCTTTATCTTAATTATCTAGTCTTGCTAAACATTTATCTCTTTCATCGAAATTTTTCATAATTTCTTAAGTTCTTTTTTGATTTCTTTCATTTTCTTATTAATGATGAAAATCTTTTAATTCCTAATTTTTTTTTTTAATTTCCATTTTTTCTCTTAATTCTTATTCTTGTAATTCTTTATTTCTATTAATCCAATATTATTAGAATTCCTAATTTAATCTTTTTTCTTCTTCTTCTTATTATTATTTAACTTCCATTTTAACTTTATGACTATAACTTATTGCACTTTATAATTTACGTCTCTACTCTTTTTTCATTTTTTCAACTTCTTCTGCTTTAATTTCAGCTTCTATTATATTTTTATTTAATAATTTTTCTTATTCTTCTTTTTATTTTTTTAATTTTTCAGTTTAAGCATCAATTAATTTTTATCTTTATGCTTATTTTTCTGCTTTTCTTTATTCATCTCTAATTTTTCTAATTTCTAAAACTCTTTCTTTCTTTTTAGCATGTTCTTCTATTTTTTTTTCTTCTTCTAATAATTTCTATTTTTCAAATTCTCTTTGTTTTTTCAAAATTTCATTTCCCTAAATTAATAATTATTAATTTTCCATAATTTTATCTTTCTTTTATTTAGCTATCCTTTGTTCTTCTTCCAAATCTGCCTATACTTTAGCTTTCATTAATTCACCTTCTATTTTTTCTTCTTGTACTTATTTAATAAATTTATCCTATTCTAAAATTAACACATAATACTCTCATAATTTCATGTTATTTCTTTAACATATCATGTTATTATTTTTTTTTCTCTAATAATTCTTATTATTTCTTTTTTTCTAATTAATCTTTTTCAGCCTATATTTCTAACATTTATTCATATTAAACTTTTTCTCTTTCTTTTTCTAAATGTTTCTACATTTCTTTAATTTATTTTTATCCTTCTCTTTCTTAAATTGCATCTACAACAAGCATTTTAGATTGAAACTGTCTAATACGTTCATTATTCTCATAAATTTATTTATTAGCTTTTTCTAAAATTTATTATTTAACAAGTGCTTAATATCGACGCTCATCTTCATCTATTTTTCTCCTTTCTTCTTCATCCTACTTGAAACGTTCAAATCTAAAATGAAATTTATTAATTGAATACTTTGTTTTATCCTTCTAAACCTTATTTTATTTTAATGTATTATTCCAATTCTTTACACGATCCTATGATAATTTATGTCTTTTATGAACAGTTATTAATACAATTCAAATTTCTCTGGAGTATCTTAATGATATACTGTTATATGGTCTTGCATTCTCTTCAACTCAGACAAAGGAATCACTGCTGTGGTCTACTTACTAGAGGCTACTGCTGATTATACTCTTCGAACACTCATTTTTTATATTATTATAATCAATTATTTTATTAACCAGATTCTTGCATATTAGAGTTAATTTAATAAAAGTAGTCTCTTTCGTTTATACTTTCTTCTAGATCTTATGGGATCAAGGGATTCACTAAACTAAGATTGTTCATCTAAAATACATTCTTATTCTTTAGAATCTCTTCTGAAAACTTCTTCTTGGACACTACTTTATGAGATATAAGCAAAGAAATTAAAGAATTCCCATAAGGATAGCATAGTCCAACTTATTGTACTTTATATTCCTCCTATCTTAGAATAGAAGTTTATTTACATCAACATTAAAAAAGGTTTCTAAGTCCATAATAGTGAATAGAATAGAACAAAGGATTGTGATAATTGGATAAGCTAACAATCGTTTAACAATTTTTTTGACTTCAACAAAAATAATTTCATCAATATTTTCTTCATAACTAGATTATTATTTTATGGAATGCTTTACAATTTCTTAATATTATAAAGAACAGTTAAACTGTAGATGAGATAAAATATGATTGGGATTTCCCATGATATCAACTTAGCAATTTCAACTTGGATCTTTACTCCAGGAGATTGATAAGAAGTTGTATAAAGATAACAAAAATTATTAGTCGACTATTCAGATGTAGCTCCATCCAAGACTGCTGGCCATATAGCCAGGAGGATTGGTATCCCAAAAGAACATATTAACAGTTTAAATTCATTGTTTCTCAATTAATTATGCATGCTTTCTAATTCTTATAGAGTTCCTTTATTTGAATATACATTAAATAGTTTTCTAGTATAGAATATGAATTCTACTTTAATGCCCAAATCATTATTGTACTCCAAAATATCATTATCAATGAACCACAAATTAAAACACTTACTGATACTTTACAGTTCGTAATTCCATAACTGGATGATAATTGAATACCTATAATTTGAATCAATGATCCTATCGTAATATAAATAATCGTATGTGAGAAAAATCCTTGACGTAATTTTTCAAAATGAAAAAATAAGAAAAATATCACAAAGGCTCCACATAATGATAAGCAATTCCCTGTTGTAATAATAATCTCGTAAGTTTTCATTTTTATTTTTATTTTTATAATTAAACACTATTCTATTCATTAAAACTCATAATATATATTTTTTTATGGATTAATCACTTAATGATGCTGAGGCCTTCCTTAAATAAAAAATAAAAATCAATCCATTAAAGGATCAGATGTTGTAAAACTAAAAGAATTATGAGATTTAACTCCAAGTAGCTAATTATTTCAAAAAATCTGAAACTTACACTAAAAAACCAGCAATCAAATTAATGAGTATGATTTTATCTCATTTAATTAATCAGGCAATGAAAATGATGATTTACAAGTTTATTTCATTTATGGAGAACATATTCCAGATCCAAGTAGAAAGTAAGATTATGACTCCTTTAAAATTGATATTATAGAAACAATGCATCCAAGAATTGACAAATTTTTTATTATTGTCTTTTTTAATACTAATATGATGACTGCATCAACACTCAATGATTTCAAAGATTTTTATGGTACTTTACCTGAAAAATACTTTTTTCATATGAAGAAATTTATTGTCCTTCATGCAAATTTTATAGTCAAAGGTGGAGGTATTTTTGGTATGAATGAAATCAAATCATTTTTTAAGAAAATCACTACATTTGCTGATACGTATAATTCTATATTAATATTTAGACTTCTTATCCTATCTAAAGAAGAATGGTTTAGATATAAAATGTTAGCTGCATTACCAGAAAGTGTTAAGGCATATGATTAATCTTATAAAGATATTGAAAATTAAAGAAAAAAAACTGTTCTCAGAAAACAACAAACCTAATAAGCAGTTGGAGATGATGATATAGATTCAGATGATAATTTTGATAAAGATTCTAAAATTTTAGGATTGAATTTACATGAATATGAGAGAAATAAATATGGTATACCAGTCATTCTAGATATGCTTGTTTAATATTTTGAAAAATAACCAGAAAAACTTAAAACAGAAGGATTATTTAGAAAATAAGCTGCTGTTTATGAAGAAAAAGTAGTTGAGGCAGCATTAGCTTGTTAAAAAGTAGGATTTGTAAATAAAGTTGAAAATGCACATACAATTGCATGTGTTTTTAAACAGTTTTTTTTAAAATTGAGAGAACCTTTAATGACATATTAATTATATGATTGGGTTGTTTAGAATAAACCATAAATTGAATAAAATTTGGAAGTAAGTGTGTAAATGCTTTTTGATTACATGCCAGAAATGAATAGAGAAATATTACTATTCTCTTTAGGATTTCTATATTCAGTCATTAAAGAATAACAACATAATTTAATGACTACTTATAATATGGCTGTTGTATTTGGACCCAACTTTTTTAGATCTGAAGTAGTTAAAATGGCTGATTTAGGTCATGTTACGTAATAATTTAAATAAATTTAGACTTTTTGTTCAAATAGTACAAATTATGTTGGAATAAAAAAAAGATTATGATTATAAAAAGATGTTAGAAAAAAGAAGTGATAATTTAAATTTTGATGCATCTTTGGTTCCATTTTTGCCTGATGATTTAGCCAATTTAGATGATATATTAGATATGGTCACTGGTAAATATTGCATACTAAGACAATAGACAAAAATGTAGTAAACGAAACAGAGAGAAAAGAATTAAAGGCTAGATATAAATGATTTGAGTATATTGTTAAATCAAATTATTGTGATTTTAAGTTAGTTATAATTATTCATAAGGTTTCATCAAGTGTATGTAAAGTTGTAGAAGTTAACTATTTCTTCTTAATGTCTAATATCTACATTCCAAATATTTTTGATTCATTTTTATATCTAGTTAATCTAAATTATTTATATGGTTAATTTGTCATGATGTGATTTCTTTGAGTGCGTGCAGATTAATATAAAGATGGTAATCTATTATTGCATGATCTATTCATTCTTGCTTCTTTTTATAAAATTTAGGATAATATTTCATTATTTCTTGAAATACTCTTATTTCCATTCATTTTTAAATGAATATTTTTTTATTTTATTAATGAATCCTCTACTTGACAATTTTAGTAAAGAAAAAAAGAATTTAAAGTTATTTAAATAACTTATTAAACTAGAAAGTAAGGCTTTGAAATAGTTTCTCAATGAAACAATCTTATTATCCAAATAATACAATTCTTCATTATTTGATGGAATTCATTATTCTCTATCTAAATTTTAATCTGATCTATAAAACCAATATATTCAATTGAAATAACTAGGTAAATAATTCTACAAATTGAAACAAGATATAATTTCTTCATATATTTAAAAAAAGGCGCAAACTTGCTTTAAAAATAAACTATCATTTGAAAATAAAGAATTTGATGAGACTGATATTGATAACTAAAATGAAACAAAGAAGTAATAGGATTACTCAATAATACAAATAGATGATATTATAAGAAAGGAGAAATGTTTGATAAAAAAGACAAACTAAATTATATAAATATTCACAGAAAAACATAATCTAACTCTATATAATATGTAGAAATTAAATAATTAAGAATTTACAGGATTTTCAGATTAAAAGAATGTGTATATGAAATCAAATTCTAAAGCAACAATTTTATCTAGTTAAACAATTGAATCAATTACAATAGATTCTTTGGATGAAAATGAATCAATTTTAGTAATTGATTTTAGTTTTGAAAAATAGTTATAGAAAGAAAGATAATTAGATTAGTTCTTGAATGATTAGCAAAAAAAGAAATTGTTTTGAATGACTTACTTTATTATGATTATCTATATTTTATATGAATTTAGTTGCTAAATAAATTTGTAATTTATTTGTTCCTTTTTTTTTTAATATCAAATGAGGGCAAGTACAAAAATATCATCCAAAAGGGTAACGCTGACATCTGAATTAGCTAATCGTTCGTTATCTTTAGCCTAAATCTATCATGGTATTTTTGTAGCAATAATTATAAAGTTGTAAAAGGGAAGAAAGAGAGAGCTGATTTCTTAAAGGACTCAAATAAGTTGAAGTTTTCTTTATAGACTTATGCATTCAAGAATTCTTCACATCCATCCAATATTTTTGATGATAAGTAGATTATGAATATTAATAAAATTAAGGGGATCCGAGTAGAGTGATGATTCATTCTACTTAAGTAGTGAAAATATATCAGAAGATTCTATCCTTTCGGTTCATGTAGTTGATAAATATAATAAAAGTGATGAGGGTTCTTCTTTTAAGAAGTCAAATAATAGTTTAAGATTAAGTAAAAATGATATCGATCAGCATTCAATTTAAATGGAAGGGATGAATTATTAATAAAATATAAATGAAGGAGAAGTCTAATTGTAAAAGATTATAAAAAAATATTAAAAGTAAATGCAAAGAAATCCTTTGCAAGATCCATATTATGTTTAATTAAAAATATNATACAATTCTTCATTATTTGATGGAATTCATTATTCTCTATCTAAATTTTAATCTGATCTATAAAACCAATATATTCAATTGAAATAACTAGGTAAATAATTCTACAAATTGAAACAAGATATAATTTCTTCATATATTTAAAAAAAGGCGCAAACTTGCTTTAAAAATAAACTATCATTTGAAAATAAAGAATTTGATGAGACTGATATTGATAACTAAAATGAAACAAAGAAGTAATAGGATTACTCAATAATACAAATAGATGATATTATAAGAAAGGAGAAATGTTTGATAAAAAAGACAAACTAAATTATATAAATATTCACAGAAAAACATAATCTAACTCTATATAATATGTAGAAATTAAATAATTAAGAATTTACAGGATTTTCAGATTAAAAGAATGTGTATATGAAATCAAATTCTAAAGCAACAATTTTATCTAGTTAAACAATTGAATCAATTACAATAGATTCTTTGGATGAAAATGAATCAATTTTAGTAATTGATTTTAGTTTTGAAAAATAGTTATAGAAAGAAAGATAATTAGATTAGTTCTTGAATGATTAGCAAAAAAAGAAATTGTTTTGAATGACTTACTTTATTATGATTATCTATATTTTATATGAATTTAGTTGCTAAATAAATTTGTAATTTATTTGTTCCTTTTTTTTTTAATATCAAATGAGGGCAAGTACAAAAATATCATCCAAAAGGGTAACGCTGACATCTGAATTAGCTAATCGTTCGTTATCTTTAGCCTAAATCTATCATGGTATTTTTGTAGCAATAATTATAAAGTTGTAAAAGGGAAGAAAGAGAGAGCTGATTTCTTAAAGGACTCAAATAAGTTGAAGTTTTCTTTATAGACTTATGCATTCAAGAATTCTTCACATCCATCCAATATTTTTGATGATAAGTAGATTATGAATATTAATAAAATTAAGGGGATCCGAGTAGAGTGATGATTCATTCTACTTAAGTAGTGAAAATATATCAGAAGATTCTATCCTTTCGGTTCATGTAGTTGATAAATATAATAAAAGTGATGAGGGTTCTTCTTTTAAGAAGTCAAATAATAGTTTAAGATTAAGTAAAAATGATATCGATCAGCATTCAATTTAAATGGAAGGGATGAATTATTAATAAAATATAAATGAAGGAGAAGTCTAATTGTAAAAGATTATAAAAAAATATTAAAAGTAAATGCAAAGAAATCCTTTGCAAGATCCATATTATGTTTAATTAAAAATATTAAGAGGATATGAAAGACTTAAATTCGAATTAACAGTATGTGTTCAAACTTAATTAGCGTTATCATGACAAAAACAGATTTTTATAAATGAGAAAGAGGATAGTATTTTTATGTTACATATTTCCTATAATAATAAATGGATTAGTAAAATCGATTTATTTTAAATTATTTATGACAACATTAATAATATTCAATGTTGCATTGTTTATATATGTAAAGACAAACAATAGAAAAGATACAGATCAAATAGAACAAGTCATAACAGTATTCTTTTTAATTGAGGTAAGCTTTAGAATCATTGCCTCAGGTGTAATTTTAAATAGAAAAAGCTTTTTTAGAAGTCCATTAAATATATATGATTTTACATTAGTTGTTCTTACAACCTTAAATTTATATAGACCTGATATAATAATTTTAGATCTATCCCCATTAAGAATGATCACCTTATTAAATTACTTAGGAGATGTATTAAAAGGTCTATCAATAATGCTAAAAGCTTTAATATCATCATTAAAATTTCTCTTAGAAGCCTTGATAATAGTGGGTTTATTTTCACTATTTTTTGGTGTCTTTGGAGTTTTACTGTTTTAGAATTTGTTTAATTATAGATGTTAATATGAGAATGGAGATGAAACAGAAGGTTGGATTTAATGTAATGAAAATATATGTCCAGATGGTATGAGTTGTTAATATTCTGATTACACACCAAAACAACCAACTTCATTTAATAATATCATTTATTCATTAGGACAGATTTTAAGAACTATAACAATGGATGATTGGAGTTGGGTAATGTTTTTCACAATGAGAATATTTAATCCTTGGATATGGATATATTATTTATTGATCATTTTTGTGGGTGGATTTTTTGGATTCAATTTAGTTATTGCTGTTTTGAAAACTCATTATGCAGAAGTGGCTTAAGAAACTGTATAAGAGGAGATCAATTAATAAATTATGGCAAGATTAAAAGAGAAGTAGGAAAATCCAGAGAGAGATTTGATTTAGATCTTTGATGTGGCTGTTTTAAAACATATTGGAATATATAAGGCTTACTTGAGTTATAAAAAATAATTGACTAATCCACTTTATTAATCATAATCTCATCCAATAGAAGAATTGAGTTTTGAAAATGTTAAAACAAAAGTAAGGACACTATCTGGTAGATAGAAGACTAATGAGAAAGTATTATTATTAATTATTATTTAAGAATAGAAATCAAAAAGGATTTTAAGCTTATTTAGATTAATTTAGTTTGAAATATTTATTATTGCCTAGATTTAAATATTTAGATAAATTCAAGCAAATGATTAAGGTGTCAAATTATACAGATGATCAATTAGAAATGAAATTAATCTCAAGATTGTTGGAGAATCAATTCTCATAACTCTCTCCATATCCTAATTATGATATTTATCAATCTTTTAGTAGTGGGGATGATGTTTTATTAGCTTTCATGTAAATTTCATATTTCATTTAAGTGAAAAAGAAAAACATAAGAAAATTGTTGACTAAAACTAATTGATTAAATAATGCAGATAGATTAAATTTAAACAAGTATATTCACTAATAAAGGTGAAACCAAAATAAACCATGACTTCATCGAAAGCATTAATTCCAATGAAATAAGTTCGAAGAAAGATAAAAACATCTTAAATCGATCAGACTAATGATGAGATTACTAAAAAACATCATAATATCAATAGAGAGGCTTCTATTTAAGTGAAGATGAATAACTTTAAGCATTGTTAAACCTAAAGTAGTTTTCCTTTCTCAGTAGTTAGTAAGAGGAAGATTTATGTTATGATATAAGAATAATATATCGATTATGAAGCAGTATGCGAAAAAATCAATCTAAAAATACCAATAATGATTGATAATTCAACTTCAAATGAATTTAAATATCGATTATTAAGAAAGAAGGAATTGAAGAAAAGATTAATAGAAAAGAAGAATTGGTCTGGGAGTGATGTATTATTGTTAGACATTTTGAGGGCAAATGAATTTAATGAAATAAAATAGAAATTGAATTATTAAGATCATCAAATTTGGTTGACTGGATTAAAAGGTAAGATTACTACTGCAAGAAAATATTGTTATATTTTAATAAGTAGTAGATTTAGTTAATTCTTTTTTGATTTGATAATTTTATTCAATTTTACTTTTTTATCATTATAAGGTATAGCAAATCCTGAATTGATATCATAAATAGAAGATATCACAACTATTCTATTATGTTTAGAGTAATCATTTAAATTATTCTCTTATCCATGTAGAGAATTACTCAATTATCCAAGTTAAATTTTATAGTTATTCATAATCATTTTGAATTTTATTGAGTTAACTCTAGGAGATCAAATAACAAATTCAAATCTATAAAGTTAAAAATTGATTCGAGGAACAAAATGTCTTTTATTTTATAGATGTTTAAGATATAATAAAATGGCAAGTAAAATTGGATAAATAGCATCAAAAACATTTGAGTCTTATATATATTTGACAGTTTTGATGTTAATGGTGATTTTTATGTATGCATTAATAGGAATGGAAATGTATGCAGGTTAATTTAATTAATTAGAAACTTTAGGATAATTACATTCATTTGATAATATTTTAAAATCATTTATGACAATTTTTAATATTATGACAAATGATGATTGGTATGGAGTATATGTTATGGGAGGAGAAATAAGTTATACATTTTCAGTTATATATTCATATTCTATGGTTATTATATTAAATTATTGTACATATGGATTAGTTTTAGCAATATTATTGGATGGATTTGGTAAATATTTAGGGAATTAAGAGGAAGAAATAATGGAGAAAGAAGAATTGTAAACTCAATAAATAAGTGCAAATTCTGAATAACATGAGATTACATATGATGAAACAATTGCTAATAGTAATTAATTATAATCCAAAACCCAAAAAATAAGTTTAATATCTCATTTACTCGTATCAATAAAATCATCATATAAAAGTATTTAACAAAAGCATTAGTCTATATATTAAGGAATAGAATGTTAATAGTCACTTTATGTATTTGATAAATCCAATATATTAAGAATAATAATTACTAAGGTTGTTATTAAAATCTATTATTAATATTTCATAGATTTTGTGATATACAGTTCTATTATAATATTTATTATTAAGACATATAATGATTTTGAAACAAATTCATCAGATATGCCAGATAAATTATAATTTATTGCTAATATTATTATTTTGACTGATTTTATATTAAATGTAATTGCTAAAGGCTTATTTTTAGATCCAGGCTCATTTTTAACAAACACTTGGCAAATAATAGATGTAATTTATATAATAGCAAATCTTATACAATATTAATTCAATAATGAAATTATAAAGATTTTATTATTTATGGGATACTTTCGACCCATGAAATTAATGTATAGAATTACATGGTTATCATAATTAAGAGCAGCATTAGGTTAAGCTTTGTTGGATATATTAAATGTATTTATTACTCTTGTTTCTGTTTGGTTAATATTTGGTGTTTATGGTATAATATTATATGAAAAATAATTTGGATATTGTGAAGATAAAATGTCTTTTTATGTATCATATAATGATTGCATTTAATCAAATAAAACATGGGTGAATTATAAACATAATTTTGATAATATCACAGTAGCAATTCCAACTTTATTCACTGTATCAACTTTTGATGGATGGGGAGAAATCTTATAAGTAGCTGAAAATAGTTAAACTTCAGATACTGGACCTATTCCATTTAATAGTTATTTGTATACATACTTATATTTGATAATCTTTTGTTTTATTGGATCAATGTTTTTTTTGAGTTTGTTTACTGGAATTCTATTCAATAGTTTGAAAGAAAATTAATTTAAAATGGAAAATAGTCAATATACTTAAGTTTAAAGAGAATTTATGAAAATTACTAATATTTTAATGTCAGATTTTCCATTATATTCAGCACCTCCAAAGAGTAAAGTTAGAAAGATTTCAAGTAAGGTTGTAAACAATATACATATCTAATATTTTATTTATGGTTGTTTAATATTAGATTTAATAATTTTATTATTATTTAATTCTGAAATGAGTGACAATTATTTTGATATTGCTAATTATATGCATAATTCACTTACTATTTTATATTTAATATGGATAATATTATTATTTTTGGCTTTGGGTGTTAATAGATATTTTGATAATTATTGGAGAAGATTTTATCTATTATTAGTTTTAATTGGATTAGTAGATCTTATTGCTAATTCTATTACAAATTGGACTCATCTTTATTTCAAATCACATCCTGGAGATTAATATTATTAATTATTAAGATTGTTTTTTAGTCTAAGAAGTTTAAGAATTATTTTAATATTTCAAGGTTTAATAAATATATAAAGATTGCTTAGAGTAATGGTATTTGCAATGCCTTATTTGGTGAAAATATTTACAATACTTATTATTACAATGGTCATTTTTGCTTTATTTGGCTGTTAACTTTATGGAAGGATAGATTCAGGATAAGTTATGGATGATATAATTAACTTTACTAATTTTGGAAATGCCATGTTAGCTTTATTTAAATGTGCTTCAGGTGATGATTGGAGAACAATAATGACTGATACTATGTAACATAATCCATTATGTCAAGAAGATGATAAATATTGTGGATCTGCTGCTAATTAATTATTTTTTATTCTTTTTATGTTATTGTCTAATTATGTTCTATTGAATTTATTTGTCTTAGGATTAATAGAATAATTTGAATAGTTTTTTCAAATGTAAAACTCATAAATTCAAACTTATGTTGAGAACATTGATAAAATTAAGAATACATGGTGTAAGTATTCATAAGAAACTTAAGGTATGTCTATGCATTTTAAATTTCTTTGTAAATTTTTAATTGATATTGGATAACCTTTAGGAGTAGATAAAGATTCTAATTTATGGGATGCTTGTAAATTATCATCTTAACTGAAATTATAAAGGTATTAAATAACATTAAACTTAGTGACATCCATGGATACATTTAATATAATTTCCTCATGTATGAATTGTTTAGGAGATGCTTTTATAATGAAGTTTTTAAATCTGGAAGCTAAGACTCTATTACACAAATAAAGAAATTTAATAAAGAATCATAATTTAGATTAATGTATTATAGAAAAAATAAAAATCTACCTCGTTCCAATATTAGTCCTTCAGCTACAATTCAGCCTAATATCAATCTTCTTCATGATTATTTAAATGTTTTAATCTTATTTAAAACATGGGAATAATTCAGCAAATAATTAATTGAAAAAGTGAATTAAGACCAAGATTATTTTACTGATTAAAGTGTATCAATCCCAGGCATAATATAAAATGAGTATCAAATATCTCCACTATTTTAAGTTATCAACAAAGCTAGAATCACATATTATAAAATAATTGTGAAAGTGAGATAGAAAATGAAATTATCAGTAATGCATCTGTAAGTAGACATAGTGTGTCGATTAACAGTTAGATTAATAGATATAATGATTTACCCATATATAAGGGTAGTTATGACACATCATTGTAGAGTGAAAATAGAGATTTCCCCTATTTCATCAAAGTCAATAAATAAATTGAGTTGGATGAATGATAATCATTTATTTATTTTAAGTAATCCTTTTGAATATATTTTATTCTAAATAAATCATTAATTCTATTTGAATACATATCAATCTACTAACTAATTTTTAAACCTCTACTCTCTATAAACCATCATTTAAAATTAAATATTTTGTTGAAAGCAATTAACATATTTTATGAAACTTATGTAATATATCAAAAATATAATAATTATAAGATTTCTAATNAATTTTGGAAATGCCATGTTAGCTTTATTTAAATGTGCTTCAGGTGATGATTGGAGAACAATAATGACTGATACTATGTAACATAATCCATTATGTCAAGAAGATGATAAATATTGTGGATCTGCTGCTAATTAATTATTTTTTATTCTTTTTATGTTATTGTCTAATTATGTTCTATTGAATTTATTTGTCTTAGGATTAATAGAATAATTTGAATAGTTTTTTCAAATGTAAAACTCATAAATTCAAACTTATGTTGAGAACATTGATAAAATTAAGAATACATGGTGTAAGTATTCATAAGAAACTTAAGGTATGTCTATGCATTTTAAATTTCTTTGTAAATTTTTAATTGATATTGGATAACCTTTAGGAGTAGATAAAGATTCTAATTTATGGGATGCTTGTAAATTATCATCTTAACTGAAATTATAAAGGTATTAAATAACATTAAACTTAGTGACATCCATGGATACATTTAATATAATTTCCTCATGTATGAATTGTTTAGGAGATGCTTTTATAATGAAGTTTTTAAATCTGGAAGCTAAGACTCTATTACACAAATAAAGAAATTTAATAAAGAATCATAATTTAGATTAATGTATTATAGAAAAAATAAAAATCTACCTCGTTCCAATATTAGTCCTTCAGCTACAATTCAGCCTAATATCAATCTTCTTCATGATTATTTAAATGTTTTAATCTTATTTAAAACATGGGAATAATTCAGCAAATAATTAATTGAAAAAGTGAATTAAGACCAAGATTATTTTACTGATTAAAGTGTATCAATCCCAGGCATAATATAAAATGAGTATCAAATATCTCCACTATTTTAAGTTATCAACAAAGCTAGAATCACATATTATAAAATAATTGTGAAAGTGAGATAGAAAATGAAATTATCAGTAATGCATCTGTAAGTAGACATAGTGTGTCGATTAACAGTTAGATTAATAGATATAATGATTTACCCATATATAAGGGTAGTTATGACACATCATTGTAGAGTGAAAATAGAGATTTCCCCTATTTCATCAAAGTCAATAAATAAATTGAGTTGGATGAATGATAATCATTTATTTATTTTAAGTAATCCTTTTGAATATATTTTATTCTAAATAAATCATTAATTCTATTTGAATACATATCAATCTACTAACTAATTTTTAAACCTCTACTCTCTATAAACCATCATTTAAAATTAAATATTTTGTTGAAAGCAATTAACATATTTTATGAAACTTATGTAATATATCAAAAATATAATAATTATAAGATTTCTAATGCATTTTCTAAAATACTTTGGAACATAATAATTTTTCACTATTTATATTATATGAATAATGAAGATTTGGAGCGTATAACATTCTCAAAGTAATTTCAATCTAATTACATAGTTAAACATCCATTTAAGGAACTGCTCATTTCAAGAGCAGACTAGGAGCAGATAAATTTGAAAATATGAAATTGAATAAGCAATTAAAAAGTTAAAGCTTTAACACTTATGGAAGTGGTACACCTAAAGCAAGGAAGGCAAAAAAAACTAAAACAAATATTATATTAAGGAATGAAGAAAATGTATTTGGCAGCAGATTTGATAATGATAATTTATCAAGAAAGGATATTTCTTCTGTTAAAATGACATTTGGAGCCAAATCCGAAAAAGTTAAGTAGGACAGCACTAAATAGGTATTTAATAGTATGAGTTTAGATAATTTAATAAATAAATGAAAAAGTATAGAAGCAAAAATACAAGTTTGCATAAGAGAAGATGAAATGCAGAACTGAAAAGACCATTAATAATAGTGATAATTAATTCTATAAGATGAATAAAAAGTATGAAAAAATTAAGCAAAAAATTGAATAAATTTATTTAGTTGATTTATATAAAATATATGGATATCAAAGGTTGAAATATGAATTGAATGTAATTTGTTATTTAAATAGATTTATCAAGATAATTATAGTTTTTTGGAACTTAGAAAAATCATAGTCAAATTTATTTATGGCATACTCATAATTTTAAATCATATGCAAAGAACCATATTTTATAAAATATTTATGTCAATTATAATATTAGAAAATTTGGTGATTTTTGTATCTAAAATTTTATCTTTAGATGATGATAAGTTCATAGTTTATGAAAGAAGTATAATAATTTTTATACAAATTAGTGGTAATATACATATACATTGCTGATTAAGTATTTCGAATACTCTCAAAAGGAATAATAGGACATAAACATGCCTATTTTCGAGTTGTTAAAAATTGGTTTGACTTAATTTTAACAGTCTTATAAATTAATACTACCTTAATCCGTAATATAGAATCTGTTGATTTCTCGCCATTGAGATTAATTACATTACTTTTGTATTTGGGAGATTTTGTGCCAGGTATTTATATTTACAAATTAGGATTAAAAATTATGTTAAAATCTCTTGGTAAATCATTTAAATACTTGTTTGAAGCTTTAATAATTGTGATTATTTTCGGACTATTTTTTGCAACCCTTGGATAGAGTCTTTTTCATGGTCTTATAAATTATAGATGTCTACCTAAATAATATGATTCTTTAGATGAATAACCATGGATTTCATGTAGAATAACATCTTGTCCTGATGATTTAGTTTGTCAATATGTCTCATCAGGACCTAATATTCCAACATCTTTTAATAATATTTTTTCATCTTATGCTTAAGTATTAAGAACAATTACAATGGATGATTGGACATGGGTCATGTATTTTACTCTTAAAAGTTATGGTACTTATATATGGGTTTATTATTTATTGATAATCTTTTTTGGTGGATTTTTTGGATTTAATTTAGTTATTGCTGTTTTAAAAATTCATTATAGTTAATAAACTAATTAAAAATTTAATCAATTTGAAGATGATGATTAACATCAAAAAGAGGAGAAATTAAATTTATAAATTTTGAAATAAAATGGATTATATCATCCTATTTTATAATATAAAATGTATTTGAAAGGAGATCATTAATTATTAAATAAAAGTTTTTGTTCAATGGTTTCTAGTATATCTGAATAGCCTCGTATATTATCAGGTAAACACTATTCTAAATATGAAAATAAATATTAATTTTTGAAGTAATTTTCATTAAAAACTTTATTACTACCTAAATTCTTGGATATTAGAAAATATTAGAATTTGCTTTAAGATTTATATGATAATTTGATGGAGAAACCTGATATCAATATGTAGTGTTTAACTCATAATGAATTTACAAGATATTGGGCACATGCTAAAAATGTAGAATATGTTTCAAATAGTACATCTGATGTTATGTATTTTAAATCAGAAACCAGTTAAAAAATGTTAGTTTAATAGAGAGTTTTGTAATTTAGATATCATACAAAACCAAAGAATAAAATGAGAAACTAAAAAGAACTTAATGCATTTCCAATATTTAAGAGTACAAGATTAAAAGATAAAATAGTATCATTTGCTTCTAGTGGAATTACATTAATGGATATTCAACATCATTAATCTAAGGCTACTTAATAATAAACAATGTCCATTCATCCTAATAATAATTTATTTATTTCAACTTAAATCAAGAAGAACACTAATACATTTATTTTACATAAAGAAAAAGAAATATATGTTAAAATATATGGATTTTATCATAATTACAAAGCAGTATCAGAATTAATCAATAAGAAAATATAAATTAGAAATGCAGATGAGATAAAAGATTATGAAGAGAAATATTTATAAATAAGAATGTCAGAAATGCAGACTGGAATTATTGAATCTAAAAACTGTTCTATCTCTAGTGTTATTAATAATTATGAACATAAAAATATTATTAAAAATTCGTTAAATCATATAGACTATTTAATTTGGTTAGTAGGAATAAGAGGGAAAATTATAATTATTAGGAAGATAACATTTATGATTATTACAAATAAATTTACAAATTTTTTTGTGGATTGTGTAATTTTAATAAACTTTTTATGTTTAAGTTTGATAGGCATTATATCTAATCAATTTCTATCAGTAATAGAAGATTTTACAACAATAGTAGTTTCACTTGAACTTGCATTAAAGTTAATATCTTTTTAAACATGTATTAATTATGTTTATGATTATTATAGCAAGATTAATTTAAAAAGACTAACTTATTTTTGAATCTATAATCATTATCATTAATTTTAGTGAAATGTCATTTAGATAGATTCTTAATTAATAAGACATTATTGCAAGATTATTAAGAGGCACAAAGATTCTCTTATTTCATAGATGTTTAAAATATATAAGAATGGCAGTACTAATAGGTTTGATAGCAAAAAGAACATTTAAATAATATATATATTTGACATTTTTAATGTTTCTAATGATACTTATATATGGTTTATTGGGTATGGCTGTTTATGCAAGTAGTTTTGATGAAACAACATTACTTGGACATTTACATTCATATAAAGATCCTTTAAAATCTTGGATGACTGTGTTTAATATTATGACAAATGATGATTGGTATGGTGTGTTAGCATTAGGAACATAAGTAAATTAAATATTTGCATTTATCTATTCATTTTCAATGATTCATTTTTTAAATTATATAACTTATGGTTTAGTGATGGCTATATTATTGGATGGTTTTGGAGAATATTTAATAGAGATAAAGAAAGATTAAGATATAAAATTTAAAGATGAAGTTTCTGATAAACATGATTCAGATTCAGATGCTGAAGAGAATGATAAGGAAAAGGAAAAAGCAACAAAATCACTTAAATAATTGTCTTAAAACCAATAACTTTAAAAGGATACTCAATATTGGTATCTTTTAGAATCGATATGTAACATATTGATAAATATATATATATAGAATAATTAGTGAAATAGATAAAAACAAAGAGAAGAAAGATTTATTTAGGAATTCAATGTAAGGAATCCTTATTTTGTTTTGATAAATTCAATAAATAGAGAATCTTGTGTGTAAAAACTATTAGATCAGAAATCTTCTATTGGAGCAGATTAGGATTGAATATAGGATTTATTGTTTTAATAGCAATATAAACTTATCATGTTGAATATATGGTAATTGTAGATTCTTTGATTTTGATAACTAATTTATTGATAACTGTGTAGACAATTATGTTAATAATAGCATTAGGATTATTTCATGAAAAAGGAACTTATATATAAGTATATTTAATAATTATATTTAGCACATTTGGTAAATCACAGACATAATTTATTTAGTATGTTATTATTTATAATTGATAAATACAGAAAGTAGAATATTACATTTATTTTTATATTTAAGATATTTAAGACCATTTAAATTATTGTATTCATTTAAACCAATAGTTAAATTGTATAATTCTTTAGTAGCTGCCTTATATAATATGAGTAATGTGTTAATAACATTATTAATAATTTGGACTATGTTTGCAGTTTATGGTATGATATTATATTAGAATAAATTTGGATTCTGTGATGATTTAATGTAATTTGATATAAATAAATAATAATGTGAAGATGAAGGAAGAAGATGGATTACATATTAACATAATTTTGATAATATTACAGTTGCCTTGCCTACATTGTTTGTGATATCTACATTTGATGGTTGGGGTGAAATATTATAAGTAGCTGAAAATTCAAGACCTTCATATTAAGGTCCATCTCCATTTGCAAATCAATTGCCTACATATATTTATTTAACTCTATTCTGTTTTATAGGTTCTATGTTTTTTTTAAGTTTATTTACTGGTCTATTGTTTCTTAATCTAAAAGCAAGTTAATAGAAAATAGAATATGATGATTTAACTGTCTATTAATAAGAGTTTATATAGATTTCATAAAAAATTCTTAGAGATTCACCTTCATTTTCATAACCTCCTAGAAATATCATAAGAAGAATAGCATAAAAATTAAATAATAATTAATACTTTTAATATCTATCATTTCTTATACTAATACCAGATACAATAATTTAAATGTCTTTTTATTAAGATATGGATGTAGAATTGGCAGTAGAATTAAATAAGTATTATGAAATAATATCAATGTTATTTACATTTTGGGTTATAGTGTAACTCTTAGATTATGGATTTAAAAGATTTATAGATGATTAATGGAGAAAATTCTATTCATTAATAGTTATAATATCAATATTTGAATTAATTGCAACACAAAAATATGATTTATTTAGAATTTAATTTACATCTACAATGTTTACTGAGAATTATCAGATTATTAGATTATTATTTGCTTTAAGAAATCTTAGAATACTAATATTATTTAAGGGATTTGATGATCTTTAAAGATTAATTAGAGTAATGATATTTTCATTTCCATTTTTGGGAAAGATATTATTTATTTTGGTAGTAACAACATTGTCTTATGCTTTATTAGGATGTTAATTATTTGGACATATTGATAAAGGAATTATAATAGATTCTTAGATTAATTTTTCAACTTTTACAAGTTCTCTTTTGACCTTATTAAAGTGTGGATCTTGTGATAATTTTAGAAATATAATGGCTGATACAATGATTCATAATATTTACTGTTATGATGATCCTCGATATTGTGGATCATAATTTGCATAAATTTACTTTATTTCCTTTGTTTTTATTTCTAATTATGTATTATTAAATTTATTTGTTTTGGGATTGATTGAATAATTTGAGAAATTCTTTTAATCAGAAAATTCAATACTTTAAGTATATATAGAATCAATTGATAAAATAAAAACTGTTTGGTGTAAATACTCATATCAAAGACATGGAAAAGCTATGCATTATTTATAGATTTGTAAATTTCTTTTAGAAATTGGTTAACCATTCACACATGTTAAAGATAATATTTGGGATGCAGCACGTTTGGCTGGATACTTAAAAATTAGAACAGATGATAAAGGCTATATTTAATTTAATTCTTTAATATATGAAATATTTAGAAGAACTTTTAAATAGTAAGTTTTTAAATAAGGATCTGAAGATTCAATTAAAATAATTAAAAAATTTAATAAGGAGATGCAAATGAGACTTTTTTATTTTAGAAGAGACAAATTATAAAAGAGATCATTTATTGCTACATATGTTGAATTTAATAGTAATTTTAGTATAGCAAGTGATTATCTTTCAATATTAGTTATTTTTAAAGCTTGGTAAAATTATACAAAATAATTAATTAAAAGATCTAAATTAGAATAAGAAGATTTTTCAGATAATTCTTCATTTGGATAAGAAATATAGTAATTTAATTTATTTATTATATTAGAGATATTGATATATTTTCAAGAGTAGATGAAGAAGAAGAATAAAGTAAAGAAAATTTAACTAGAAAGATTCCATCAAATCCTATTAAATCTAATTAATGTTTAACATTTGAAAGTGATCATAATCTCAATTTTAAATAATTGGATTTACCTGTTTATAATGATAATGAACATTATTTAACACCAAAAAGAGATGTTTCTAAAATGACTTCAAATTTGCTTCAATAATTGCAGAAAAGAACTATAATAAAACCTAAAAAAGAATCAAATACTCCATCCTCTATTATTAAATAGTCAACTAAAATGGTCAAATATCCAGCAGATATAATATTCAATTAATAAAACCATTAAAAAAATTAAAGCAATCTCAACTTAAGTGCGAATAACTCTTTTAGATCTTTTATATCGCATACTGAATCATCATTATCTTCAATTGATGGAATACCTGGAATGATAATCTGATTATATTGTTATATTTATTGATCAATAATAATTAAATAGAGATTATTAAATTAATCTCAATATAATTTAATTTCAAACACTCTTAGTTATTTTTTCAACAATTCTGTTGATTACAATTGTCTATCCTAAATTGATTTCCAATTAGCATTTTTTAAATATTCATGATCTTAAATCTCAGAAATCCCCATCTGATATCTAATTCTTTTTATTGGTTCTTTTTACAATAGCTGAAATATATAAATGTATAAAATATTACTTTTTTATTAAATCTTTTAATTGATAATCCACTTCAATTTACATAGGCAATTCTAATTAACAATTTAATATATAATAAAAAGTTAATTTTGGATTGTAATCTATAAATGCGGGATGTCTATATGTCATTTCTTACAAAATTATTCCTAATTACCAATAATTACTAGACAATTAAAAATATCTATTTTTACTCAGATTTCTTCAATTCATCCAATTTTACAATAAAATCACATCTAGCCTATGATATTATGAAATAATATCTATCAACTGTCTCAAAACAATATTCTAAATGTATAGACTATAAAAATTCTTATATAATTTATATGAGTAAATTAAAAATGGATGTAAAGACTAAATTTATCAATTATTTTGCATATTTTTCAAAGGTAACAAATTTATTAAGATTGAACCAACTATTATCCATCTCATTAATACTATTCTTAATGTGATAAGTATGAATTTTAGTATTCATTAATTACAATATACTACCTTCACACAAAATCTTTTCTATTCGACATCCTTTTATTACAATAATAAGAATTAACCAAATAATAATTTTGATTCTATCTCTTATTTATAAATTTGCTATTCATTTGTTCATCCAAAATTGATTTATAATTAAAAAAATTTGCTTTAACATTAGGCAATTTACTTATGTTTTTAAATCTATCCTATTTATATACTATATATTTCTTCATACTTAAATCAGAACTTAATATGAAGCCAAAGGAATGAGAAATTCAGTTGCATATGTCTTAACAATTAATTCTCTTCACCTAGATATGCTTTCAGTTAATAATCTGAGATCATCATCATCATATTCATTTTTTTAAGGCAAAATAAATTCATAACTCTTGGAAGAAATAGTTAATCCAATTATTAATGAAAATTGTACTTTCCTTCTAATTGCTTCTAAATTATATCATTGTTAATTGATTTATTTAATAACATATTTTTTAATGGTTAACACAAAATAACTTATATGTGTATTTCCATATTCATTTATTTTACTAACTTTCATACTTAATTATAAGAATTCTTAGTTCAATCTAATTATTACCATCTTTTGCAAATGTATTTAAAATTTATAATCCATTTCGAATTATTTAACATTATAATAATTATAATAAATCAATTAATCTTTGTGAAAAACTTATTTAATTATGGAACATCTTGTCTTCTTAACTATTTAAGTCCTAAAATCTTATCTAAATCAGTAGGAGCAGATTCATATTTTTTAGCATAATCAGGAAAATTCTCTACAAATTTTTCAATACTCATTTAAATCAATTTCAAAATAGAATCACTCCTTGATAATGTTTTCTATACAAAATTATTAAATGATTATTATGATTTAGATTCTTACTTCAATTTTGAAATTCTAACTAAATTTGTCTTTAATTCTGAAACATCTAACATTAATTATGATAATCCAATCTAAAATTTTAATATTAATAATAAAATACTTCACTTATTTTTTTTATTCTAAAAACAGAATTTATAAATTTATTATTTAGATATACAACAAGTTTATTCAAATAAAATATTAAATAAGATTCTGATAATAAATCTTTTATTGTTTTAATATGTCCTTCCAAAAAGGAAATTGTATCTCTAATATATTTAGATGCATCTCCCATATTTTCGAATTCATTCCAGTCTATCTTTAACATCTATTGATAAAATTAATCAACTTTAGAATCAACATAAACTAATAATGTTTCAATTGATTTATTCATCATTTAATTGAAATATTCTTCCTCATTTGATAATTCAACTTAATCAGAAAAAGGAGAATCTAAATGTTAAACCAAACTTTCTTATAATCCTGGAATAGTTTCTTTACAATATTCTGCCGTATTTATAACAAAACAACAGAAAATCTATGAAAGTTATTCATTATTTCTGGATTGATTAATTTTCATTATAATTTCATCAGAATACTTTTTCAAAGCCTTCTTAATTAATTTCTATATATCAAACATTACTTATGTTCTACTATATTATGAAGCTCTTTTAAGCATTTATTTAAAGTAAGCAAACATACTCATAGAAGAATTCAACATTTTTAAGTCACCTTCAACATCCAATTTATCTGAGTTTAATATATTTTAGATGTGTTACATTAACTCTCTCTCTTCACTATCTATATATGGTCGTAAGTATGGTTCAAAACTATCAGAAATAGCTCCTTTTATTTTTGGTAATTCTGAAATGGCAAATTAATTACTATTCTTTTTTCCAAGCCATTCATCATATCTTTTTTTCATTTCATCATTAAGTTTCTATTCAAATTTTAAAGTTGCTTGTAATGCTTTCATCAATACAGCAACTTCTAAATCCTTTAAAGATTCCAAGATATCAGTAATTTACAATCTAGTCACTGCACAAAATTCATAATAAATCTGACAATGAACTGCCCAATATTCTGGGAATACATTTTATGTTTTAGTATCAAAATCTTTAATGACTCTAGCCATCCAAGCATACCTTCTTTCTGTAGTTTCCAAACTTCTATTTTCTATTTATTAAAATAATTCTTAATAAGGAGATATAATGTATTTGCATACTTTTTGAATTAATTCATCTCTGAATTTAAGACCCAAATGTTCAACTGTTTAACATGCATCTTATAAATCTTTAATTTACATTAAATTTGTGCCTTTTTAAAATAATATGAAATCATCTATCAACTATAGCTTCAAGTCTTTTATTAATTATTCTTTTTCTCCATTTATTTCTAATATTTATGGAATATTTTAAAATTTAACAAAATATTATGATAATTCAGTAAATGCAGATAGTAGATTAGCTACTTCTGCATATTTTTTATCTTTACAATGTTCTTTCAATTTCTCAATTGCTGTTAACATCATAATAAATTTCTTAAGAGCTGCAATAGAAAATGTAAGATTTCTTTTTGCAATATCTAATGATTTAATATCTTTGCACATTGAATAAACTAAGTCTTCACTTTTTTCTGCTTTTTATTTGATTTCTTGAATTTCTGTAACAATTCCTTAAGATAGTTATTCAACATCTTAAACATCTCTCCATATTTTATTTTGCATGACTGCATGTTCATGTATGTCTTCTTATAATTCAGATTATAATTAAGTTAGCTCTGATTAGAGTTTCTCAATTTCAGTATCTATACCTACAAGTGATTATTCATTTGGAAAGAGTGTATTAATATGCTTAATACAATCAAAATTAGCAGAATACGGATTCATACTTCAAATATTTTTAATTAAAAGAATTAAAAGATATGAAATACATCTTGACTGAGGAGCATGTTCAAATTCCTGAAAAGATTGAGATCACTTAGAAATCTAAGATTGTTAAAGTTAAGGGTATTAACTCATTTTTTATTGTCTCTTAGGACCTAGAGGGGAATTATCCAAAAATTTCAGACATTCTGCTTTGGACATCTAAATTTCAAAGAAAGTGAATAAGAAAACTAATGTTGCCAAATCTAGAGTTAGTGTTAGAATGTGGCAATCATATAGAAAATAAAGATGCCAAGTTAATTCAGTTGCCTCTCAAATTAGAAATATGATTAGAGGTGTTACCACAGGTTATAAATTCAAGATGGTTTTGGCATATGCTCACTTTCCAATCATTATTAACCTATTGGATGATGGAAAAACCATTGAAATCAAGAATTTCCTTGGAGAAAAGATCATCAGAACAATCAGATGTCTTCCAGGAGTAAAAATCACCAGAAATGAATCTGAAGAAAAGAGTATTCAAATCTTAATATACACTTTATAGATGTTTTAACACTCTAAGGTAACGATTTGAATAATGTTTCACTCACCTGTGCACTTATTCATCAAGCTTGTGCTGTTAAGAACAAGGATATTAGATAATTCTTGGATGGAATCTATGTTAGTGAAAAGCGTCTAGAAATTTGATATAATAATAATATATATAGATATAAGTACAATAAGATTTATAATTATTAATACTAATCTTTGTCATCCTTCTTCACTTTAAAATATAATTTATTATTTCTAATGAATAAGAGTTATGATGATATTGAATGTACTCTTCCAAGAATAGGAGAGAAATGTACATTAGAGTATTTTTAGAATATAGAATAAGCTGAAGAAATATGTCACAAAAAAGGTAATCAAATTTATCATCCAACTAGAAAGTTAAATTTAAAAAGACATTTTAATTGAAGAAATGAAATAGAATCCATAAGCATTCTTCAATTTTAATTTTACTGCTGATGATTATTATCTTTTCCTTGTCAAATATAGTATGATGAGAGCTGAAAGACAAGTGATTGAATAAGAATTTACAAAATTTTTAAAAGAAAAGAAAATGTTGTTGGAATGAATTTTAATTAATATCATTATTTACATGAACATACCTTACTTTAAACCTCGTTCATAAGCTAGTTAGAATTCTTTTATTAAACAATATTAAGACTTTCTATAAAAGAATAGAAAGAATACTACGAACATCTTAGAACCAAAAAAACAATAAAAGTAGTAATCATATTCTCCACTCTTTAAACAACCTAAATTAAGTTATTAAAAACTAAAAAATTTAAGATTATAAACTAGTCCAAGTACTAAAAGAGTACATTGCTATTCTTTAAGTAGTAATTAATAAACAGAAAATTCAACTTAAATAGACAGATCATTAAGTCAATATGAATTTGAATTAAAAGATAAATCTATTAGTAGTGCCAGTCTATTTTAGGAAACAAAAAAATAATTAGAAGAAATTAAATAATAGACTCCTGAATTATAATAAGGGATCGTTGGAATTTTAGGTTTAATTAAAAAGGAAAAATAAATTATTTTGAATGATATGAAATTAATAACAAAATATATGAACAAATATAAATAAAAATATGAAGAAATTTAAAAATAATAAGAAGAATTATAGTACAAATTCAAAATCACTAAAGATGGTAATGAAATTCATGCTCGCTCTTAAGATACTATTAATGATACTTACTTATAAATGATTTTATTATTGAAAGGATTATAAGTACAATATAATGATGTTTTACCTGAATTAGAATTTAATTTATAAAATAAAATTGAAGATTTAGATGAAGATATTAGAATACCAGATAAAGATGAGATTATAATCTTATAAAAATTAATTATTAAAAAGCTTGTCAAGAAATTTGAAGATTAAAAGTAACTAAATTAATTATTATAAACTAAAACAAAGGAATATGAAATTTGATTTTTACTACTATATATTTTATATATAATGTTTATTATACTATTCCAAATTATTACAACAACCTTTGCATTTCCAGATGTCACACTATCATTTGGCACTCTTATGCCCAAATAAAAAGACCCTGAAGAAAATCTACCTGCTATTGTTTATGAAAATAATTAAATGAATAGCTATTTTGATTATGATCAATTTCCATTATTATCATGTTGTCCTACAAATCTGACTAAATATAAAGTAGATACACATAATCTTCATGGACATGGTAAATAGAAATTTACATTACCCTTGACAATTAAAAATAATGAAGATAAAACTATTATTTTGAGATAATTAACAATATCAGATTATTTAGACTATTAAGAGATATCAGTAGCTCCTAAATTATCTTCATTACCAATTATAGAACCTCATTAAACCATTGTTGTTGAATTTATTCATAGTTGTGAAAGATAAATTAATAACTCTAATTACTGGAGTATATAAAATGTATTTATACGATTTCAAGACTTTTAAGGTTTAAATTTCTAATATTAATTTATTTGTGATAGTAATTTTCATCCTAAAAGGTATTAAATAACTATATTATTAGATTTGATTGGAGTAATATAATCTTAATTACTTTTGATTCTGTAGTTATTATTATCTTAGCTACTTTTGGAAAAATTTATTCATTTCGAATTAGTTTTGTGACACCTGCAAAAAGAAGATAATTTTAAGAATAAAACATTTAAAATGTAGATCTAAGTCCTTTTTAAGGATTCTATTTATATTGGCCTTAAGCTTTAGTATATATGGCATTATTGTTAATTGCTTTATTTACATCAATGAGTTATAAAGAAAAAGCAGAGAAAATTATTAAAATCTTAGTTTATATAATTTGTTTATTCACTTCATTTCATTTTTTTAATGAAATTTTTGGTAAATTTAGAAATACTCTCACATTTTTAGCTGAAAAAATTTATTGCTTAAAAATTAGGGATTATTTATCAATCATATTATCAACCCTACTTATCTTCTTTTATTTATATTATGAATAACCCTGGTTTGTATGTATTATATGATAATTACTCTTAGGTTAGTAATATGCTATCAATTTGTATTTTGGGATCTTTGATCAAACTATTCAAAATAACATCCTTAAAAAATGCTCTCTAATTTTTTGTACCCCTTATGATTGTTGATATTTTCTGTTCTATTTATTTGAGTTAAACTGTCAGATATGAATGGGATAGTGTTGCATTAAGATATTTCAATACTCCACTATCAGCCTAATTTCCTTATTTTCGATATATTTACAAGAAAAAATGTGCATGGGTTTCTATTTTTAATTTATTATTTCCCGGTATATCTTTTAATATGATTATGAGGTTTCTTTTTGGGTTATGTAAATAGATTTGACAAACATAAATAAACATATGTCTATGAAATTATAGCCTTCTTTGGATTACTTGTTGGACTCATTTTTTGGGTTCTAATTTAATACATATTTTCATTTCCTTTACCAACGTATTACAAGCTATTATTATTTTAGATCTATCTTTACTGAAGTATTGATGATCCTTACTACAGCATTGGTAGCAGTATAACGAAATGAATTCAATATATTTTACACTGGAAACTTCTATGATCAGATATTAATGGATCCATTCAAAAATGATATAGCCCTTTAAGAACCAACAACATTAGAAATGTTTGGATTAGGCTCTACTACTTAAGTAATTAAAAAGGACACAACATAATAATAAGATCTAGTATCTAGAGGAGATTAAGGTTTAATATTTAATAGTCAACTCTTTGTTGGATTGGCTTCAATTAATCGTCCTTAATAATAATCAAACGTTTTATAATCAAAGTCATAATATTAATATCACAATTATTGAAAAAAAATATAGTAATTCATTACAAATAATATTATATAAAAATTCATATTAATATATTCCAAAATTTAAATAACATTTATTTAATCAATTCATTATGAAAAATAGAAAATTTCATATTAATAATTAAATAATATTATTCAAAAAAAAGGAAAATGTTAAAAGCAAATGTCTTCATATTAAAAATATGAGAATTTTTAATCTTAATTGTAAATTATAGAAACAAAAAAATGATTCTAAATATTGATGAGGTTTAATATAATTTAAGGAATAAGGTAAATTAACAATAAATTATCAAAAAATATAATTAATCTTATGATTTCAAATCATAAAATTATCATCTGAATAACATATATTTATGATTAAATTTGAGTAAAATTCTTAAATATTTCCAATGATAATTCTGTTATTTAAATATCTATTCTTAAAGTTCAATTAAATTATAAAAATATCAATTATATAAATAATGTTTGGAAACCTTTTTAATTACTTTATCGATTTTGATTTTTATAATGAATTGGATTTAATAAATTAATAATAAATTCTCAATATATGGCATCTTATTTAGAAGCAATATTTATAAGAAATACATAAGATGTTGAAAACTAATTGCTTAAATAAAAGTTTTGTAAAGTTTTAGGCTTCTTAAAATATGATTAGAGATTATTTCCTAGTGAAATTACAATTTTATTAAATGGAAATTCAGAACTAATTTTCATTAAAGATGGAGATGTTCTATAGATGTAAGGAACTCACTTTAATTTTAGTTAAAAATACATTGATTATAATACCATACAAAATATTCATCCAAATTTTGAACAACTAAAGAGTTTATTTTGGGTTGGCTAAACTAATGATAAGGGATAAAAGATTGGAAGATGGAATGCCTTTTGGAGAGGTGAAAACCTCAATGTTGGTGGATTTTACAATGATGATGGGGAAAAAATTGGATATTGGATTGAATTATTTGAGAATTATTGGGAGTAATAATTCAATAAAATATAAGTAAAGCTAGGATAACATACTAAGGTGAATATATTAAAGGATAAAAACAGGGATTTTGGAAAATTCTTTTTGTTGATATTGAGATGTATATTAGAATTAACTATTAAATTAGTGGAGGTGGGATGTATGTTGAAGGAGAAAAAACAGGAGCATGGGTTGAGGTTTTTGAAAATTTTAGTAGGTAATCAATTCAATAACTTGTAGTTGGTGCAAAATTATATAGCGTGGAAGATATAAGAATGGGAAGAAAGTAGGAGAATGGACTCAAATTTTTAAGGAGAAAGTAGTGTATATTTAATTTCTTTATAAAATTAGAGGAATTGGAACTTATGATGAAAATTAAGTAAAGGCTGGACGTTGGGTTGATTTGCATGAAAACTTTTTTGAGTATATTAGAAACTAAAGAAATTAGTTGGTGTTAAGTCACATATTAAGGAAAATATTAAAAAGGAATAAAAAAAGGGGAATGGAAAGCAATTTTTGAAGAAAAAATAATGTTAGAATTTTATAATGTTTCTAGTGGTAAAGGAAATTTCAATGAAGTAGGATTAAAGGATGGGGATTGGGTTGAGGTTTTTAAAAACTATTCTATGTAACTATTTTATTAATTTCTTAGAAATAGTTAGATAACATATATAGGATAATACANAATCTTATGATTTCAAATCATAAAATTATCATCTGAATAACATATATTTATGATTAAATTTGAGTAAAATTCTTAAATATTTCCAATGATAATTCTGTTATTTAAATATCTATTCTTAAAGTTCAATTAAATTATAAAAATATCAATTATATAAATAATGTTTGGAAACCTTTTTAATTACTTTATCGATTTTGATTTTTATAATGAATTGGATTTAATAAATTAATAATAAATTCTCAATATATGGCATCTTATTTAGAAGCAATATTTATAAGAAATACATAAGATGTTGAAAACTAATTGCTTAAATAAAAGTTTTGTAAAGTTTTAGGCTTCTTAAAATATGATTAGAGATTATTTCCTAGTGAAATTACAATTTTATTAAATGGAAATTCAGAACTAATTTTCATTAAAGATGGAGATGTTCTATAGATGTAAGGAACTCACTTTAATTTTAGTTAAAAATACATTGATTATAATACCATACAAAATATTCATCCAAATTTTGAACAACTAAAGAGTTTATTTTGGGTTGGCTAAACTAATGATAAGGGATAAAAGATTGGAAGATGGAATGCCTTTTGGAGAGGTGAAAACCTCAATGTTGGTGGATTTTACAATGATGATGGGGAAAAAATTGGATATTGGATTGAATTATTTGAGAATTATTGGGAGTAATAATTCAATAAAATATAAGTAAAGCTAGGATAACATACTAAGGTGAATATATTAAAGGATAAAAACAGGGATTTTGGAAAATTCTTTTTGTTGATATTGAGATGTATATTAGAATTAACTATTAAATTAGTGGAGGTGGGATGTATGTTGAAGGAGAAAAAACAGGAGCATGGGTTGAGGTTTTTGAAAATTTTAGTAGGTAATCAATTCAATAACTTGTAGTTGGTGCAAAATTATATAGCGTGGAAGATATAAGAATGGGAAGAAAGTAGGAGAATGGACTCAAATTTTTAAGGAGAAAGTAGTGTATATTTAATTTCTTTATAAAATTAGAGGAATTGGAACTTATGATGAAAATTAAGTAAAGGCTGGACGTTGGGTTGATTTGCATGAAAACTTTTTTGAGTATATTAGAAACTAAAGAAATTAGTTGGTGTTAAGTCACATATTAAGGAAAATATTAAAAAGGAATAAAAAAAGGGGAATGGAAAGCAATTTTTGAAGAAAAAATAATGTTAGAATTTTATAATGTTTCTAGTGGTAAAGGAAATTTCAATGAAGTAGGATTAAAGGATGGGGATTGGGTTGAGGTTTTTAAAAACTATTCTATGTAACTATTTTATTAATTTCTTAGAAATAGTTAGATAACATATATAGGATAATACAACAATGGGAAACCATGCAAATAGCTATATATATCTAATTAAAAGGATATGATGTATGATTTGAAATATGATAAAAAGTGGAGGTGGTAGTTATAATGAAAATGGAATGAAAAATGGTAAATGGGTAGAATTGCAAGAAAATTTTTATGAGTTATCCATACATAATTAAAAAATAATAGTTTTGGTAAAGTGACTTATGAAGGGGTGTATAACAATTAGAAAAAAGAAGGAAAATGGTAATACATTTATAATAAAAATGTCATGTAATTATGTTTTTTATATATAATTTAGAGGTGGAGGGGTTTATTCATTTGGAGTAAAGAATGGTAATTGGATTGAATTACATGAACATTTTTCAGAGTAAATTAATAAATTTGTATAAAATAAGTACATGTTAAGTGAGTTTTAAAGGAGAGTACAAAAATGGAAAGAAATTTAAAAAATGGGATACAATTTATTAATATAATATTATGTAAAAAATTTGATTATATTTTTTAGAGGAGGAGGTTAATATGATGAAAATGAATATAAAACTGGTAAATGGATTGTCTTAAATGAAAATTTTGGAAAGTAGAAAACATTGTTATAAAATTTCTAGTCTTAGTTAAGTTATTTGGAGTGGATAATACAAAAAAGGATGTAAAATTGGAAAATGGGATATCTTTTATAAGTATGAAATAATGTATGTATATCAAATTTATTAATAAAATAGTGGAGGAGGAATTTATGATTATAATGGTATATAGTAAGGTCAGTGGATTGAATTACATTAACATTTTTGGGAGTAAAGATTTATTTAACGTTAAGTTAATAATAAATTAAATATAGTGGATTATATAAGGATGGAATAAAATAAGGATATTGGGAGATGATTTAATATATTACAAAAATGTAGTTTAAAAATATCATTAAATTTAGTGGAGGAGGATTTTATGATTTAATTGGAATGAAACAAGGTAAATGGATTGAATTGCATCAAAAATTTATAAAGTATTTGTTTATTTATTAAGTAAAAGAAATAATCTTTTTTTTATTGGTTCATATATAGATTCAAGAAAATATGGGAATTGGGAAGCAATATTAGATTAGAAATTAATGTTATATATATACATAATTATGATATTAGAGGATGTGGTTTTTATGATGATAATGGATTAAAAAATGAAAATTGGATTGATTTACATGACCCATTTATGAAGTATGGAATATTAATTGATTATAGTACTGGTATTAGTTATTTGGGCAGATATAATAATGGAAAGAAGTCGGGAAAATGGAATACATTTTTTTAAAATAAGTAGATGTAAAATGAGTTGATTATTAATATATATATATAGAGGAGGAGGGTATTATGGTGATAATGGATATAAAAATGGAAAGTGGATTGAATTAGATGGTGATTAAAACAAAAATAAAGATTAAATAAGAACAAAGGAGACAGAATATAAAAATGGTTTAAAGTAGTGAAATATATAATATATAATAAATTTGAATAATGAAATATATACAATTTTTGAAATAGTATTGAGGTTATAACAAATTTATATATAATTGATAGTAATAATTAAAATAAATGGGAAACACTCAAGGGACACCAAGTGATTTGGATTCATTTAGAAAATATGCTGGATTAACAATAAAGCATGTTATGATGTTAAGGTTAAGTATTATAATAGCAATAGGGAACGACTTGAAATGTTATCAGAGGCTGATTTAAGTATAACAAAGGATGCATTTTCTTTGGCTATGAAGACAAAGGAGGAAGAGACAGAAAGAGTATTAATAATATATAAGAAAGATATTTCGTATATTTGATTTGAGTAGTTCAGGTAAAATAGAAACATTAGAGTTTGTTTGTGCATTATCATTGATGGCTTATGCAAATTTAAGGGTATATAATAATGATGAGATAGGAAAAATGTGATTTAATGTTTGGGTTATATGACTTTGATCGAAATAGGACAATGAATAAATAGGAATTGATTATATTGATTAAGACAGTTTTGACAACAGTGAATGCAATATCATCAAAAGGAGAATGTTCAATCTAAGAAGCTGTTGGGATTGCATAGGTCATTTTGGATCGTTATGACACAAATGGAGATGCCTCAATATCAGCAAAAGAATTCTACAGTTTCGTTTCCAAAGATCCTGATATAGTGAAAATGTTATTAAGCTATGGATTAATATCAATATAGGATTTGAGATTCAATTTTGGTGAACCATAGAATAATGAATTACCAGTACCTGAGGCAGATAGTGATTTAGAGAATGAAATATTTAAAAGTAGGGTTATAAAGACAGTAGAGGATGAAGCAGTTGCTTTGGGAATAGAGACTTTAATGAATGGAGGTGGAATTGAATAATTAGCTTGGCATTAATAATTAGCAAAAGACAATATGATTATGGATCCAGATGATCCTGAAGATGTAAATGGAAATCCACCAAATGCAACTTTGGAGATTGATCATGTATATGGATTTAGATGTTTTGATACAAGAAANGATATTAGAGGATGTGGTTTTTATGATGATAATGGATTAAAAAATGAAAATTGGATTGATTTACATGACCCATTTATGAAGTATGGAATATTAATTGATTATAGTACTGGTATTAGTTATTTGGGCAGATATAATAATGGAAAGAAGTCGGGAAAATGGAATACATTTTTTTAAAATAAGTAGATGTAAAATGAGTTGATTATTAATATATATATATAGAGGAGGAGGGTATTATGGTGATAATGGATATAAAAATGGAAAGTGGATTGAATTAGATGGTGATTAAAACAAAAATAAAGATTAAATAAGAACAAAGGAGACAGAATATAAAAATGGTTTAAAGTAGTGAAATATATAATATATAATAAATTTGAATAATGAAATATATACAATTTTTGAAATAGTATTGAGGTTATAACAAATTTATATATAATTGATAGTAATAATTAAAATAAATGGGAAACACTCAAGGGACACCAAGTGATTTGGATTCATTTAGAAAATATGCTGGATTAACAATAAAGCATGTTATGATGTTAAGGTTAAGTATTATAATAGCAATAGGGAACGACTTGAAATGTTATCAGAGGCTGATTTAAGTATAACAAAGGATGCATTTTCTTTGGCTATGAAGACAAAGGAGGAAGAGACAGAAAGAGTATTAATAATATATAAGAAAGATATTTCGTATATTTGATTTGAGTAGTTCAGGTAAAATAGAAACATTAGAGTTTGTTTGTGCATTATCATTGATGGCTTATGCAAATTTAAGGGTATATAATAATGATGAGATAGGAAAAATGTGATTTAATGTTTGGGTTATATGACTTTGATCGAAATAGGACAATGAATAAATAGGAATTGATTATATTGATTAAGACAGTTTTGACAACAGTGAATGCAATATCATCAAAAGGAGAATGTTCAATCTAAGAAGCTGTTGGGATTGCATAGGTCATTTTGGATCGTTATGACACAAATGGAGATGCCTCAATATCAGCAAAAGAATTCTACAGTTTCGTTTCCAAAGATCCTGATATAGTGAAAATGTTATTAAGCTATGGATTAATATCAATATAGGATTTGAGATTCAATTTTGGTGAACCATAGAATAATGAATTACCAGTACCTGAGGCAGATAGTGATTTAGAGAATGAAATATTTAAAAGTAGGGTTATAAAGACAGTAGAGGATGAAGCAGTTGCTTTGGGAATAGAGACTTTAATGAATGGAGGTGGAATTGAATAATTAGCTTGGCATTAATAATTAGCAAAAGACAATATGATTATGGATCCAGATGATCCTGAAGATGTAAATGGAAATCCACCAAATGCAACTTTGGAGATTGATCATGTATATGGATTTAGATGTTTTGATACAAGAAATAATATTAAATATTCAATAGAGAATGAATTAATATATCATACAGGTAGTTTAGTAATAAAAGATGGAGAGAAGTAAGAATTCTTTATGGAACACACTGATGATGTAACATGTTTAGATGTATGGGAACATTTGGTTGCAAGTGGATAGATGGGATCAAAGCCATCAATATTTGTATGGGATTCAAGATCTATGGAATTGAGAGCAGTATTTAGAGGAGTTTTAACAGTAGGAGTAAGTAATTTATGTATATCAAATGATGGAAGAAAGTTGGCAGCAGTTGGAATGGATGAAGATTAATGTGTAGTTGTATATGATATAGAAAAAGGGTCTTAAACAAGAATGAATGGAAGAAAGGATGAGTCATTATTGGCTAATGGTAAAGGTCCTATTGTTGAAATATTTGATATCAAATTTGAGAAATCTGATAAATAAATTGTGATTGCATGCATGGGAGAAGTGAATTTTGTTACTTATGATAATAATGTATTAAGAATAGTAAAGGGAATGTGGGATTCTAAATATTGTTCATATTAAGCTATTTTATCTATTGGATTATTGGAGAATGCAGTAGTTGTAGGATCATTTAAAGGTTATTTACTTTTATGGAGAGTTGGTAGAACTACTATGGCTATTCCAGATGCTCATAAAGGACCTATTACAACTATTCATACATGTAATAAGAAGATTATGATTTTGACTGGAGGCAAGGATGGTTAAATTGGATGGTGGGATCATAATCTAAAAAAAATAAGAGCATTTAATCTAGCTAATTAGAAGGATATTTTATTAAACAATATTAAAATTACAGCTTTGTATGAAAATATGGATTAAACAGCTATACTTATAGGAACTAGAGGAGGTTAGATTTTGGAATTGATAAATAGTGAATTGAAAGTAAGAGTGAATGCACATTTTGATGGTAAATTAGAAGCATTAGTATGTCATCCTACAAAAGATTTATTTTATACATCTGGTGAAGATCAGATGTTAATGTTATGGGATTTGAATAGTAAATAATTGAAGGAAAAAAAGAAATTTGATTATTGTATTAAAACTTTAGATGTTAATGATCGTTTTTTGGTTGGTGGATGTGGAAATGGTACTGTTTTATTAATGGAACCTTATAAATTAACATAATTATAAGATTTCAAAGATAGAGATAGTGAAATTACATGTATAAAAATAGTTGATGAATATTTAATTGCATTTTATTCATCTCCATATTTTGAATTCTTTGTTTATAGTATCAAGTAGAAATTTAAGAAACTTTTATCCATTCCAGGTAGACCTGGTAATTGTATATCTATTGATTATTCAATTACTTAAAGGATTTTAGTCACTTTTGATAATCAATAATTATGGTGTATTGATTTAACTCAAAGATAATTGACAAGATATAAAGAGGATGATTGGAAATCATTTACATCAATATATGGATGGTAAATCAAAGGAGCTTGGCCTTAAAAGACTGATGGAACTGAAATAGTTACAGCTGATAGAGATGGTTCAAAATCTGTAATTGCTATAGGAGATAAATATGGATAAATAAAATTATATAAATATCCTGCTTACAAAATAAATTGTAGTTTCTATCGTTATTTGGGACATAGTGGTAGAATCAGTAAACTAAGATTTTCATCTAATGATAAATGTTTGATTAGTCTTGGAGAGAATGAAAAGAGCATAATTTAATGGAATTTCTAAGTTGAATAGAATGTAGTAGAGAGAAGTAGTACAACTCATTCTAGAAATAGAAGTGCTTTTAAATCAGAATTAAATTAGTTTGATGATTAAATGGATGGAAATGATAATTAAAAGACTAATAAACCATTTCTTGATTAAATTAAAATGGATGAAGCTGAAGAAGAATAATTAAAATTACCTATGAATTATCTTAATTTAAGATATATATTTGGTGTATCCACTAGTTATAAAGGCAACACTTTATATTAATAATTGAAATATGCTGGTTAATAAAAAATTGTTTATCCAATTGGTTGTCTTTGTGTTATTTTGGATACTAAGATTGATTAAAGTGCACCATATCGTAAATAGAATTTCTATTATGGACATACATAATTAATATTAAGTTTAAGTGTACATCCAAAAAGTTAGATAATTGCAACAGGAACAGTTGGTGATGAAATTAATTTATGGGATGTTGATACACGTTAAACATAAGTTTAAATAAGAGGATATCATAAAAATGGTATAAAGAATTTGAAGTTTAGTATTGATGGTACATTATTATTAACTTGTGGTTCTGATTAATTTAATTCAATATGTGTTTATGATTGGTAAGCAAATAGAATAATATGTAATTCAAAAGTAGATAAATCCCCTTTAACTGATTGTTGTTTTTTGGGCAATCCTAAAATTATTTAATTTGTAACAGTGGGAAAGTATATGAGAGTATGGGAAATTAAGGGTAGAAATCTATCATTTGATTAATTTCCAGGTTAATTAAGTGCAGTAACTTTTGCTTTTAATAGTGAATTAGTTTGTGCAAATGATTAAGGAGAATTAATGGTTATAAAAAATAAATAGACTAACAGAATTTTGGGTCATTCTGGTAGAGTGAATGTATTAATTGCAGTTAAATAAAATTTATATTCTGGTGGAGATGATGGTAAAATTATTCTATGGCATTCTATTTAGAATTAATTATAACAAATCCAATAATTTATGGAAACTCAAACTCCTCCATTATTATCTATGGATATAAGGAATGATAATATAGTATTTTTAACAAGCACTTGTGATATAAAAGAATTAGTAATAACAGCATAGATACATTCTATTGATATAATTAAAGGTCATGGAGAAGATGTTAGAGGATTAGCAATTTCTAAATATAAAGTTTATACTTGTAGTAGTGATAGAACTATTAAAGTATGGGATATTCGTAATAGAGTTTGTTCTTTAAATAGTGAACCTTATTAATATCAATTAAGATCTATTGATGTTTATAACAATCTAATAGTATGTGGAGATTCTAAAGGATTTCTATATTTATTAGATGAAAAACTTTCACCTTTAGGAAGTGTTTCAACTAATTTCAATTTAAAATAAAAAACTATAGCTTATGAGATATCTAGAGTTAAATTTGATCCAAGAGGTAAAAGAGTATGTGTTGGAGCATAAGGTGGACCATCACATATTGAAATTTGGACAATAAATTATTCTGATAATATTTATAAATTTGATAAAGAGAGATAAATTATTAATTGTGGTTTTACAGGAGGAATATTATAATTGGATTGGTCAGAAGATAGTACTCATATTTTAGCATCATCTACAAATTATGAATTGAAATGTATATCACTTAATAAATAACGTGATGTTTAATATAATTATGATATTAAATGGTAGACATGGTCTTGTATTTATGGTCCTGGATTACAATATATATATCCAAATAATCCTGGAGAAGATATTACAGCAGTATGGTTACATAAAACAAAGGAATTGAAAACTGAAACAGGTAATATTAAAGAATATGTTTTTATAACTGGAGATCAATTTGGAAATTTATCTTTATTTAAATATCCAGTTACAGGTAGATGTTGCAGAACATATAAAGGACATAGTGGACCTATCAATTGGATTTAATTTTGTATGGAAACTGAAGCAAAACAATATGCAATTTCTGTAGGTTAGAAAGCAATTATGATTTGGTAATTAGAAATAGATGAACCTACAGTTTTGGATGCAGAAACAGAGAAATTATTAGGAATTAATATTTAATAATAAAAAAAAACAGGATTAGAAAAGTATGGAATTCCTCAATAATAATAATAAGTTAAAGATGAAGAATATGTTGATAAGATTTCTTTAAAACCTTGGGCTTCTAATATTAAAGAACCTTCTTCTTATTATAAAGATCCAATAAATTAAAATACACCACCATTAATAGATTTGGAATTAGAACATGTATTTGGTTATAGAGGAAATGATTGTAAAAACAATATAAGATTTTTGAAGTCTGGAAATATTGTTTATCATTCAGCTTCATTAGGTATAGTTTTGGATATGAGCTTAAATTAACAAAAAATATTCAATATGCATGAAGATGATATTATATCAATGGACTTACATTAAGATGGTATAAGAGTTGCAACTGGAGAAATCAATACTGGAGTCATTTATGTTTGGGATAGCAATACTTTATAAGCATTATGCAAATTTAATTAATTAAGTAAAGGTATCAAATCACTTTAATTCTCTCCATTTAATCAATTGGTAGCTCTTGCAATGGATGAATTTACAACAATAGCTATTTTTGAAATTAATACAAAGAGTGAAAGTGGGGGAACTTTATCATTTAAATATCAATCAGGAAAATAAGTTATTAATGAAATTAAATGGATGAATGAAAATACTTTTTATACTATAGGTCCATAACATTTTAAGGAATGGATCTTTTCATCTTAAATTGTTATTTCTAAAATCCCAATATAAGATAAACTTATCTTGAATACCTTTTTAATTGATGATGAAGAAATTTATATTGCTGATAATAGAGGAAAAGTCCTTATTTATTAAAAAAAAGTATTATAACATACACTTGAACATCACACTCAATAAGTTGACGCTCTATTCAAAACCAAAGATTATTTATTCACAGGAGGAAAAGATCAACTTATAACAATCTATGATGCAAAATAAATTAAAGAAGAATTCATAATCTAATTTAAATTACTAGATTTAAGTAAGTAAGCATTTTAACCAATTATTAAAAGTGTTTGCTATTTTGAAGATAAATTAGTTGTAGGAACTGTAGGATGCGAAATTTGGGAACTAAGTACCAAAGATACTAAAATTAATAATCAAACTAAATTTACACCAAAAATAATGATGAAAGGACATTATGCACCATAAATCTAAAGTGAATTATGGGGATTAGCTATTGAAGGTGATTTTATCTATTCTTGTGGAGATGATGCAACTCTTAGATAATGGAGTGTATCCTAAAGAAAATAAACATTATTTATTAGAACTGTCTAAGACTCTAATTTTGTAGATATTAAACCAGATGAAAATGGTGTTTATCCTGATAGTGTTAGAGGACGTTCTATTGCTGTTAATTTTGATTTTATTGTAGTAGGATTTAAAGATGGGGGAGTAAGAGTTTACGATAGAGAATTGAAATAAAAGAGTTACTTTAAAGTAGCTAAAGATTGGATATCAGATATTAAGATTTCACCCAATAATGAATATATAGCATTTGGGTCACATGATAATTGCATCTATATTTATAGAATACCTGAATTTGTTATACATTTGAAACCACTTAGAAAACATAGTGCATTTATCAAAAATGTTGATTTCAGTGTAGATAGTACCAAATTAATATCTACTTGTGGTAGTTTTGATCTAATTTTTTGGGATATAACAACTGGTAAATAGATGCCTTAAGGGCGTAATATCTTAAGAGATGAAAAATGGGCCACTTGGACAAATATTCTTGGATGGCCAGTCTAAGGTATATGGCGTGATGATTATAATGGTTAAGAGATCAATTGTGTTTGTAGATCTAATTCTCCTTTTGCTCCTAAATAACCAGATAATTATTATTTATTAGCTGTTGGTAATGATTTTAATGAAGTACTTTTATATAGGTAATTTATTCATCTATAATTTATATAGATATCCATGTATAAATAAGAAATCTGAACCAATTTAAAGAAGAGGTCATTCATCCCCAATTTCACAGGTCAAATTTACTTAGGATGATCAATATTTAGTGACTATGGGAGGAGAAGATATGACCATACTTTTGTGGAGAGTCATAAAAAAATTATGAAATTTATATTCAAATTATCATTCATTGTCTTAATCACCATCATCACCATCATTACCATCATTACCATCATCACCATTATCATCATTCTCTTCTTATTATTCTTCTTTTGGATTCTTTTTGACCTTCTTTACACCTTCTGCTCCTAAAGTATCTACTATTTAATAATCTCATTTCTAATACTTATTTCTTTTATCTTATTCTGTACTTATCCATGAGCTTTCTTCAATTTATCCATTAATTAAACGATATTTTCATATTGATATTCTTCATTAGCAATTTCAACTCCTTTATTTTTTATTGTTACTTTTAAAATTGACATTTTTTGTATATTTATATTATATTAATATACTTAATTTTATAATTAATATAATTATTATATTTAACTATGGATTAGTAAGATTATCATAAAATTGACCCAACTATTATAGAAGACCCAATGTTAGATGATGGATATACTAGGTATGCTATTAAATGTTATCAAATTAGAAAATTTGGTGCTTACAAACCTAAATTCCATGGAACCACTCCAGGTTATTATCCATTTGAATGCATTGATTACTTTTATGTTGTATTGATGACCATCTTCACTTGGGGAATATGTTTGCCTATTTGGTATGGATTAATTGAAGCTGGTAAGTAACTTAAATCTATTAATAGCTAAGGCAAATTCGAAATAATATGCAATTGTATGTGCAGTTGTCTTTGTAGGATTCTATGTTATTTAAGCCTTAGCTACTTATTATGGTGGTAGAATGAAGAAAGTGATTGAAAATCAAATGATTGAGGATAAATTAAAAGAGATGTAACAAAAAGAACTTGAGAAGTAAAAACTTCTAGCAGCAATATGAATATTCATAATATTAATTACATTTAATATTCTTTAAGTTTAGTTATAACTTATTATTTATCTAGATTAATATATGTTTTATTAATAATTCAAAGAATACCCCAAAAATTCATTTAGAGAGAAAACTCAATAAGAACGTAAAATAATCAAATCAATGGATTGGAATTGTAATGGAAGTTATTTGGCTACAACAAGTGATTCTACTATTAAAATTTGGTCTTTTGATGGAAATAATATTAAGAGATCAACTGATTTAAAGTAAGGATCAGAATAATTGGAAAAATTGTTATTTCATCCAACACAACCAGACATTATAGCTTCTATAACAAAGGAGTATGTGAAGATATGGGATATTCGTACAAAATAAAGTGTAAGATAAGAGAAGAAGGAATAAATTGGTATTGCTTGTTGGAGTCCTAATGGTAATGAATTGGCAGTGGGTACTAAATAGAATAAGGAAACACAGATCATGTTTTTAGATATGTAAGGAGGAGAGAGATAAATATTGTATTAACCAAAAGATAAAGATAAGAATTTCGAATTGAAGAACATTATATATGATAAAGATGTTTTTGTAGCAGTTGGTCAATAAAATGGAGTTGGTATGATATAATTTATGGATGTAAACAATCCTTAATTACCTCCTCTTCATTAGATGGAAGCCCATAGAGCTGGAATTACTTAATGTAAATTCAGCAAAGATGGTTAGCATATGTATACTGGTGCTTAGGATTCTTTGATTATTTTATGGCAATTACCAGATTTATTGTGTGCAGGATAATTAATGACAGTGGAATCAGAAATTAAATCGATATCTATTTTTGACAGTAAATACATAGCAGCTATTGGTTTGGAAGAATAAGCTTATATCTATTAGGTAGACAGATGTTTAGCTGGTAAGACAGATCATATAGATTCGATAAAATTAGAAGGATAACCATCTGATATTTGTTTCCATCCTAACAAATTCATATTGGCCATAGTCTGTTAGGATAAGAATAAATAAGAGAGTGTGATACATTTATATGGTAATTTGGGAGTTTGATTATTTATATGGTATATTAATAATTTAATTGATATGTAGATATCAAAACATAAATTTATATATATAATATCATTTCTTCTTTTATTTACGCTTCTCCAAAAATTTCTTCATCCAAATATGTTCTTTAACTTGTTAGAGTGATAATCTTTTAATAGGATCAACATCAAATAATCCAGCAATGAGTTCTTTAACATCATCATTAACACATTGCCAGAACTCATCTTAAATGTCATAATTGCCATCAATAATATTCTCTTTTATTTCTAATAGTATTTCTGAATAGAAAGGTGGATAACCACATATCATAAAATACAGAACTCCTCCCAAAGCAAAGTTATCAATTTTAGATGTCAATTCTTTACATTACTAATATACTTCAGGTGCTATATAATTCATTGTACCACATTCGAAATTCTCTTTCCTCTCATTCAAAATGGATAAATAATTGGCAAATCCGAAATCAATTAACTTCACCTATTTAATAGTATTCTAATTCAAAACTATCATTATATTTTCTGGTTTTATGTCACGATGTACAATTCCCATTGAATGTATACACTACAATGCTTCAATTAATTAAGATAAAACTAAAGCAGCTTCATCTTCAGACAGATATTTCTTCTCTTCTACATAATCATAGAGATCTCCATCTTTTATTAATTCAGTAACTAAGTAGATGTGACTTCTATTTTCAAAACTCTCAACTAATCTTACAATATATTAATGATTAATCAATTTCATTATCTCAACCTCATGTTTTATAGCTTCTACTTAATTCTATGAAATCTATTATTTATTGATGATCTTCAAAGCATATGTCTCCTTTTTCTATTTGTCCTAACATTTATACACCATAGATGATTGACCCTATCCAATCTTCTCTAATATAGAATACTTTTTGCTTATCTCTCCACTCCAATAATACTATAATAATTACTTATTATAAGCTTGTAATGCATTCTACCATAATCTAAATTACTTATCATCAGAACATTCATAACTCTTACTCTTATACTATTTTCCAACATGTATCACTTCAAAACCATACTTTTAAACTTATTGGTGTACCTTCTCTTCTATTATCAAACCCTACAAACAAATTACTTTTGAAGGGTTTTCTCCTTTTTTTCTAAACTCTAAAAGGACATGGGGATAAAGTTCACAATATTTCTATTTTATTTCTTTTTTCTTTGAAATTCTATATAAGTCTCCTGACATTATCAACATTCTATTTTGTATTCATCGCATTCTTACAGTTATTTATAATTAGGCTATTTATCTGTGATCCCCCATATATTATAATTAAATGCTGCATAAAGAGGTTGGATTAAATTGGGATGTTTTGCAATAAATGCTTAGAATTCTTGCAATGATAATAATTAATCATTCTTATTCTTATACACTAAATCAACATATTTCTTTATCAAAAGACTTTAATTTACACACATTTCAATCTTTTAACCATCAACCTAATTTATTAAATAATATACTTAAGCTGTTATTATCAATCCAAATCGTTTTTAAGATATACCATTTTCTTAGATCATACTATCTTATACAAAAAGGGCATCAGATTATTTGGAAAAACAACTTTATAAACCTTCTGAGATTATTTTCTTAGAACTATCAAATTGCTGTTCAGAAATATTCTAGCTCTACTTTCTAAATTGTTAGACTTATTCATTATGCATTTATATATATACCTGATAATTCCAATATATCTGCACTATTCTTATATTTTCTATGATGATGTTTACGTCTATTACCGAAATCATCAATAATCAAAGATTCATCTAAAAATAGCTAGTCTTCACATATCTTCTTTAATTCATATTAAGGATAATTTTGCATCTATTTTTATCTAAAACTTAACATACCATCTATAAAAAGTCATTCTTGGCTATTCCTTTTTAGCTTTTTAAATCATAAAGCTGAAACAAATTCACTATTCGCTATTCATCTGAACATTTAATGTACATTTCCATTCCTGCTAAAAATTCATCAAAATTCATGTAATCTTCTTGCTTATTAGTGAACTTATTAAATATTTGTTCTCCCCAAAATCCCTAAATTAATAATCTATATGCTACAAACTATTATTTAAAAGAAGGTATTGAATGTGTCTCTACTTAACAATGAATTACTTTATCTAGAAGACAAGTCTTTAAAAATAAGAATAAGCATGTCCAGTTCAAATTCATCAACTACACTCTAATTTCAATATATACATTTTCCTAAGTATTTTTAAGCAATCAATTTATGAGTACTGCTTTTCTTTGGCTTTCTTTGAATCCCACACTTTAATGCACCTCCCATGAGTTAATAAATATTCAATATTTTTTTTTACCGTAATTTTAAACACAAACCAAAATTCATTCAGCTAAAGACACTCATCAAATTAAGAATTACAAAAACTAATAATTCCCTTTTTACATTCAATTTTAACATTAATGAAAATAAGAACACTAAATTTTATACATTCTTAAATTTATAAAAATAACTCATTCTTTATCAGATTTAGATACCAATTTAATTTATCAAATTCATTATAGAATAATTAATTTTTAATTTTGTTCTCTTTATTATATACATATTTCTTAGTAGAATAATTATAAACAAAGATTAATAATCAACTTAAATTTTTTGATTAAAACATTCTATCTATATATATATATATAAAAAATTGTTAAAAAAAGTGTTAAATTTTCTTCTAGTTAATTTTTCTGATTATATATTTCAATTAAATAGTTATTTTTGATATGATATGATATTGAATACTAAAATAAAAGTGTTTCCCTTTTAATTCTTGAATTACTTAAATTAAATTAATTTAACTGTCATATGAACAAATTAGTAGTATAACAAGTTAAGAGTATTTTCAATAGTCTTCCTAATAAAGATTTGGATAAATTGCTGAATTTGTTACTTGCTGCAGGAATAACAAAAAATTAAAAATAAGTTGGTTATAAATGTGTTGAATGTAATATTATGTATGAATTATCAAATAAATAAAAAGGTTCAAAGGTATTAATGCCAGTGGTTTTGGTAGAGATGAAATTGAAGCAATTCATATTTGTTTAAAGAATTTTATAGATTAGATGTTAGAAGAAGAAGGACATTTATCATTCCTTAGAAATATTTTAAGAGAACTAAAATAACTAGATTTTTAGGAATAAGATATTGAATAATTATAACAGAAAATAGGCAATATATCAATAATCTAAAATAATCAAAATTATTAGACTGTAGATAGTTTGTTAAATGGAGAAAATGAATAAATTTTAGGATAAATTGTTGATAATAAACCTAAAAAAATTGAAATCCAATTAGATAACAGTAATAAAGAAAACAATTAAAATTAATATTTGAAATGTTGTAGTCATGAATAAGAATTGAAAAAAGAGAAAATGAGAGTTGAACATTTAGAATTAAGAATAAAATTGATTTTAGAAGAAAATAGAATTTTGAAATCAATTCTTAATGAAAAGAAAGAGAGTGCAAGACAAGAAAGTAATAGAGAAGGTGATACTAAAAGAATTCGTTAATAAGCTAGATCAAGTAGTGTAAAAATGGGTAAAATTTAGTAAATAAATGGAGTGCCTAAATTAAATCTAGATGCACTTCCAACCTATATTGGCAAATAGAAAACATTATTTTGATGATTTTTCTATCTAATTAGTTTTATTAATTCATTTCTTTTTAGGAATTTGGATTGTCTATTTCTTTGTATTTTATTATATAGTTTATGAATTTCTAGTAGATATAGTTTAAATTGTATTTGTTTTACTAGGCTATTAAGAATATAGATTAAGACCTCTTCCTTTTTTCTATTAAATTCTTCTCTTTATCTTCTTTTTAAAGATATATCTTCTAATACATTTAATAATTAATTTAATTGCTCTTTTTCTTTTAATTAATCTTCTATATCTCTTTCTTTATAAAAAGCCTTTTATAAATGCTTATAATCTAATAAATTTCTTTAATCGTTTGAGTCTACGTACATATCTTTTTGATTTAATTACAAGTCTATATGACTATATTTTCATAATTGATTTCACCCTTAACAATCCCATATTCCATATATTAACCATTGCTACTCTTGATTTATGTCTACCATAAACTTTTGTTAATTTATTTAATCCATTTTGAATAATTTCTAATTTCTTTTACCTTTTTGCTAATCTTATTCTCATTAAACATTACAATAAAAGAGCTGTTTATTCTTTTTCCAATCTTTTTCTTAATTTAATTGCTTTAAATCTTTTATAATTTTTTTAAATTATAATAGCAGATCTATGATTTTTAAGTAATTTCTTATATTTCTTTTTTTAAATAAAACTAAATTAATAATAATATATGAATACCATTTAAAAAGTGAATTAATTTTGGCACTTTATTTTATTCTTTTTCTATATTATGATTTCCACCATCTTTATATTTTTTTATATTTAAATAGTTTGTATTTCAAATCATTAGCCACTTTAAATGATATTTTAAATGAGATCAATTATTCTAAATACAAAATTGCTAATTCTCTTTTTAATTAATTTTTAATTTTTATTGATTAATTACATCTAAATCTACATTATATTTTAGTTGCCATTTTGTTTCTTTTTAAATGATATCTCCTCTTTTTAGCTAAAAATCCTCTAATAAGTGTTTATATTTTGGTAGCTGAATTATAATTTTTTATTCTTATTCTTAATAATTTAGCAAGCATTCTCCTAACATATTTTTAGATAATAATAGCATATTTTGTATCTCTTAAAAACCATTTTATTTTTTTAGCTTTATACATTCTATAAAATTTTTATATCATTAAAGCTGCAAGTGATTCTATATATCTTTTATCAATCATCTTTTCTCTTTTAATATTACATTTTTATCCCCATAATTCAAATTAATTATCATTCTATTATTAATTATTATAAGTTTATTCTTCATCAATTAATAATTCATAATAGTATTTTTTAGGTCTAATAAATTCATCACCAAATACTATATTAAACATACTTTCAGCCATAGAATCTAACATTTCATGTAACCAATCTGCTCTTTCTGCACATGCTGGTGATAAATTGACTTCTAATAACCATGGTTTACAATATTCATCTAACATAATATCAAAACCAAATAATTCAAAACAATATTTAGATTCACCTTCAAATTGATCTTATAATATTTTCAGTGTTTTAATCATTAAGTCATTACATTATGGTCTAACTATCTTTTACCAATCAACAGGAAGCCATTGCTACATAAAATCACTACTGTAAATTGAATCATTTTGACTAATGTATTATTATTGCTCACTTACTTCTTAAATTCTGATTTATTTAAAGAGAAATTTGTCAAATGCTTTAATAAATTCTTAGTGTCTTTCACATCATATGGTTGACTACACATTCTCATATAACAATGACTGAAAACAAATGCTTATAATGGTTAGAAACTCCTTACTAAAACCCATTATCTCAAATCAAATTTATATCCTTTATATAACAATGGTCTTTCTATATACTTTTGTACCAATCTAGCTTACATTTATTAACCACTATTAATTGCTTCTGTAATATCCTTTTCTAAATAAATTCCTTATCCTCTTGCACATCCTCCTGGTTTAATAATCCATATATTATTAATTCCATCAACCTTATATGCTGGATCATACTTTTTAAAAAACAAATGATATCTATACAATTTTTTTATTAAAAATTAACTTGGATTAGTACCTTTATCAAACTTTTAAATTTGAGAATAAGTAATTAAACTATAATATAAATAAATATAAATATTACTTTAATCTAGTTTTTGATATGTATTGTTAACTCAATTCAAAATTTTTATCATCATAGAAACCATCTTTTAACTATCTTTTCATATCAGATAATCTAGATAATACTTCAGACATAATTAAACAATCAAATTTAATATCTGATTATTATTATTAATCTTCCAATTCTTATGCTGTATAAATATTTTTGTATTTCCTCTTTACAGTTCTTTTCATATCAATTTTTCTAATCTTTGAATATTCTTCTTTCTCTTTCCATTCCTTAAATATTACTTCTTTTATTTTCTTCATCTCATTTTTTCTCTTAATTCTCAAAGCAAAAATAGCCTTCTTTAATATTATTGTAACAGCAGTTCTTTCATATTCTTTAAGAAAATCCTCTCTATCTGTTGCATTTCCTAAATCAAAAGCTCTTGGAAAGAAAGTACTTGTATCATAACCATATTCACATTAATTTTTAAAGTTTGTTAATAAACATGATTTTGTAGTAAGTTCTTTAGTGTTACTAAAATGATTGTAAAATTATCCATCTAATAATGTTTTAAAATCATCAGGATTATCAGTATAAACCCATTTTAGATCAAATATTTATTAGTTACAAGGTGTTTCAAGCCAACCATGTCTTTATAAACATCTTCGAATATACTCATCTTATGAATTAAAACAAAACACTTTAGTTGCAATTGAAATGTTCTATCTTTTCAAATAATCATTCATTAAAGAACGATGATTAAAGTATGTCTTATTCTTCACCAAAGTTTCAACATTAGGCTTCTTTGGTTGAGACTACTTTCTTTATGATTCTTATGATATTGTAGTTTCAATGCTACTTGATTATCTTGAAAGACGAGATTATGATAAAGGATTCTAAATAGCTGGTTTCATTAATTTCCTATATATTCATACGCAACTTACAGAGGAGTCCCCAAAGAATCCTTGGATTATCTTTTTATTTCTGGCAATATTGGTAATTGAGTAGTAATTTTGGGTTTTGGTGCAATTTATTATTTCATATTTTAATATAACTGTTTATAAGTATATATATATACTCATCATTATATATAATATATTACTAGAACTTTGTTAGATATATATACTATATAGATAATTATTTCAAATGTACAATTTCTGCTTTTTGTTCAATTATACATTTATACAAAATTAAAATTCAATTTTGAATTTATATACAAGAATGACAACTATCTTAGATAATGTCACAACTCTTAAAGATAAAATTAAAATATTAGATGACAATAAAAATTAAACTAAAAACCTAGATCTCTAAGCAATTTATAAACATATTCATAATATTGGATAAGATTCTAATTAATTGTTAGAACATGCTTTAAAAATCAATTTTGGAAATGTATTAAAAATCCAAGCATAAAATGATTAAAATGAAGTCTTATAGGTATTTAAAAAAGTATGCTAAACTGCAAAAGATCTAAATCATATTTGCATTTATGTTAAATATATTTAACAAATTAGTAAATAAGATCTATAAAAAATATACTTTAAAGAATTGGGTTTTTAGACTGAGAAATTAATTACAGAATTTAGAAAACAAGGAACTATTATTAAAGAATTACGTTTAGATACAAATGATATAACAAAACAGAGATTTATGATTCAAATGATTACAACACTATGTCCATAAGATTTGGGATTCAATCCAGAATTATTCTCATTAATGCTCATTCCTTTTAAATGTCTCCATAAAGCAGATCCAACAGATATATCCCTATTAGAAAAATTAGCTGATGTATTACTATCTTAATGCAATGGACAAGGAATTGCAAATTAAAATTAAGTTCATGATTGGTTAGCTTTATTGACTGGAATCATTTAATATGCATATGAAGGAAATTCTATTGGATTATTTATATTATTGCGAAAAGTATTTTAATTTTATATATTATATTTAGATTCCACATCAACATATTAATGAATTACTTTATAGACATAAATATTTTATGCTTCTAAATTACTTTAATAATTTAAAAGTAACCTTAAAGATCTTTTAAGGATTAACTTTTTATTCAATTACTTAATAAAGTATCTTTTTTATTAGAACAATAAGTTAATTCTTATATGAATATGCATTAGAAATTAAAAGCAAATAATATTCAGATATTTTAAAATATATCTATTAGGAATTCATTTTAACAACTATATTGGGAAACATTTAAATGATTCATTATAGTACTGAATTAATTGATTTATTATTATTTTATATAGTTGGAATGTCATCAATAGATTAAGATCCTTTATTAAAATCATTTAATTTATTATATTTCAAATTGAAGTAGGCATCCAATTATAAAATATTTACTAAAGATTTTAAAACCTAAAGAATTTAATTTTTATTAACTGTTGCTATGAATTATAATGGATTAAATACTGATGAACAATTTCTAAATATTATATAAATCTATCAAACTACAGACAAAATGATTCCATATAAATAATATATTTAATGGGATTTTTCATAATTAATTGAATAATAAAGTTAAATTGATTAAAATATACTATTAAGAGATTCTAAAGATTTTGTTGGTCTTGAAAATCTCACTAATACTTGTTTTATGAATAGTATTTTATAAAGTTTATACATGACATAATCCTTTAGAAAGTTTGTTATTCAATTAAAATTTACTGATTAATCATTATAATTAATTCCTTATCCATCTAAATTAAGTAGTCTTTAGAAATTATTTCTACTTTTAACTTATTAAAAATAAGGGTATTGTTCTCCTTATGAACTCAAAAGATAATTAAGAGAACCATATAGTAATACAAATGATTAATAAGATGTGAGTGAATTTGCACATCATTTTCTAGAAGATCTTTTAGAACTATTACCTAAACATTTATAAATTCCAATGGAAAAGATATTCTTTGGTTATCATAGATCATGTATTGAATGTTATAATTGTCCTAAAAGACAACCAGCATATCGTCCAAAAGAAAAGTTCTTAGGAATCGATTTACATTTTAATGAAGATGAAGAAAATTAAGATCTTTATGATATGATTCGAAAAGCATATGAAAAAGAACAAATAGAATTTACATGTGATAAATGTAATTAAAGAACTGATCGAGTATACAAATCTTAGTAATTAATTCAATTACCTTCTGTATTATTTATGATAGTACATCGGTAATAATATAATTCAATAATAGTTTTACTTTCAATGCTGCAACATAAACAATGAATAAAATGTTAACAAAAGTACCATTTAAATTTTAAATTGATTTCAGAGATGTTTTCAATTAAAAAAAACTCAATAGTAAAGATTGTATCTATGATCTCTATGCTTTTATTGTCCATATGGTAAATACATATAATTATCATATCTATTATAGGGAAAAAATAGTTATTCAGGTCATTATATTTGTTATGCTAGATAACTTAATAAACCTGATGTTTGGGTAACTTTCGATGATACCATGATATCAAATTTAGAATATGATAGTGATCAACTTGATAAAGAGCTTATGTAATATTTTATATATAATATATATATAGAGCAGAGGAAACACCTTATTTATTGTTTTATTAAAATTAATCAGGATAACCCTTAATTTTCAATAATTGATCATAATATTTAATTTATTTTTCAAAATATGTTGCAACACATCTTTTCTTATTGTTCTTAAGGTTGTTTTTGAATTTCAATTTTTGCAGAAGGTCTCTTATCTATTGTAGACTACAATTAAGGTTAAGTATTTGTAGGTTATTCTGTAACCTTAACTATTCCATTCATTTTATCTTATATATCCATTGCAGACATTATCAATTTAGTAAATATACTCATACTTCGATCCATTCCTAAATTTTCAGTTGCTGAACATTCTGAGTAATATACATTTTGAGGAAGTCGTTTAGTTGCAAATTCAATAATGTGATCATCATTCCATTTTTCTGATTATCTAATTCCTTTTATGGGATGTACATTTTTTGAACCAAAGACTGCTACTTTATATTCTGAACATTTTTCATTGATCTAATCAATTATTTCATTATATTTAGGACATTTTCTCTCTAAATCTCCCATAGTTCCTAAGAAATAATAATATGCATTTGTTTGTTTGGCATTCTTAACACATAATTAAAACCATGTATTCAATGCATTTTCTAAAGTCACCATATTATTTAAAGAGAATGCAATTATGTAAATGTTGCTCTATAGCAGAAATGCTCTAATCATGGCACTAAACATCATTAAAATAAATAATTACATATTCTTAATTTCTCCAGAAGTAATCCAAACATGAATCTTTTAAGTAATCTTATTAGGTAATAGAATTCTTGATATAAAGAAATCTACAGATTAAATTTATTTATCGTTAACTTTAGATTCAATATTCAGCAGACATTCCATTAATTTACTTTTACCTACAGATTGATCTCCAATCAAGATTACTCTATGTAGATCATTTGCATTTACTTTATTTTTCTCTCCTTTTATTCACATAAAATAGAAACACTGTCCTATTCCATATATATAATTATTTATATAATTATATATTATTAATTCATATTTCCAAAATGACGTATTTTTTATAGATATTATTAAACTCCTGTTCTAAAGCTGATGAATTGAAAAGCTTCTGTTCAATATTCTAAGGTTCAAAAATGAGATGACTAAATTAGAGAGGCTACAAACAGTATATCAGTTTAATGAGCACTTTAAGTAAAGATTATTTTTATTAGATTTAGATAGCCTAAATATTCAATTTTGATCTAATGTGTTCAATTATATTATGATAAATTTAATTAAAAATTTCTCCAAATGCCTAATCGTTCTAATTTCCTTATAGTACTGAAAAGCAATTAGGCAATTTAAATTATGATTATTTTAACATATAATTTGTATTTTCAGTAGTTCTTAGACTAGATATTTAGTACTAATCATATTTAATTTTGACTTGATTGTAACTCTCTATCAGATAATTACAATTTTATTAGAAACTCTGAAATGTTTATTCGTAATATTCACTTTTTTTAAATATTTAAAAATCATTTGGCAAAATTTAAATGAAAAGCATATTCTAATATTAAATATTATATATATTTTACTTATCCTTATAGAACATTAAAATAAAAAGCTAATTCATTTAACATGTACTTTTAAGTAATGACTGAATAACTTAATTATTGTTCTTGCGATAATTATATAATTTAATTAATATCTTATACATCTCTCATCACCTACCTAATAAATTTAAGGATATCTTAAATATATAAAAAATAATTTAAAATGCCTTTCACCTTATTATCTTAATTTTAAAGCATTTATTAAATTTCTTATAATTATGAGCTTTATTAAGACTGAATTTATAATCCATTACCAAGAATTAATTTAAATATTTGATCCCAACTAATTCTTTATTCAGGATCCGCAATAAGCATTTGTTATAATAAATTGAAATACTTTGGAGGAACTTCAATATTTTATGGATAATGAATTTAATAATCATTTGATGCTCTAGAAAAATTATTTTATATCATTTCCATTGGGGCTTTACCATATAACATTTTATAAAGGATGACACCCAAAGACCAAACATCAGCTTTAGATGAATATACTCCTGTTGTGACTTCAGGTGCAATATATAAGGGGGTTCCTAGAGTTGATTAAGGCACACTAAGATCAAGCTCATCTAATAGTTTAGAAAACCCAAAATCTCCAATTTTAGCAACTCCTTTGGAAAATAGAATATTTTCCGGTTTTAGATCTCTATGAATTATTTTTTTATCTCTAATCTCTTTATACCCTCGTACAATTTATTCAAAGATAGTAAAGGTTTCATTTTAGGATAAATGAGATTTTAATTTATTATGTAGATTACCTTAATCACAATACTCTAAGATAAAATAGAAAGCTTCATTATTTTCAATAAAATCTATCATTCTAAATTAAAAAAATAAATACTTTACAATATGAGGACTTGATAATTACTATTAATTAAGCCTCTCTCTGTTTACGTAATTAAGTATAACTTTCTATAGACTCTTTTTTTTTTCCAATCTACTCTTATCAATACTTTTAATTGCTATTAATTCATTCTAGTTTCTATACATATATCCTTAATGGACATCTGCAAAACTTCCCTTTAAAATGATATTTATAGATATTTACCGAACCAAGGAACTTACTCAAATCTTACACATATTTTTCTGCAAGCAATTTTTTTGTATACTCCAAATTGCTCATTATAAATAAATATTAATATTTATAAAAAGATTAATATTTCTCTATAATTTTATAAATAATAAATATAATGGATAATCATAATGAGATTGTGATTCTCTTTTATAAAGAATTAACAATACTTATTTAATAATATAAATTATTATATTAGCATTATATAACAATATCTTTTAATGTAAATTTATACACGAAATAAAATTAATTAAGGAAATTAATACGTGTTACAATATTTCTAGATTTTACTATTATTTGGGATCTTTGGGTTTTAAATCAGAAAATTAATGATTGTTTAGATAAATTAAATTAATGGAATAAAAGATTGTCTTCAAGGAAGAGGCTAGAAAAGATTTCTTAGATGCTGATGGAAATGTTGACTTCTAAAAAGTTTAAGCTAGATGGAATGAATTGGCTAAAGTCAAAGTGAGTTTGGGAAACAAATATTTCACTCCTGAAGTTGTTGAATAAGTTAAGAAGTTGTCAGCAGCTGATTAACACCGTTTCTTAGATGTCATGATGGGTGGATTGGCAAATGATGATAGCTCAGTTGGTGTCTATGCCACAAGACCTGAAGATTATGACGTTTTCTCCTTCTATTTATAACCATTAATTAGAGATTATCATAAAATCGAAGGTGAAACCAAATAAGAGCATGATTGGAATATCCCAGTCGATGAATATTTATTGACTAAAATTGACCCAAAACTTGAGAAAGTATCCATGAGAGCAAGAGTTGCTAGAAATGTTAAAGGATGGAATTTACCTCCTTTGATGAGCAAAGAAGAAAGAATCAACTTTGAAAATAAGATGGTTTAAGCTTTTGAAAACTTTGATATTAAAGGAAAATATCATAGTTTAACACCAGGTCACAAGAACCAAATCACTCAAGAATAAGCTGATGAATTAATTAAAAGACATTTCTTATTTAATGATATGACCACAGACAATCATTTAACATCTTCAGGTGTTGCTTCTGATTGGCCATATGGAAGAGGTATTTGGATTAGTGATGATGAAACTAAAATGATTTGGGTTGGTGAAGAAGATTAATTAAGAATCATCTCTATTGTTTAAGGAAATGATTTAGGAAAAGTCGATTAATCACTCTATTAATTACTTACAGGTATTGAAAAGAGTGGACTTGAATTTGCTGAACATCCAGTTTATGGTGTTGTCACAACATGCCCAACCAATATGGGAACAGGAAAGAGATAATCTATTCTTGGTAAATTCCCAAATATCACAAATGGAGGAAAAGATGAGAAGAAACTTAAAGATATTGCTAGATAATTTGGATTATAAGCAAGAGGAATGGGAGGTGAACATTCAGCTATGGATCATGAAGGAACTGCTGATATTTCCCCATCTGCTAGATTTGGAGTCACTGAGGCAGTTGTCACAAGAAGATTATATGAAGGACTCATCAAACTTTATGAAATTGAAGCCTAATTAGGAAAGGAATAATAACAAGCCTGAGTAGTATATCATAAATACATAATATAAATACATTTCATTACTTCAAATACATTCTATATATCATTTCTTTGAATAAAGAATGTATTTTCATTTCTTTTAATCAATTCTTTCATTCTATTCTATATACAATAATTATAGAAAAAGAAGGAAATAATTTTAAAAAAGAAAATTTATATATGATTTTTTTTAATTATAATTATACGCTCCTATTCTAAAATCATAGATTATTTAAATAACTAAAATATAAAAAACTACTCTTATTTATATTCAACTTACTTATTCAAGTATTTAAATCAAAAATAGAATTATTAGTTTGATATTTATTTATCAGAATACTCAATTAAAATATAGATGTCATCATCATTGTTCATAAAAGAGAAATTAAATATTTTGTAACAAAAAAATAATTATAAAATGAATATATAATCTAAAAGAAATGAAATGATAATTATGTTTATAAAATAAAAAATGAAATTCTTATGTCTATTAATTATTATTAATTGTTCTCTCTAATTCTGCCTTCATTTCAAAAACCCTCAAAACTTAATTATTTATAGAGAATTAGGTAAAAATAAATAAGAAGAAAGGGATTAATTTGGATAATCTTCTTGTAAAAGTACCCAAATTTTAATTATTAATATGTAAAATAATATGAATATATTAAATATCCTTAGTCTCTTCTTTTAAAATTACAACTCATTTGTTTTAGACAATTATTCTAGATCTTAACTTGATATCAATTATAATATTGGGATGCTTTAAATCTTCTTTTTGATCCTTTGTAAATGAAATCTAATAAATTTCATATTATATTAAAATTCTGGAGATATGAGAAAGTCATCATAATTATCTAATTAGCATGATAATATACTCTAATAAAAAGGATCAATATTAGTTTATTATAATAGCATTTAATAATTCATAAAATTTATATTAAAAAGTAATGATGGAGAGCTATTCGTGCTGTGTTTTATTTTAATAAAAAAGATTTAATTTATTTTGAATTATTCAATAAGATGACATTCATAGTAAAAACCAGGAAGGTACTCTTAAACAAACTTTTGAACAGAAGACAATTAGTAATGTGATCAATTAACTTTAGAGTGTTGAATTACTCCATCCAAATAAGCCAACTCCTTCATAAGAATCAGTTGTTAAGGAATTAGCAAGCAAATATAAGGCAGATGAAAGAAATGTTGTAGTCTATGGTCTTAAAACAACATTCGGAGGTAATAGAACAACTGGATTTGCTTTGATCTACGATACATAATAGTATTGAGTTTACAATTAATATAGATATCTTCTTAAATTTGAACCAAAATTCAGATTGAGAAGAAGAGGTATCATTCCAAAAAGAGATGGTAGCAGAAAAGGATGGAAAGAAGTCAAGTCTAAGTTAAAGAAAACAAGGGGTTCTGAAAAAACAAAGATTTACATGTCAAGAAAGACAGATAAGAGAGAAGTCATCAGAGCTTAAAAGGAAACTTACCTTAAAGGTTTTGTTGGAAAATGAGTGCATTTATACCACATTTAATAGTACATTATAAATAAATATAAATATTTTATATTTTTTATTTAATTAATCATCATTTAAATTTTTCTTATACTAGTCCTAACTTTTCAGTAGTACCATAAATATTAATGATATTAAATAGATTTTCAAATAAATTAAACAATTTGTTATCAAATTGATCTTTAAATTTATTCATATTCTCCTATTTTTAAAAAAGTATAATCTTATCAGGACTATTAGCATTTTTTAGATAAACCTCAAAATTTTCTAATTTGTCAATTTATTCTTCATTTTCAATTATTTCTATATTAGGAAATACTTCTTTAAGCATATTCGTTACATATTCTGTCTTTTAAATAAAATCTTTCTCTTGATGTCTTGTAGTCAATTAGTGTTTATCACAATTTTAGCATCTAGAAATATTGATATAGAATTTGCCTAAGTTCCAATTATCTGGTATCTAAGGTAAACTCAAAGTTTCCAATTCAGTATCTAGATAAATGTCTAATTCCTAATATAAAAAATATCATATATATATACAGGAACTACTTCAATTTATTTTTGAGAAATTTAGATAACTAATATTATTTGTTAATCAATGATATTGAATTTAACTATTTTTTCATTTTCTTGTAATTCTACTTCATGAATTAATGTTATTTCATTATATTATCCTAAAAATAAAGAATTTGTTTCTGTTTTGATTAAATTAATTTGAGAATTATTAGTAAACATAAAAGACAATTTTTTTTATTTAATTAGATTCAATTTACCAGTAAATGCTTCAGGGAATTGATCAAGAGAATAACTTAATATAGATTCATTTTTGAATTTGACTTATAATTAAATTTACTATTCAACTTTGCTGATTGAAACTTCTGTCACTTCCTAAGCATTAGATAATTTAACTTCTTACTCTTATTTATCTGTTGATTTTATGATTATTTCCTTATAAATATATTTATTTTCACCTTTTTCTTATTTTTTAATATTCCTTAAATTTTCTTTTGACATGATACATTCTCTTAAAACAATAAGAAAGTGATCATAATGAATGTATTTCTCGTTTTAATTTGTATATATGACTTCCATTATTTCACATAATTCATGCAACTATTCAATAGTTATAAGTAGTAACCCAGCATTTTAAATGTATTTCAGAAATTAGTTGTATGGCATCATAAAATAGGGTGATAATAATATCTTGGGTTTGATTATTTTATGAAATTTAGTAGGAGGTAATTCATCAATTCTTTATAAGAATTATAATCCCAAACTAATAAAATCAAAATATTCAATAAACGGACTCAAAAGTTGTTTATAATTAGATTTAGTTTATAAGAATTTCTTCAGTTTATTAATAGAATACTTTCGACTCCATTAAGGTTGCTCTTAAATATATTCTTGTTTTTTTTCTTCAGTTTTCATCTTAGTAATGGATAAATCATATTTATTAACTAATAAACCTGGAATATTTCGATTATTAATAATTACTGCTTAATTTTATAGAGGAGAGGATTTACTTCCTGATTATGGATAAAATTATTATTCATTCTACTATTATAAACAGAATATTAGATCTCCTGCAGACAAATAAGAGATATTTTCTTTCTTCTATTCATTTCTTTTACTTATTTTTTTAATTCCATTATATTTATAATAGAATATTTTATACAATTCTTTAAATATGTTTATTCTTTAGAAATTTTCTATTATTACCAAACAGTCCTTTATAACTAGATGATTTGTTGTGTATTTTTCAAATTATAGTTAAGCTTCTGGGAAAATTACAGAATTGGAAATAGAAACTTAATCATCTCTAATACCATTTAAACATAAACACATATCCATATATTTACCAGATTCATTTAAAATTAAAGCTAATAATTAAAATTCTCCAAATTTAATTGGTAATTAAGATGTAACTGTTATTGGATTTTATTATTGAGTATTTTAAGGATGATTATTAGGAATAAAAGTACAATACACTTATTTGCTATCTAAATAAATACCCATTTCTAGAAGAGTTTTATTATCTGTACTAATTTTAAGAATAGGTAGTATATCTGTTGAATTAATTCTATCAATTTTGACCCAAAAGCATATTGTTAAATATCCTTTAAATTTATCAAAATTAATTTATGAGAACATAAATTAGATTTCCTCGTTTGTAGATTCCTTATAAAATGCCTTATCTTCAACAAAGATTTGATGAAATGTATTATTCTTTTGTTGAGGAATTTAGTCTTATTGTGGAATGATTTTAATATCTTTAAGCTAACTTATTTTATTTAATTCTGATTGAGCTTATAATAATTAATTATTTAGTTAAGTAATTGTTTCTTCTTTTTGGTTAATTAATATTAAATAGAATTCTTATTGCTATTCTAACCTATCTTTTAATAATAATTATTATTATAAATCACTATTATTCTTATCGCTTTCTAATTTAGCATATTTATTTTTACATTCTTTAAGTTCTTCAGCTGTTTTGTTTAATAAAAGTTACAATTCATTATTTTAATTATCTAAATTAATTTAATTAACATTATCTTTCAATCCGTTATAATTTTATATTGATTGTAAATCTGCTTTTAATTTTTCAATTTCTTTATTTAATTATTAGACATCAGTTTTATCATTTTTGATTTCTTCTTTTTTTTAAAGTAATTATTATTTTTCTTTTTAAATATCAATCTTTTTCTATTAATCTTAAGATAACTATTTTTATAATTCTTGATTAAACAATTCCAATTATTTTTTTTCTTTTTACAATTACTAAATTAACTTAGAATTTTTATCATTTTAATTGTTCAACTTTTTTAATTTATCTGATATATCATTATCTTAATCTTAATATTCTTACAATTGTTCTTGCAATATCATAATTTCCTTATCTTTACTTTCATTTATTTCCTATAATTATTATATTTCCTTTTTATCTTAAATCATTAAATCTTCAAGCTCTTATTTTTATTTATTAATTTCAGATTACAATGAATGTTTTTTCTTAATCTCATCATCTAATTATTATTTATATTAATCTAAATATTTATTAGAATCTAGAATCTGTTCCTATAATCTCTCCAATTATCTATCTTAATCTTATTTGTCTAATTTAAAAACTTCAAATTCATTTTTCAATTAGAATACCTATTATTTATAATCAGAAATCTCATTATTTTATTCATCAATTCTCAATATCAATTATATATGTTCTTTAGAGCTTTCTTCAATTTATTTTTCTGCATTTTTTAAATTTTAATCTTTCTATGACACTTCCTTTTTCAATCTAATTATTTCAATAGAATTAGATTATATAGTTTATATTTATCTTTCATTTAAATCTTATAACTCTTAAACTTTAGATATTCCCTATCCTACTTCATCTTCTTTTTATTAAATTAATAAATCAACATATTGTTATAGCATTATCATTTAATTATCATCTCTTTTATATTAAACAATTTATTTTTCCTATAAATTAATTTTATCCTTTTATAATATATTTATTTACATTCAATAATTTATTTATTTTTTCTTATTCTTCAATTTCTTCTACTTTTTATTAAATGACTTCTACTTTTTATTGAATGAGGTCCTTTTACTTTGCAATTTCATCTTATAATTTCTAAACTTTATTTACTCTCATCACTAACAAATCAGCATTTAATTATTTTGATCTTTGTTTTTCTTCTTCTAATTTTTCATTTTTAAGCTTCATCTCTTATAATAATATACCATTTTCGCTATCAAATCTTTATAATTTCTTTTATAATTATTAGATATCTGTTTCTTTTTCTTTTAATATTTCCTCCAATTTATGAATGCTGATTTAATATCTTTCATCATTAATATTGCATTTTCTTTACAAATCCTAAACTTCTAAATATTGCTCTCTTAATCCGATATTAAGTTATACTAATTATTTATTAGATATTTCTAATTTTTGTAATTAATTTTAAAGATCATTTACAATAGCTTACATTTTTTATAATTTCTGTTAAGTTTCTTCATTCTTAGATTACTAATAATCTATCTATTATTCTAACATTTATTTTTCCTCTTCCATCAATTTTAATTTTTCTTTTAAATCATTTTTTTATTATTACAATTGTAATAATTTTACTATAGCTTCTTCTTTATTATAATTTTTAACCATTCTCTTTAAATCATCTAATTCGTGCTTAATCTAAATAGCTTATTATTCACTAGTTTTCTAAAAGTGTTACAATAATTAAATTTACTAATTCTTTACTAAGTTGTTTAGCTTAAATTTCAAAGTGACAATGATGATTAGAATTGATTTCTCTTGCTGAAACTAAATATAATAATTTCTTACTTTCTTATTGTTGATTTTATGATTATTTTGAATCAGTACTTAAAATAAATTGCATTTATTACTTTTATTGTTCATTTGTACTTATTGAAGGAAATGTCGTTTACAATATTTAAGATTTCTTATAAAGTCTTCTACTAGATGTTTATGGTTTTAGAGAGTTTATTTATAGAGAATTCTCATTGAAAGTATAAAGAGAATGACTACCACTTTATATTCTAGGCTCTTATTTATTATTGAATCTTTACTATTCATTTTCTATTAATTTTAAATAGAAGCGATTCCTCTTTCTCCATATTTCTAATTTAAATTATCATCTTGTTCTGAAATTTAACAAAACTTTTTTTATGTATTCATTTTATATAAAAATAAAACTGTATATCTACAATAAAAGAATAAAGATTATTGTAAAATAAAACAAGATTAACATATATAAATTATAATATATTGTACCTAATTTAATGTAAGGGATTCTGATACAACAATAATAATTCACTTAGTAATTGATGAGGATCATTTCAAAAGAGTTTGAACCATCTGAAGGACTGGAATTAGAATTGAAACATTCAATTGAATCTTTCTTTATAGAAATCAAACAACTAGAATATGAAATGAAAGAATCTATTGGTAAATATTGTAATAATTGTGCAAAGTACAAGTAAAATAGCTAATCATACTAGATAATCAATTATTGATGAATTTCATGATACATAACATGATTAATCAAAACACCGTTATGATGAACTCAATACTGAGTTTCTTATCCTCAAAGCTTGCAATCAATAAATTGAATTGTAGAAATAAGAACTCTAATAGAAGTTAATTGATTAACGGACTAAATATGAAGAATTAAATAGATAAAAAAAAGAAGACAAAGATAATTATCGTCAATAATATGAAGCTCTCAAAAAGAAAGCTTAAGATAAAATACATAGATTAAAAGATAAGATAGTTGTCTTTTAAACTTAACTTTAAACATATGCTATAGAAAGTGAACATCTTAGAATTATTGCATCAGAAGGCAAAATAAACTCTCCCCAAATTTCTTCAGCCATTAAATTTAAATTAAAATCAATTCTCAAAGAAGTACATTAATTACGCAATTTATCTAATACACTTCTCTTAGAAAATTCAAAAATTATCTTATAAGCCAAAGAATAATTATAATTCCTTAATTTCAAAAAGGATATTCAAGGCACAATCATTAAAAGAAATAATACTCCTCCAGAACCTGCAAAAATCAAGTAATATTATTCTCAAAGTCAATCTATATAAAATAGTCCAGATCGAAAACTCAAAACAGAAAAACCAAATATGATAAGAAAATTAAATGTTACTAGATCATCAATAAGTAAGAATTTATTAGCAGAATTTGATGCCTCTGCTTAAATTACTAAATTTATTAAATAATACTATAATGCCGATTAATAATTAAGAAATAGTACAGGTTTTCATACCAAATTGTTTTGATAATTAAAATTACGATTAAATACTGTAATTATTATTAAATCTCATTAATTTTTAATATTCCCTTATAGCTTAACTTAATATATAAATATCTTAATTATAATTACATATGCTTATCTACTTTTTTTATATGATCATTTATATTTTTTATTATTCTTAAATCAATATTCAAAAACATCTGGAAACAATTAAATAAATTAAATAATAAAAATGCAACCTCCTGAAGAAGTATCTATCTAATTAATTATTAGAAACCATAAGAAGAAGGAGAATAAAAGCCAAAAGAAGAATAATAACAATAGTAACAAACACAGCAGTAGGAAAAGCCTCCAGCTAAGAATTACTTAGACTTATCTAATAAACCAATACCTCCTAATGCTACTGTGATTCATTTTGAAGTTTGCATCAATTGTTAAAAATCACATTCGTTTTGTACACAACATGATGAACTAAGATATGCGAAATTATATCATGAATTTAAGGAAGGTAACTTCTTTTATAACTAAATTATCTAGCTGTTGAAGCTGCAATTCCAGATTCATTTTGTGTAGTTAACCATTCAATTTAGAAACCTTCTATTGGGGCATTTGAAATCACTCATTAAAGTAATTCATTCATTCATTTCTAAATTAGATAAAATAATTTACTCTAAAAAGAATTCAGGCTTATTTCCTTGTGTAGCACCAACAGTAGAAAGAATTAAAAGATTTCTTGATGATCTTAAAAATGGAAAGGATGTTAAAGGTTATGCTACAACTAAAGAAAAGAAATAAGAGAAACCAATTGAAAAGAAATCAAAACCAACATTTTAAGCTTACATAAAAATGAAAGAAGAAGAATTTGCAAGATAAGAAGCAATTAGAGAAGAAAATGAAAGAAAAAGAAAAGAATAAGAAGAGAAAGAAGAGAAAGAAAGATAAGAAAGAGAAAGAATAGAAGCAGAAAATAAGAGAATAGCAGAAGAGGAAGCTGCTAAAAAAGCTGAAGAAGAAAGATTAAAAAAAGAAGAAGAAGATAAACTTAAAGCTGAAGAAGAGAAAAAGAAAGCTGAAGAAGCTGCTAATAATCCTGAAGGTGAAAAACCTCAAGAATAAGCTTAAGGTGAGAAACCAGCTTAATGAATTATTCAAATAAATAAATAAGAAGATATAAATCTATATTTATGTATTTTTTTTTTATAATACTCGTATCATAATCTATCTGTAGAAATAGCATTAACTTTAATACCATCTTACAATGAAATGACATAAATCTTATAAGTCTTATTTCTGTATTTAATATCTTCGGAAGCAAAAATTGGTTAATTTGTGACTTTAGAGAGTTAGCCATCTTTGAATGCCTATTTCAAAATTTAATTTTATAATATTGTTTATGAAATGATAGATTGACTGTCTTTTCCTTTAAGATTTTTAAAATAAAATGGAATATTAGGATATGGACTTTAGCATGGTAATGCTGATTAATTAGCAAGTGCAGCAATCAAACCATCAAAACTTACAAACAAGGTTTTAACAAATATTTCTGCTTCTTTATCTTATATAAACTCTTTAAAATAGGGTAATTATCTAACACTTTAATCATTTTAATTAATTGTTAATAACTCTAATTTAAGTTCTTTTTCTGGTATGAAATGCTATTCACCATTTTCAAAAGTTTACTTTTAAAATATATTAACAATTTTATGATAAATTTCATCATTTTTAAAGTGAGAATTGCCTGCATTCTAAAAAATAAATTAAATAAATATACTAAACAATCTAAAATCCATTTATTTATTTTATCTTTCATATTGTAACCTCCTTTAAGTTGGAAACTAAGTGAATTTGGTAAATAAGTTGGATCATATTATATATGTTTATCTTTTTTAGGTAATTTGGTTTTCTTTTCATGAATTACAACATCTTCACTTTCCTTTCTTACAACATCATCTACTTTTATTGGTTGATGTTTGCTAATATTTGTAACTTTTGGAAATAAATAATGAATAATATTCTTGATTTCATCATCATATGTTTCATTACTTTAATTTTATAGATGAAGTTCTTTTAGACTCTTAAAGAATTAATTTAAATTCTTTTTTGACTCATTAGAAAATAAATCTAATAAATCATCTTCAATATATTAATGATCGATCTTTAAATTTTCATCAACAAATGGAAATTCAATTACTCCATTTACTTATAATGAACTAACATTAAAATTTTAAAAAGTTTTGGCCTTCTTAATAAAGAGTTAAATTCTTTCAAGAGTAGTACAAGTTCTTTTCATGGCAGTAATAAGCAATTCATATGAAAATGGTAATTTTAATTAATTATAAGACTTTTTAGTATATGGATAAAGGATAATTTTATTGTAAAATTAACTACATTTTGATAAAATAGATTATGCTTCTTCTGGAGTATGATTGTGTTCTATTATAATAACATAATTATCTCTAATTTTAGCATCTTAAATATCACTAACAATTTAAGTTTAATTATAGAATGATTAAAAAGTACTTGCAAATGTAGATACACCCACTCCATTAACACCAACAGGTATAATTAAATATACATTTTCTGGATTCTTTTATAGATCTTCTCCTGTATAAACTGGTATTCTTTTTAAAGATTCTGGTTAATAGGATGACCATGAAACTCTATATTCATTTATAGATTTTAATTAATTCCATTTGAAAGTCTTGTTATTAAATATGTTGTATAATATAATAGTAACGAAATCATTAAAATTATATTTAATAGTTTATTCTATTTTATTATTTGATACTTATATTTTAATGCCTTCTTCATATATATTTTAGTAAAACTTAAATGGTCTTGGTGGTTTAACTTATAATGATTTAACAAATTATTTAAAATCTCTTTCAATATGTTATTCATTTAATAACATAGATTAAATGTGTTTATAAATTAAATACTCAGCTGTGTGTACAACATAATATTGATCATTAAAATATAATATAACTCCTGCTGATTCTAATTCAATATCACTTCTTTAAATTCTCTCTATATGTTTTTACAGTACTTTTAATTACAATTTAAATTAAGATGTTTTTGGATGAGGTAATCCATAAAAACAAAATAATTATTGTGCTTATTCAAAATTTACATCAATAATGCCAATAAATTATAGAATATCATTAGGATGATAGATTAGTGATTCTTAATTAATGATATGACCATAAACAGTTCGATTGTATAAATCAAATTTCAAATTGTTTAATTTTTCTTAGCTAACTAAAATAATTAGATTAATTAGTTTACATCCATTCAAAATATTAAACCATAATTCAGCTACTTAGACAGCTGAATCAAATCTTTAGAATTAATATTCTGATAAATCTTTAGATGTTTAAGCAACAATTGTAAGATTGTTACAATAGATTAACCAAGCATCGACTTCTTACTAATATCCAATCTTAAATAATTAACCTCCAGGATAAGTCTGACTATATACAGTTTACTAATTTAGCTATTATTATATTACAGTTAAATTGCTTTCAATTGAATCCTTAATTATTTAATCCAAATTTGATTAAGTGGGAAATTAGACATCTTAAAAACCTACAATCGAATTGAAGATATATTACCCCATAAAGTTTTGAGTAGCTGATTCTGCTCATTGAATATTTATAGGACTGTCTTATGATGATGAATCTAGAATGAATGATTTCTTTAATTTACCTAATATTTTACATCATAAATCACAAGATTTTCTATGAATAATTTGTTTTAATCATTAATCTGTTAGTCTTATTGATTACAATAATGTAAACTAAATTATCAATGGTTCATATTATACAATTCATATGGATCACTGCTTTGATATTAAGACATTAATCAATATTAAATATTAAATTTATTTGTAGTATCAAAAATTAATGGTTGTCTTCATCTACGAAGTTTGGAAATCTTGAGAAAGCTATCATTTATTCTATGACTCAATTCTTCATTAATATTAAGAGTTTTCATTCTCTCACATAATTATCTAAATAATAAGATTATCTATTAAAAATATATACGCAATTGAATTTATTGAATTGTTTTCTAAAAATGCCGATTAAAATGATATTTTCTCTATATCCAGAATATTTAGTAATTCTTACATAGAATTACTTTATTCACTAATAAATCCTTAAATTTTCCAATCTATTTCTGAAATCTCAGATAAAGAATCACTAGTTTCCAATTCAAATATTGTATGTGTCATTCCATCTTTTGAATATTTCAATGCCTGAAATAAATTGGAAAAAAACTATTAACTAATCATAATCATTTAATTACTTCTTTCACTTCAATTGGTTCTTACTACCATAACTTGCTATAATTCTTTTTGTCTGGATCCTTTTATGTAAAATATCCTTAATTACATTGAGACTCTATTTATATAATACGATGACTGGTGGAGGATTTGGGTTCATTTAATTTTTATAATAAAACAATTATTTAATTACATATAAACCATTCATAATTCATTAATTCAAAATGATCATAAGCATGATTAAATTTTTATTCAATTATAATAATAAACACACTTATCATTATTTGATATGATAACTTAGAAATTCATTAAAGGATTTAAATTTAGATAATTGAAATAATACTAGCTTCTATTCAATTTAAAAAATACTAATATGTAAACATATAAACAAATAAAGTGAAAATCAGAATATTGTATTCTTTCTCATACGACTTGACCATACTTTTCATTTAATAAGATCTTGATTTTGAAGTAATCACTTTAAGTCCATTCTCTTTTAGTATCAGATTTCTCTAACATTTTAACAGCCTAAATTATGTATTTAAATTATACCTATTTCCAAGTAACAAATCTCCCTTTTATTCTTAGTCTCTCTTCTGCTACCTTCTATCTGATATGATAATGCACTTTTTTTCCAAAAGTTCTATTATGCTTCTTTTCCAAATATTTCTTTACTTTTAGTTTCCTTTGTATTTCTTTTTGATTGGCTTTAGTATTACACAGTTATTAAACCCAATTTTCGAATTTTAAAGTTTATGGATCATCCAAAATCTTATAATCTAAACCAATTTTTATTCTTTGTAAGTCATCTTAGTTGATAAAATTCAATATAAAATTCTCTTAAGAAGTACTTGGATAGTATTTCATATCTAAGTTGAACAAATGTTCATTAGCATTGATTGGAGGAGGAAGTTCTTTTGAAGGAAATTTTGGAGAAGGAATGTGTTCAAAAGAATTATCTGAGTGTTCAGAAGATTCAGTCTATTCTGCTGTTGAGCATTCATGGTTGTTCTTTAGATTAAGATCTTCATTTTCAATGAAGTAGCTTGGTTTTTTGAATAAGCCAAGTTAATGTTATGTGAAGATGTTGACATTGGATTCTTCATCATAATAACCGTTGTTTTGATTGTTTTCAAACTCTGAAATATTGTCGTATTAGACTTATAACATGTTTTATTAAGATATTAATTTTTAAAAAAGGGAACACCGGAATTAAAATTTATGTATTAAATTTTATAATATAAAAAGCAGTTTTTGTCAGAGAATCTTAGATAACAGAAGAAATATGATTGATAATTATAAAATAATATGTTTTTCATACATTCAAGTTTATCTTTGTCTATAAAATTAATCATTTTCAAACTAAATTTAATAAAATTAAAATTCAATAGTTAATGAAAACTCTATCCTGAAGTTATATCATTGATATGTAAATTCTCTTATTAAAGTTTTTTTCTTTTTTTTTCATTTTATTTTTTATTCAATTCTGCATCATAAAGGAATATAAATTAATTGTTAGAATTAATTTATTTACGCATCCTATTTATTCAGATTAATATTAAGAAAACAGTCCTATTTCTTAATGATAAAAGTAATTTTGATCTTGAAAGCTTTTTAAAACATTAATAAGCACCATATAAATATTTAAATATTGTCAAATAATGAATTTATCATTTTAATTTCAGCTAAAGACCTAACTTTGCATAAAGCACAATTTTAAGAACATTGAATACACTAATTATTCTACAGAGTTTATCATCTACCTTACAATCCAAATTGACATCTGATGCACTTATTTTGATTATTAATTAATTAACACTCCTAAAAAATTTCTGAGCATTATGGAATACATTTATTTTACTTTAATTCATATCCCTACTTCCAAATATACTACATACAATTTCATAATCTTGAATGCTCTAATTTATCCATATAATGTCAACTTCATTATCATCCAATGTTATATCAATACCAATTGTTTAATACCCTAGTGATAATCCAAATATTTCTTGTTAAACACCAAATTTACAATTTATTGTTTCTCCCAATAAAAATTACTATGTTTTAATATCAAAAATATAAGGCATACCACAAACAGTTATTATATCTTTGTGAAAATGAAATTGGTAAAAAATAATAATCTAAAGTATTAATTTAATAGTTATTTGATAAAATTTAGAATGCATATTGACAATTTTAGATTTAATTCTTGTGACAATTAATTCCGTCAAAAGATATAAAGTATTTTTAATCATTAATACATCAATAGCATTTCAGATAATTTGAGTCCATTATTTCATCATAATAATCTTAACAAACTTAACAATAAGAACCACATTGTTTACAAAATCCATGTGACACAGCAAATTTCTCATTACAGGATATACAATTAGGCAATTATGTTTAAATATTAAAATTGCATTAATTACAATCTTCAGGGCATTAGGGATAAAGTTTATCATTTAAGTACATACCAGATTTACAAAATATGCAATTCCCTAATTTATGTACACTTTAACAAGTAGAATTCACTCTATGACAATCATCATCAAAATAGAAATAATTTAGTTTACATTTTACATAAACTTGTTTTCCTAGATGAAAGTATTATACTTAATCACAATTTATATCTTCTAATAATGGATTACAATATTCTTATAAATTTTCATGTAATTTTAAAGTAAAAGTTAAACCAATCAAATAATGATCATAATCTTATTTATCTCTTTCTTTTAATTGATATGAGCTATAAAAACTTTATTACATAACCAATAAATCTAATTTACATACTGATTCCTAATACCATTATTAAGGATTATAATAACAATCTACACATAATAAATCAAATTTATTTTATTAAGGACTATTTTAATTAATAAATTATATTAATACAATTCTCTTAAAAATTCAATAATTGATGAAAAATTTATCCTCATATCTTTTACATACTTTTTGACCTTCTTAATTCAAATTCTTCATGTAAATATATTCTATAAAAATTATAAACAATTATATTTCATAGGTCCATCACATTCATAACCTTAGAAAGGACATGCTAAAAGGATTTGAAAATATAATTACCATCATATAAAATTATCTTATCGGTGTGATAATTGTGTTCAAATTTTAAATTGATGATTAAAGTAAATCAGTATAAAAATCATCTCTTCCTATATAAACATATATTATTTTATTTAAAAAGGATGAATCCTTAATAATTTTTTTAAATATCAGATTCTCTCCCATATTCATATTTAATAAAATGCCATTGTTTNTTACAATTTATTGTTTCTCCCAATAAAAATTACTATGTTTTAATATCAAAAATATAAGGCATACCACAAACAGTTATTATATCTTTGTGAAAATGAAATTGGTAAAAAATAATAATCTAAAGTATTAATTTAATAGTTATTTGATAAAATTTAGAATGCATATTGACAATTTTAGATTTAATTCTTGTGACAATTAATTCCGTCAAAAGATATAAAGTATTTTTAATCATTAATACATCAATAGCATTTCAGATAATTTGAGTCCATTATTTCATCATAATAATCTTAACAAACTTAACAATAAGAACCACATTGTTTACAAAATCCATGTGACACAGCAAATTTCTCATTACAGGATATACAATTAGGCAATTATGTTTAAATATTAAAATTGCATTAATTACAATCTTCAGGGCATTAGGGATAAAGTTTATCATTTAAGTACATACCAGATTTACAAAATATGCAATTCCCTAATTTATGTACACTTTAACAAGTAGAATTCACTCTATGACAATCATCATCAAAATAGAAATAATTTAGTTTACATTTTACATAAACTTGTTTTCCTAGATGAAAGTATTATACTTAATCACAATTTATATCTTCTAATAATGGATTACAATATTCTTATAAATTTTCATGTAATTTTAAAGTAAAAGTTAAACCAATCAAATAATGATCATAATCTTATTTATCTCTTTCTTTTAATTGATATGAGCTATAAAAACTTTATTACATAACCAATAAATCTAATTTACATACTGATTCCTAATACCATTATTAAGGATTATAATAACAATCTACACATAATAAATCAAATTTATTTTATTAAGGACTATTTTAATTAATAAATTATATTAATACAATTCTCTTAAAAATTCAATAATTGATGAAAAATTTATCCTCATATCTTTTACATACTTTTTGACCTTCTTAATTCAAATTCTTCATGTAAATATATTCTATAAAAATTATAAACAATTATATTTCATAGGTCCATCACATTCATAACCTTAGAAAGGACATGCTAAAAGGATTTGAAAATATAATTACCATCATATAAAATTATCTTATCGGTGTGATAATTGTGTTCAAATTTTAAATTGATGATTAAAGTAAATCAGTATAAAAATCATCTCTTCCTATATAAACATATATTATTTTATTTAAAAAGGATGAATCCTTAATAATTTTTTTAAATATCAGATTCTCTCCCATATTCATATTTAATAAAATGCCATTGTTTAAAGTTTAATTGAATCATTTAATTTTATTTTATTAACTTTATCCTAACATCAGCTTGAACAAAAATTTAGGATAAGTATTATAATTATCTATATACCCAAACCTCAAATTTAAATAATTCATCTCCTTTATCTTTTATTTATTCTAGTTTTATGATTTGTTAATCTAATGAAAGGATAAATGCTATTAACAATTACCTTTGATGTGTCATATTTAATCCAACCAGATACACAGTACTTTTTGCCGAATTGATCTATACTACTTTGAAGTAATGTATCACAATCAAAAATTTAAAGTTAATTTACTAGATAAATACTCTATTCTTAATTGATTTTTTCAGATATTGTTAAACCAATATCGTGTGAATTACTTAGAGATACGTGCAATCAAATCTTAAATAGACCACTAATGTTGTTTTGAATATTTCATTCAACATAAATATTAATTATCCATCTTCAGTAACATCATTTTTGTAAGGAGATCTAACTTAAGGAAAACTCTGAAACTCCTATAATGGAATATAAAGACTCCAAAATCCAAAACTATATATTTTGTCATCTGTTGTTTCTGAGCATCAATTTTCTAGATTATAAATTGCCATTGGGTGTTTAATAGAAATCAATCAATCCATCATCATAATTTTATTATTGACACCCATTTTATATCTCTCTTAGAGCAACAAGGATTAAATATTTCAAGAATATTTAAACATTACTTATCTGATTTTTATTTTGAAATCATCATTAAAATAACTATATGATTCATTAAAAAATTATTAAATTAATTAAAATGACTAAATCCAAGTATGAGGAGGTGTTTTTAAGAACCTAAAAATCATTTCACAATTTAATATTACAATAGCTAATTGACATGGATATTTCAATAAAAATATGTTCTATGTAAATATCAAAAATGTAATGATCAAATCTCCAAAATTTCCAAAAAAAAAATGGCTGTTATTACTAATTTCATTGCATAATAGGATTAACATTCTATTTCCAATTATCTGTTGAACTTTTAAATTTCATTTTATTTCAAAATATAATTTGATTCTCTTAATTAATTTTATAAAATAACCAAATACAGACTTTAATTTTTGGATTTAAAAAATTTTAAATCTACTTCTAGCAATTTAAATAAGTCAATTTAGATTAAATTATCTTTATTTTAATTTTACTATTCTTATAATTGTATTATGCTTAATTCATTCTTGGTTATAATAAATACAATCTAATTTTAATGCTAAAATTCAAAAGATGTAAATTAATAGTTAGATAAAATAAAATTATAAAAATTTTTGCTTTAATTATCTTTATTTTGTGTATAAAATTATATACAATAATTATCACAAAATAGAAATTAATTATTATTTATAAATCCAAAATCATTCCATTTTCTTCACTTATTCTTTATTTAATTACCAATTAAATTTATTTATTTCTCGATTTTTTTCTATAAACTAAAATAGTGGGTGATCCACTACATCCAATACTTGTATAAATTACTAAATGATCTTCCTCAAAATTTAAACATAATTATTGAATTATATCCCTATTGCTTAGTGATTGTAATGTAACAATACACTTTAATCCAATTATTTATTTTTAAAAAAATGCGAACTTCATTAAATTTGTTTAAAAATAGTATGTTCTCATTTTTATTCAATAATAATTTGTAACATAAACCTAAACTATAATCAATATTAAGTATAAATATTCTTGCATTCTAGTTATTTAGAGATTATATAAGTATTTATGATTTTGGTATTGCTATGAGTGGATTTGAAAATGTTAAATATTAAAGTTGAGAATAATATTTATCCTTGAGTTACTTGCTTAAATATATGATTTTTAAATCGTTATTACAATTGTAGAATCATTATTAAAGATAATTTATTCGAAATCATTAAAATTACTTTCTGTCTTTATATCTGTTAATTAACAAGTGATCTTTGAATCTTAACAAATATTCATGATTAAATAAATTTTATGATAATTATACATTATTATTCTTAGAAACCCATAAATTATTAAATATACTTTTAAATAATGTATAAATAAAAAGGATAAAAAATAAATTGGGTATACTAATATTATATATATTTTTAAGTTTAAAAACTATTAATAAAATCTATTTTAGATTTGAATTAATTGAATTTACAAATCTTTTATGCAAAGTAATTTACCAATTCTAATATATATCTTAATAACTTCATTTGGTCTCAAATTTTATCAATAAAGCTTGAATAAATTTTCTAAATAATATTGTACAATATTAAAATACTATAATGAATATCTATGAAAATTTTGATTTATAATGACTTTACTAGTCTTATTAAGTATATAAACAAATACCAACATATTCATTGATAATTATTTATTTTATTAACACTCATTATAAATGGTATCTGTCTAAAATTACTAAACAATTGAAAAATATATTTTTTTTAATAAAATTTATAATAAATTATCAAATTACTTTTTCTTAAAAGAGTTTCACAGTTTTTATCGATATTAATTTTTTTCTGTTTGTATTAACTAATTATAAATTAATTTTTGGTCTAAAAATAAATCAAATATATTACTAATATCTTTTTTAATTTTTTGAGAATAGCATTTATTTCAATTTTTTGATATTACTTTTACTCTTTTCTTCTTTCTAAATCAAAAAATTTATTTTTTTTTTAAGATATTTGGTAGCAATAAAATTAGGTCTCAAAGTTTAAAATCCTTTTAATAATAATTACATTATCTGAAGCTTATATTTTTTATAATAAACTTTTAGAATATCAATTATAAATGGATAACCCAAAACTATGCTATCAAAAATGATAAAAGTTTATATGATATATGAAATATCTTTTTTATCTTATTATTCACAAATGTATTTTACTGTTGCTAAAAATATTGCAATCTAACAAAACTGAGCACTTTTTATATCTAATATATTAAGTTTATGAAGTATATAAGGTTTATAGTTTTAAGCAATTACTGAATAAATCAATACGCAAAGTCCTAACAAAGATGCTTTCAAATATATATCAGTTTCAAAATAGATTAAAATAATTATAATGATTGTTTTCTTCCATAATTTGATAATCTCCCAAAAATAATTCTTTTGAGTATATTCATTAAATAAATATCCTATGTGTCTTCTAAAATTTATTTTCTTATGCTAATCTTTGTTTATGTACAAAAGGAAAAATAAAGATAAGGGTAGAATTAATCCAATTAATAAGGATCCAGGTATTACAAATCCATAAATCCAAGAGATATGACTCTGAGATCCATAAATCAAGGAGACATCACCTTGTATGTAGTTTAAATCAGATATTCTTCTAATTGCCAAAATTGAAAAAAATCTAAAATTCATAACAAATTTTACTAATTTATTAAAGATGCATAATTTTAGATATACAAATATAAAACAGTAATTGAAATGATTCTACTATAAAACTTATAGAATTTTAGAATATCTAATAGTTAAAATCCAATAAAAATAATCAATATCTAACAGACCATAATGCTAAACATAACTAAGATTCTACTATAAATTAATTCTATTCCTTAAATTTCAGCCAATAAACATTCGAAAAAATTGGCCATAAAATAAGAAGTATCATTTGATGGTTTAACAATGTTTAAAGATATTGAAAAACTAATATTGAATGTAAAGATGAGTGAAAAAATCCAAAAATAATTAAGAAATAATTTGAGTAAAATACTTTCATGATCTAATATAAATATTTAATTATACCTTGTTGGAGTTTGAATAAAATTTCAACAAATTTTTAATTTTAATAAAGTTTTAGCTAAACGTATAGTTAATTTGTTCTTTCGACACTTCTAATCGTTAACAGTGTAGAAAAAATAGCCCTTAAAAAAATTAATTATATTTACCATATTGATATTAAGAAAAACGCTATCAACCTTTTTGAAAGTTATTCACATTATTAACAATCCAATTATTATTAGTTTTTAAAGAACTAACCGTCTCCTCTTAAATTATATCTATCACATTCTTCACACAATCCTCCTATATGACCTATAAAACAAAGGTCATCGCCAACTACCCATCCTCCTAAACAATGACTTGGATCTTTATAGCATAATTCTACATTATCAGTAATATAACTTGATCTCCAATATCCAGGTTTTAATTAAATTTTATTAGAAGTAATGGCTTCAAATCTATTTTTATCAAAAAGAGAACATTTTGTAGTATTATAAGTCACTGAATAAAATCCTTATTCTGATTAGCATTTTTGGCATCCAGAGAAAACATAAAATTCACCTAATTGGCATAAAAAGCTGTTAACCCTCATTCTATAAGCTAAACTTTCCTCTTGATATTCTGTTTTACAAAATATTAAAATTTCTTATATTTTATCTTTCTACTCGTAAGGATCTATACTTAATTATAATGAGCCTAAATTAAAGCTTTTAATTTATTGATTAAAACTTATTGTTGATATTGTAATAGATTCAATTATCTTTTAAGATTTGATATCAAAAATTTATTATTGTATATCACAAGCTGAGTTTAAAAAGTTTATTTGTTGTTCGTTCCTGCTATTTTTAAACTTTATTGAGAATTCAGTTATATAGTTTAAATATTTGAAAAGCTAAGGATTAAAAAGTTAAAAATTCAATATTTATTATCCACTTGGAACAAATAAAAAATTAGTTTATATGTAATGATCCTAAGAAATGATATTAAATGGTTTTAATAGTAAGACTTAATAAGAACGATTTTCCATTATTATTTCTTGGGACAACATTTCGAGCTAATTTATTGATAAAGATAAATGTGAAGGTAATTCATTAATATTATTTGAAGCAAATTTTGCATAATTAAATAGCAGTAGAGACTAAATAAAATTATTTTAACTTAAACTACTATTTCCATATAAAAAAACTCCACCTGCTTCATTTGCGGAATTATTAATGATTATTGTAGATTTAATAGTAAATCTATCAGTACCTTCCTCGAAATAGAATCCACCTCCTCTAAAAGAAGCAGTATTATTTATAATTTTTGAATTTTATAACTTTATTCGTAAATTTTATACAAAAATTCCTGATCCTAATCTTCCATAATTAGTAATAAAAGATGAATGATCAATAAACAAAATACTGTTTATTTTTATCTCTGCTTTAGCCCATATACAACCATAATCTTTAATAGAATTGTTAATGCATGATAATTCTGAAATTCGAAAATATTAAAAATCAGTCAATTCTAAAAAAAGTAAGCCATTCCAACAATTTTTACAATTATTATTTAATAATAGAACCTTTGAAAAATATACTCTAGTTTGATTTTTTTTAGTTTTTAACTTGATCAAAGACCCGTTTTAATTGGAATTAGTATAAATATCATCAAAAAAAGTTAAAACAAACTCTTATTTGGAAGACATTTAACCTATATCATTAATTTTTAAACTACATTAAGAAAACTCTAATTCAATATTATTAAAATCAAAATATTTTAAAGTCTATTTATTAAATGTAAAATGATTTAAATTTTAAATATTGAGATTATGAATATATATACTTGATGACTAAATATTTTACTGTTAGATATCAACTAAATGCAAAGGATAAAATGTTTATATATTAATAAATTTACAATTCATTAATGTGATTAATTTTGAATCTTAAACCTTAATAATAGAAGATAAAATTATTCCCTCTATTTGTATTTTATTTAAAATTAATTCACATCCTTAGAAATTCATGATTGAATTGTCACTGATGACTTTTTAAATTTCAATTAAATTGATTTTTCCAAGAGATTAAAGAAAAGTCAATAAAGCCTATTCATTTTATATTAATCTGAAATTTTCAATTTTTACTTTATTTTTTTGTGCATTCTGAAAATCTGCTTCAAAATTTATTATTTAATGAATAAGTGAATAACAATTTTAAGAAATGATATTTTTTAATTCAATATTATTATATGTAGATGAAGGAGATATTGAAAAAATGGATGATGATAACTTATTCAAAACATTTATTAAAGTAATATTTTCAAAATTAATTGATAATAAACTATTTTTGCCATTAATTGTAAATGCACCATCATTTTGAACTTTAGAAATTAGTTAATTATAAGCATTAGTAATACTACAGTTTTTTATAATTATTATTCCATCACCTTATGTAATGATATTAAAAATTTGGCTACTTTATGCAATAATGTAATTAAATTCTCCATTAAGAATAGTAAGTTTAGTAACTGTTGTCTATAAAACCCCTCCAATAGTTTCAATTTTAAAAGAATTCGAAATAGCATAAGTAATTTCATTTTAACTATACTCTTCTTGTAAATTAATGTCATAATACTGTATCCAAAATTCCTTCTCAATATAATTATGATTCTAAACTTTAAAATTTTAGATTAAGATTTCAAATGAAAATAGAGAAAAAAATGACTATGTAGAATTTGTAAAAGAATTATTTATACATATGATATTATTCAAAATCATAATGCTTTAAGCTGAATTAAAATAAAAAAGACTAGCTGAAGTCTTAGATGGATCTGTATTATATTAATGAAAGATATTCTATTCGAATTTTAAATTATCAATCTTTATAAATTAAGGCTTTTCAGAATATTATTCTAATAGAGAAAAAAATATTCCTTAATTTTGTTTTAATAAAATATTTCCCGTAAATTCCACATTTGTAATTAATATATTTTCATTTAAATTTTACATAATAAAAGGATTCGATTATATTGAAATTATTGATTAATCTATGCTAAATTAATTTTTTATTGTTATTTTATTTAAAGTAATATTAGAGAATCCAGTAACTTATAGTAATTATGAGCGAGAAAAACAATTTTTGAAACAATTATAAGATTTTTGAACTTTTTAATCCTAAAGCAAATTTTCATAAATGACATTTTGAATCCTAATTAATGGAACAGCTAATAATGATATAAAACGATAATTAGTTGTATTTCTTAAGAAAATATTTTAAATACACAAACTAAAACAGTTTATTGTAATCAAAAATTACTCTTAATTACAAGAGATAATATTATCTTCAAAATAAAGGTTTTATAATAAATAACTTACTTATGATGATGACCATTTTTATTCAGTAACAAATAAAGAAAAATTTTATATAATATTTCCTTAAATTTTAATGTTATTCATTTAAATTTCTGAATTAACTTGCACTTAAGAGATTTAAGAAATAAACTAAGTTGATATAAAATGGTTATCCTTGATAAAAATATCATTAAAATCGAAATTGTCATTAAAAATGATAAATTTTGAATCAAAAATCTAATTTTACACAATTTCAATATTCCTGATAGTTAATGTAGTTTTTTCAATGCTATTTATAAGATTTAATTTATTTAATAGAGAATTTTTAATAGACACTCCTTTAATTATAATGCTAGATAATTAATTTAGTGTTTGAATTATATTCACAATTGAGGAATTATAAAATTCACATGAATCAATAGTAAAATTTTCTATATATATACTTTTTTTCCCATTTTACAATAAAAATAAAGTAGAATTTCTAAATAAACAATTCTTTAGTTCAAAATTATAAATTTAAAGTGATCACTCTAATCTGTACCAACAAGATTAAAAATCACTTAATTTTCAAAGTTTATATTAAAAATTGAAATATCTTATAAATTTACATTAAGGATATTCTCTCCTTGAATGGACATTGATATAGGAGAATTTGCGATTGAATAAAATTGCATATTAAGCATCTTTAAATCTACTGGTAAATTCCTGTTCTAAAATATGAAAATAATTTCTCTTTCTATATCAAATATAAGATCACTCATTATGATTTAATCGAATTTTATTAGTGAAAATTTAAATTGATCTATATTCAATTTTATAGGCATTGATGTACCCTAAAATTTTAATCTTATAAATTAAATAGAAAATATGTTTTCTTTAACAGTATTTTCTATTAATTATTCAGGATCATTAAATTCACAAAATTCCCGTGTATGAAGTGATAGTGTCCACTATTAAAGCCCTATTTCATTAAAATATTGATAATTATAATATCTTTCTAAATCAGCATGGACAAAATTAAGACGGCTGCAATCAAAATCACCCTAATTAAAAATTAAAAATACAAAATTTAATTCCAAATTGTAGTTACAATTATCTTAATAACAATATTATGCAATATTTAGGTTAGGGTCAATTTGAACTTAATGATTAAGTATTTTCTAAATACATCTATAAGTATATTTCAAATTTTCAGGAGTTATAATAAAATATGGATTTATTTTCTATTTTAATTAAAATATTTTACATTTATTTCTTCCTTAGGTCTTTCTTAACAAACTTAACATAATGAAGGACAGTTAATACATTTTCCATCAAGTTGCACCCTCTAAGGCTCTTTGTAATAATTTAATTTGCACTTTCCACAAAAAAACGTTTTATTAATAGGATTTGGTTCACAAACAGAACATGTTTCATCGCAGTATATTTTGCATTCATTTCTTATATTTTCATATCCATGTAAACATTCAGTTATTAATTATTTTGGTCTATATACAAAACCAGTAAAAATAGGTCTATTAGGTAAGAATTGAATTGTAAAACCTTGAACTAACCATTTCCAAGGATCTAAGGTATTATCTTCAAAACATTATTTTGTAGTTTCAAAAGGGCATTTTGTACAAATTCCTGTTCTGGATGATACTAAATAACCATCTTCACAGATTAAACATTTTAAAATTTATTATAGAGTTTATATGCATCGTAAACAATTAAAAATGTGAATTTAACAATTTATCATTTCTAAAGCAAAACTAAAATCATTGATAGCAGATAATGTGCAAATTTCTCTATCATTCAAATTAATAAAGGATCTTAAACAATTTTCTTAAGTTGGTTTCTTATTAATACATTATCCTTTTTTGAAGTCATAAATGAATCCTTCAGTACATTATGCACAGCCTACTTTTATCTCTTCATCAACTAAATAGTTTTCTTGATAAAATCCTAAAGTAGTTTTTGTCGGATCATTTGCTAAATAATTAAAACAATATAAACAATGTTGTATTTGACAAGTAAAACATTTTTCATAAAAATCTATAAAATTAGGAGGTTAGCAAGGATAATCAGTTTTATAAAATGAAGTTGGAATATTTACTTATTCTTCTGAACAATATAAATTTATTTTTTAAAGTTAGCATTTTAAACATCCTTCTGCACATGAATAACAATCATTCTCTAGTGATTAACAAAATCTTTTAAATTTGAATATCGATTCAATTTAATCAAATTAATTATATGTTGGATTTTTTTAATCACATCCAAAACAGAATTATATATCATTTCCAATTTAAATGTATTACAAATTTTAATTTGTCAAGTAGTTTGTAATATTTCCATTTTTATCTGTTAATAATATTGTTTCACAAAGAAGAGTTTGATTCCATTTACTAGGATTTTATACACATTCTAAACATGTTATAATATTATTATTAATTATAGATGGGCTAATTTATAATATATTAATACCATTAAAAGCAATTATCATTTAATTCAAAATACCCATACAGACATTCTTTTTTAAGAGGGATTTCTTAAATTAAAATAAAATTTAAATTTAAAAAATGAATACATTAATCGTTCTAATCAATTGTTCCATATTCACATATACATTCTTTAAAATCTGGTAAATATATTCTATTTGATAATTCAAAACATGATAGACAATCTTCTTTTGTTGGACCATCACACTCCTTACAAGTAGGATGGCAGTTTATCTATGGTTAATCATTATCTGGACAGTTTATAAACTTTAAATCTATAATAGAAATTTCTAAATAGTTTGATTTAGATTATAAAATATTTCCATAAAGTAATTTAAATTAAACCATATTATATTATTTAACCTCTAAATTTTTATTTAATTTCATTTGATCATAATTTTAGTAAAATGTTATTGAAATTGAAATAGAAGTATCAAATTTTTATACTAAGATATAATGCCATAATTAAATATCACAATCAATGTCAAATATTTCTGTCTTCAAAAAGGAATTATTTGAAAAATCTATATTTAAACTAGGGAATGTATAACTATAAGTTTTAAAAATGATTTAATTTCCTTAAGATGAGAACTTATAAAATAATTAAAATGCACATAGATTGTCTTAAATCATATATGGATTTTAAAAGTTTCCTGATAATTTAAACAGTTAATAAACAAATTCATCTTATTGAGAATAAATTTCTTTAATTTTTATCCAACTAGAGAATAAAAATTATTAACAATTAATTTATTAGGAAACAAATTACAATTAATCTAATTTTTATATTATTACATCTCCTATTTTAAGTATTGCACTTTTTTGACACAAACACTAAGTATTTTTATTTGATTATAAAATCCCTAAGAAATAATCAGGTTCATAAAAGTAACAATCAAAAAGATATTCTATATTTCCTGGAAAGTATGAAAGTTAATTATTTTCTGGTCGAAAAAATGGTGAATTCTGACTTACTTTCAAATCACCTCCTATTATTAAATTAGATTTTATTCCTTCAAAAGAGAACTCAATTTAGAGTTATTTTGAAAAAATCTGGGTAACTTGTTCATAATAATATATAGTGACTTGTTTTTATGAAGGAATTGTAACAAATCCTTAAAAATACCAGACATATTCATATAATGCCTCATTAATTTGGATTTCCTCAATAAAATCACTGCCATCACTACCTAAAAATTAAAAATATTTTATTATTGTTTTTGATTCAGAATTGACACATTCGTATTACAGAAAATATAATTAACTATTTGTCTTATCCTAAATTCGAAACAAATGAAAACAACTACTATCAAGTATTCCAATCTCTCCAATTTATAACACATTACTAAGTGGCACATATCTACTCCAAACTCCAAACCCAGCACAATTAAAATCTGAATATATATCATCATCTATTGATTCCATAATAAAAGGATCAATTGATGGCATAGATAGTATTCGCCAGGATATTGAATACTAAAAAACTACCATTGCTAGCAAATAAAATGAAAAAATTCCCATTTCTGAATATTTAAAAATAATTAATTTTGAGTCATTATTAGATTCTATAAAGAATATAAATTTCAGAATAAATAAATATCAAAAATTAATTCTTAACTTTTTTATTTATATTATAAAATTTCTAACTACTTTGTTTAAATTAAATAAGTAGAACCAATTAAGATAATATAAATTTCTGTATTTATAATATATAATAAATTTGAAAAGACTAATTTGATTTAATAATTTCAGTTTTTATTAAAACCACAAATAATTAATTATTATTTTACATAGTTTTAGAATACAAAATGTTGTTCATATTACAAATTGATATGGTAAAAATTTGCATTCTAATTTTTTTAGGGTTTATTTTCTTAATTCTAATTTAGACAAATTTATCGCTTGGTTTCCAAAAATAGATATGAAATGAATTTTAAAATCATAAGGCACCCAATGAATTAGTCCTTTTTATAAATTTTATTTCATTCTTTCTCCATTTATTTTATTATTATAACTCAAAAATATTATTTACAAATAAATAAGTACATTTAATATAACTAATTCATATAATTACCATTTTTACTCTTAATATTTTATCTAAACAAAGATTTATTTATCCCTTCTACAGAGATTAAAAATTCTAATAAAAAATAGTTATCCAATGCTCAAATTGTTCCTTAATATTTTTCAATCCAACTTATATCTCAATTTTTCAGGCTATTATTCTATATCAAATAAAATATAGATTTTATATCTTCAAAAGTTAGCTTTTTATCAATTTTACCATCATCAAACTTCCAAATGTTTAGATAATAAAGAAATTTTGAAACTATATTTGAAGTTATTTAATTAAAAACTATATGGATTGTAATCTTTCAATTTTATAAAAAATGTCAATTAATTTATTTTTGATAGCTGCTTAAGATGGATAATTAATGTCTTAAATTTAATAAGTTATATGATTTAAGTTTCATGATCATATATCATTTTTTTCAAATAATAGATATTTATACATATTTATGGTCAGATTTAGATATCTTAGTATTTAATGTTTAGATAATTTAAATAAGAGATATTTTTAATGGATTAGCATTCAAAATTTTTTACCTGCATTTATTAATATGATATATTTTATAAAAAATTTTATAATTTTCATTTAAGAATAATCATATTTGTTTAATTCAATAAATGAAAAATAATTTAACTCAATCAGTAATTTATAATATCAACTATTCTAGAAATCTATTCAAATAAACTAATTAATTTATATAGAATTGATTATTGAATAAATTTATTTCTTGTAATTATTAATTTATTAATATATCAAAATTACACATTAACGAGTCTATCTTTAGACTAACCTTTAGATTTATTTCTAACTATTAGAAATATACTTGCTGTAGCAAGAAGATTAACACAAGATTACAAAGACAAAACTCATAATTAGCCTTTTCCCTTTCCTTCCTCATTAAAGCATTTCATTAATTTTTTAATTCTCCTTAATATTAGTGAAAATAACAAAGATATTTCAAACAAATAAGGGCTCAAAACAAAACCTTTATATACTCCATTCTAAACCTCATGCATTTTTACAATATTGATATATGTATGAATAAATTAAAGAATTTTTTTTCTAGGAAAGCTAGAATGAATTTTATCTTATTGTTTTAAGTGGATATATTTCTCTCGGAATTTTAGGGCTATTTGTAAAAAATTAAGAATATTTATAATTTGAGAATATGAAAGTATATATTATTAATACTTTAAGAAATATCAAATTTGTTCTTTATTTTTGATTCTTAAATTATTCCTTTAGATTTTTCTATTTGGGTTATAGAGTACCGATTCATTTATATTAACTTTGAGATAGATGAACTTCTAAAGGCTATAAACAAACAATATTTAAAATGGATTGATAGTTCTGATACATTCATGTTGTATATATCAATTTATTCTCAATATTTAAACACAAAATTTTCTTCCTTTACTTTTAAAGAAATAATCAAATCAGGAAAAATATGGATAAAATGTGTACTAATAATGATGAAATATATTCAGATTCCGTACAAGCATCTGTTTAATAAATTGTTAAATATTTTGTATATNTATATCTTCAAAAGTTAGCTTTTTATCAATTTTACCATCATCAAACTTCCAAATGTTTAGATAATAAAGAAATTTTGAAACTATATTTGAAGTTATTTAATTAAAAACTATATGGATTGTAATCTTTCAATTTTATAAAAAATGTCAATTAATTTATTTTTGATAGCTGCTTAAGATGGATAATTAATGTCTTAAATTTAATAAGTTATATGATTTAAGTTTCATGATCATATATCATTTTTTTCAAATAATAGATATTTATACATATTTATGGTCAGATTTAGATATCTTAGTATTTAATGTTTAGATAATTTAAATAAGAGATATTTTTAATGGATTAGCATTCAAAATTTTTTACCTGCATTTATTAATATGATATATTTTATAAAAAATTTTATAATTTTCATTTAAGAATAATCATATTTGTTTAATTCAATAAATGAAAAATAATTTAACTCAATCAGTAATTTATAATATCAACTATTCTAGAAATCTATTCAAATAAACTAATTAATTTATATAGAATTGATTATTGAATAAATTTATTTCTTGTAATTATTAATTTATTAATATATCAAAATTACACATTAACGAGTCTATCTTTAGACTAACCTTTAGATTTATTTCTAACTATTAGAAATATACTTGCTGTAGCAAGAAGATTAACACAAGATTACAAAGACAAAACTCATAATTAGCCTTTTCCCTTTCCTTCCTCATTAAAGCATTTCATTAATTTTTTAATTCTCCTTAATATTAGTGAAAATAACAAAGATATTTCAAACAAATAAGGGCTCAAAACAAAACCTTTATATACTCCATTCTAAACCTCATGCATTTTTACAATATTGATATATGTATGAATAAATTAAAGAATTTTTTTTCTAGGAAAGCTAGAATGAATTTTATCTTATTGTTTTAAGTGGATATATTTCTCTCGGAATTTTAGGGCTATTTGTAAAAAATTAAGAATATTTATAATTTGAGAATATGAAAGTATATATTATTAATACTTTAAGAAATATCAAATTTGTTCTTTATTTTTGATTCTTAAATTATTCCTTTAGATTTTTCTATTTGGGTTATAGAGTACCGATTCATTTATATTAACTTTGAGATAGATGAACTTCTAAAGGCTATAAACAAACAATATTTAAAATGGATTGATAGTTCTGATACATTCATGTTGTATATATCAATTTATTCTCAATATTTAAACACAAAATTTTCTTCCTTTACTTTTAAAGAAATAATCAAATCAGGAAAAATATGGATAAAATGTGTACTAATAATGATGAAATATATTCAGATTCCGTACAAGCATCTGTTTAATAAATTGTTAAATATTTTGTATATTTTTTTATTTATTTACAAATATTTGTACATCGAAATTAAAAAAAAAAAATTTAATTAACTTTATGTCTGATGATTTCATAATATGGGTCATTTGAGAAGTTGTCCTCCTCTCCAACTCTAAAGTAAGATAATAGCGTCCTACAACACTCTGGAATGAATATTGACCATGAGATTCAGGAAATCAGAACAAAAGGAAGAAAGTCTTCAACCCCCTTTTGAGACTAGTTTCTTGAGGGAAAATGTGCATTTTATGTTGTGCATCGAAATTCATTTGTCATGTAAATTTTTACTAGAAATTTTATTAGAACATTGATAATAATTATATATCTAAATATGTTGAAGTTCATTAAATTAGATAGGATTTGATTATTTTACTTTGTTTTTATATATTATTTTTATTTCACTATAGTATTAATAGAGTTTTAAACTAATTTCAGAAATTTAGATTTAATGATTCAAAATTTGATATTGTACTACGTTTCAATTCTAACATAAAGGCCACATTTTAAGTATTAGATTCAAAATTGATAACATTTATGAATTGTAGATTTATTAATATATAAACATTTTATCCTTCGCATATATTGGATATATAACAGAACAATATTTAGTAATCAAGTATATATTTTAATAACATCATAATCTAAATTTTTTCATATTTAATAAACAGAATTTAAATTATCTTGATTATAATTATATTGAATAAGAATTTATTTAATGCGGCTTTCAATTTTTATTATCTTTTATCTAATCTTTAATTAAGAGTGGTTTTAAAAAATCTTAATCTTTTAGTTCTAAATAAGGTGTTAACTCTTTTAATTTTCTATAAGTTATATAATTTTAATACTAAATGTCTTATTGAGACATTCCTGTGAGGAGATTTTAAGAAGGCTCTTAAAAATATCGATGATTGGGAGAAATACTATAAAGAACATTGATTAACCATTCTCGATTTGCAGATGTAAATCCCAAATCTTGTTCTTATCCTAATATTTGACTTAGCTCTCTGTTTAAGTCAATTTTAGTAGCGTTTCTTATCAAATAAGCAATTTTAATATCAGCCTATTTTTATGAGGACATCATTAATTACAAAATGTATTTTATATCAACTTTTATAGTCTGAAATCAAAAAATATATTGTTTATTCTAAATTATTCTATGTAGAATAAATAAAGTGTTTAAATCAAAAATTAAAGCAGAAGAATATTAACATCATTATAATAATAAATGGCATCTAATTCTAATAGTTGTTAATCCTCTCATTATCAAGATCTCCAAGAATCCAATAGCCTTGAGAATTAAAGTGAAAATTTGTTTGGAGTGTTATAATGTTAATTTTAGAGCAAATTCGAGATTGGATAACCAATTATATACCATCGAAGATGCAACTTTCTATGCAATTAATATACCTTATATGCTAATATACGTTTAAGTTCAATAAAAAAAAAAAAATTTCCTTTAGTAACTAAGTTAAATTGTTAACAGTCATAAAACTTGAATAATTAGAAAGTTGGATCCAATTTTTCTAAAAAAAAAAAGCAAAGAAAATAAGGAAATAAAACTAGATGTTGAATTAAAATTATTTGATAAAAAAAAATGCTTATCTAATCAGAAAACTGACTTAATTAGGATTTAAAAAATAGTACATCTCTAATTTTACAGGGTTATCGAAGGACTAAATTTAGTATAGAGAATAATAAATAACCTCAAGTAATGAGTTCTAAACTTAATTTTATTTTTAATAAATTCATATAGATTGGTTGTAAAAGTATGTTCAAACCCAAGAAATCTAAGAACTTTGGAATTCTTCATAGATTCTTGCAGCGTTTAAACTTCATTTTTCTCTTGAAAATCAAATAATTGGAATAAAGAAATTTAGAGAATGCTTCACGAGAAATGGGTTAGCTTACAAATAAATTCCCAAGCGCAGCTTTGGATTTTTTTTAAAATCCAGATTTAGAAAAGTTAACTAATATTGTATTGATCTCCTTTCTTATATCAATGATGAATTCAAAACAATTTATGTTGATGAAACCACTTTTGCTCATTAATCTCGCAATCCAAAATGTTGGTAATAAAAAAGAATCAAAAATTTCGAAAATTAGTCACTCTTCAAAAATCTGTTAATGTAATGGGGGGAATAGGTTAAAATGGCTTTTAGATGTTTTAGGTATGCATAGGAAATGTTAATTAATTTGTTTTTGGGTAATTTATAGAAAAGCTAATCACAAGTGCAACTGAATTTTACAAAAATTAAAAATTCCTTATTATTCTGGATAACTGTCCAACTCATAAAATGGATATTAAACCATAAACTAAATTTTATATTGATTTGGACTATATCTTTATCAATAAATTATCTAGAAATGTAATAGTAAGAAAAAATAAGTGAAAATCATACTTATTAATTCCTAAAATTAAAACCATTTAATATTATATCTTAAGATCATTAAATATAAACCAATTTTTTATTTATTCCTAGTGGTTAATAAATATTGAATTTTAAAAATCCCAAGCATTTAAATTTTAATCTTATATAACTGAATTTACAATAAAGTTTAAAAATAGTATGAATGAACAATAAATAAATTTTTTAAACTCCGCTTGCAATGTACAATAATAAATTTTTTATATTAAATCTTAAAAGATAATTGAATCTATTACAATATCAACAATAGGTTTTAATTAATAAATTAAAAGCTTTAATTTATGTTCATTATAATTTAAAATAGATCCATACAAACAGGTAGATAAAATATAGGAAATTATAATTTACTTTAAAACAGAATATCAAAAGGAGATTTTAGCTTATAAAATGAGAGTTAACAGCTTTTTATGCCAATTTGGTGAATTTTATATTTTCTCTGGGTGCCAAAAATGCTAATCAGAATAAGGATTTTATTCAGTGACTTATAATACTACAAAATGTTCTCTTTTTGATAAAAATAGATTTGAAGCCATTACTTCTAATAAAATTCAATTAAAGCCTTGGGTTTTGGAGAACAAGTTAGATAACTGATAATGTAGAATTATGAAGAATGTGATAGATATAATGTAAGAGGAGATGGGTATTTCTTTAAAAATTAGTAATAACTGGATTGTTAATAATGTGAATAACTTTCAAAAAGGTTGATAGCATTTTTCTAAGTATCAATATGGTAAATATAATTAATATTTATTAAGGGCTATTTTTTCTACACTTTTAACTATTAGAAGTGTTGAAAGAACAAATTAACTATATGTTTAGCTAAAACTTAATTAAAATTAAAAATTTGTTGAAATTTTATTCAAACTCCAACAAGGTATAATAAAATATGTATATAAGATAATGAAAGTATTTTACTCAAATTATTTCTTAATTATTTATGAATTTTTATCACTCATCTTTGCATTCAATTTTAATTTTTGAATATCTTTAAACATTGTTAACCCATCAAATGATACTTCTTATTTTATGGTTAATTTTTTCGAATGTTTATTGGCTGAAATTTAAGAAATAGAATTAATTTATAGTAGAATCATAGTTATGTTTCGAATTATGGTCTGTTAGATATTGAATATTTTTATTGGATTTTAACTATTAGATATTCTAAAATTCTATAAATTTCAGAGTAGAATAATATCAATTACTATTTTATATTTGTATATATAAAATTATGCTTCTTTAATCAATTATTCATATTTTAAGATTTTTTTCAATTCTGGCAATTTAAGGATATCAGATTTAAATTACATACAAAGTGATGTCTCCTTAATATATTTCTTGGATTTATAGATTTGTAATCCCTAGATCATTAATTATTGGATTATGTTAGAATTAACTTTATTTTTCCTTCCGTACATAAACAAAGATTAGCATAACAAAATAAATTTTAAAAGAAATAGAGGATATTTATTTAATGAATATACTCAAAAGAACTATTTTTGGTCAAGATATGAAAGAAAACAATCGTTATAATCATTCTAATATATTTTGAAACTGATATATTTTTGAAGGTATCCTTATTAGGTCTTTGCTTATTGATTTATTCAGTCTTTACTTAAAATTATAAGCCTTATATTCTTCATAAGCTTAATTTATTAGATATCAAAAGTGACCAGTTTTGTTAGATTGCAATATTTTTAGCATCTGTAAAATATATTTGTGAATAATAAGAGAAATAAAAAATTCATTTATTATACAAATTGTAATCATTTTAGATGGCATAATTGATATTCTCATAGTTTATTATTAAAAGTACAAATACCAAATAATGTAATTGCCATTAAAAAGATTTCAAACTTTGAGACCTAATGTAGTTACGACAAGGTATCTTAAAAACAATTAACTTTATTGAGTTATAGAATTAACTATATAGAAAGAAGAAAAGAGTAAAAGAAATATCAAAAAACTGAAATAATCCTATTCTCAAACAAATCAAAAAGCTGTATGTAATATCTTTGATTTATTTTTAACCAAAAAGTGGCTTATAAATATTTAATACAAACAGCGAAAAAAAATATCTATTAAAACTGTAGAATGCTATCAAAAAAAAAGCGATTTGATAGTTTATCATAAATTTAATTCAAAGAAAAAATTTATTTTTAAATCATTAGTTAGTTTAGTTAAAAATATATTTTTATTAAGTTTTAAGTCTTTAAATAAGTTACATAATTCTTTATGATTACTTAGGTAGATATTTAATTACTCAAGTTAAGCCATTATAAATAGAAATTTTCAGATATTGTAATAGTCATGTGAATGCTTTTTAAAGTCTTTAGAAATTGATTTTATATATGCTGATACAGATTTTAATAAAAGAATGTGTAAAATAAAATATGATCAGCCTTAAGTATTTATTCATTTAAATAATAATAGGATTCATTGAGTTTTGTGATTAAATCATTGACATTGATTCAATTTCTATAGATTCTTATGATGAAAAAAGATATTAATGGTAATAATGAATAAGAGAAAGCAATAAAATGTATAAATACATTCTAGCTCTTGATTCTTAAAAATATCTTGAATAAAAAATCAAGAAAACAAAAATGCTAGACTTAACATATGAATAACTAAAAATATGCTTACTTTGAAAAGGCTTGAATTCATAATTATATAAAATTTTTTAAAGAATTGAAATTTAAACAAAAGATTATTAGCATTAGATAATTCCTATTTATATAAACAGAGAATCATTTCATTAAGAATTATTTCTCTATTTAACTTGCTTAAAAAATTTGAAAATAAATATTTAATATGAAATATATATCAGATATTTTTCTATGTATTTGTTTCCTTTATACCGTTTTATCAAGAAATGATTAATGTAAGAAAATTGAATCAGTGGCAGGAGTTAATCTAATAGAAAAATTCCGAACTGACTATTTAATATAATCAGATGTAAGAATAGATAATGTTAATAATAATGAATTTTATAAACAAAAACAATTATTTGAAATAACAGAAAAGTTTCCTTTAAATATTGATGGACTTGGAGAAATATGGGATTATAATATAAGGATTGATTGGGAAAAACAAATTTTTAGATTTAGTTTATTGATTGTTAATGAAACATGTGTTACAATATCTTAGAGTTAAAAATTTAATATTTATAGTATTGCTAATACTCTATTAGAATAACCTGAATTAAAAACATTTACAACATATTTAATCAGGAATGCAAGTTTATGCAATCAATTTGATGAGTATAAGGCTTTTAATTACTATGTTTATTGCTTCTATTAAAAATCTTTGAATATTTACACAATTAATTAGGAAAACGACGTAGAGGTATACCTTGAATACAATTTTACAAATTTAGCTGTTGATTCAAAAAAAAAGATTATTTTTATGAAATAACTTAATAAAATACTTTTTATAACTTACAATAAAGATAAATGTGAAATATATCAAATAGATAATGAAAAATAAGGTTAAGTGATCCTAGAGATTAATAAAAATACTCATAATTATGAAGAAATTTTAATGATTCATTTTTATTAAGATAGATTTTTATAGATTTACTTTAATAATGAAACTCTAATGTTTGATATATTTGTGTAGAAACTTCAAATTCATAGCATATAATTTTAAAGTACAACAAATAAAATAGAAAATAGTTACACTATAAAATTATCTAAAAATTAGTAAGAGAAATTTTTAATTGATAATACTTAGAAGTATATAATTTTGAGTTGTGAACACGAAATTCCATAATTGTTAATTTATCAAAGCAAACTTATGTTAATCTATTCTTAAAATGTAGAAATAATAGAATTTGGCTTAATAAGGCAGTTGATTAATATTTCAATCAAATAGATTTATAGTCTTTCTTCTAATTATTTAATTGGAATTGATAATTCAGATAATATTTTTATTGTGAAACTTAATTTAATATCCCGTAATTATAGAGTTTCTTCATTAAATGAAACTCCTTTGATTCTTTAACACTATAGAATTACTAAATTTAAATATGTTCATTATTATGGTTGCTATTAAGTTTATTTAATCACTTAAGAACAAAAAGAAATTTAAAGAAAATAAAACAATACAATTTTTTTAGAATAAAAACACTTTTTAACTATAAATGCACAGAATAAAAATTTTTTTATATTTCATGAAATGATATTTCCTTAACAAAATTTTTACATTTAAACTATATAAAACCAAAAATTCTAAATTACAAATAAAAAATCTTAAAATATCTTAATTAATAGATATATTGATTTATCATTATACTTTGTATATGGCCCATATGATACATATATTTAATGTTAAGATAACAAATTGATAACAATATATTATGAGAGTACAAATTAAGTTGAAAGGTATAAATTATCTTGTGATTCCTAAAATGGGAAAATTTATAACTTCAAATAATCAAATCTATTTTGCGTTGTGACTCAAGATAATTATGGCATAAATAAATTCTCCTTTAAATCTATTAATACAACTAATTATAAAGTTGAATATAAAGGACGAATTAATTTAACAAATTAGATAATTAATATTAGTTCTACAGGTAAATATTTAGTTGCTAATCATAAAAATTGCTCAATATCTTTATTTGATAAACAGATTAGATATTTGGGTACAAAATCTCTCTTTATTGGTAAATATACAGATTTTTGTTATATAGAGAGCTATATAATTATAAATGATGAAAAATCAATAGTATTTTATCAAGTTGATAAAATTGCAATAAAAAATTATTTGAATAATTCTATATTTAAAATATAAATCGATAGTATTGTTTGTTTTGAATCAATAAATCGTTCAGACAAAACTATCTACATTTGTG